TAATTTATTCGTCTCACCTGCAACAACAAATTAAGTTTTGTTTTGCCTCCACCCTCCGCTTCACCTGCACTAAGGCGAAGCAGAAGAAAGTAAAAGAAAGCACCGGATGGAGCGGGAGGAGGGCTGGAAGATGGCTAAAAGTCCGAGGGTGAACAAAGACGCGTAATCCACGTGCCTCGCCACTTTCAACTCATTAACTGCCCGCCCGGGCCATTAAGAGACTTATTTTCACACTTGCATAAACTCATTTAGGAGGAGAGCCAAGTCGGACTGTTACAGGCAGCCACTCACCACCCAGCATCCACCTCCGGAGATGCTGGAGAAGTCGCCACCTTATCACACGGCACGTTGGCTGCTCCAGCGCATCGTGACATAAAATTAATGCCCAACCGACAATTTTAATCGGCAACAGTTCTCGTCCTGAGTTATAGCACCGGGAGCGCCGGGAGCACCGCGAGCACCGGGACGAATCCCACCCAGCACAACCTGTAGTCCTCCTCCCCTGCCTTTCCCCTGTTTTGGTAAACTTTGCTGCCAAGATTTCGCCAACTTTTCGGAGTTCAGACAAAGGGAGTCTGAGCCGGCGAGAGTCAGCCGGATGCGTATATTTAAAACTTATTAAATTGCTATAATTTATACGACTTATCTTGGCCCGAGGGTTGCTTAAGCGGGAAAAAATCCTGCGCCGCACAGGCTCGGGCTCGGGCTCACGCTCAGTCTCAGGACAAGGACAAGGCTGAGGGACACACGGCAGGGCAATTAATTTACATGCAAATCGTGCCGAAAGTTCAGTCCTCCGCCCAGTCCCCGCGAATGACACTCGTTTCCAGACGACTTTAAGGCGCTGCAAGAAAGGGGGCTACGGAATGCGGATCCGTAGTCCGGATGCGGACTCGCTCACCCATCATCTATCCGTACACACACTTGATTAGAACCCGGGGCGGTGCTCAGGTCGCCTGCTGTGCGCCGCCTGCTTGAAACAATATGGCGCCGAGGAATACAGGAACACAGGGATACGACCCTTTTGGGGCTCTTAAGAAACGTCGACAGGTTGCTGGATCGTTAGAGTCCTTTGCCCGTCCCATCCCGTCCCGTTCCGGCACCGAACAAGGACTTTTATTGTCCCGGCCGTTGTGCCTTCGCTTTGTCTTTGCGCGCCTAACAAATTGCTGAATTTTTGTGTTGATTTATCGTACAACAAAGCATCGGCGGCAACAATAAAAAAGAGGCAACGGCAGGGCCAGCGTAAAACGAGGGTACATTAAACATTTAGTAATGAGTTTAAAGTTTTAAATGGAATTTTTGATTACAAGTACCGAACGGCAAGGGGCACGGCACGAAGGGGGAAACCTTCTAAAAGGAAAAACAATCCAGAATATCGCAATTTGCTGCCCACTTACGGCTGTAATTACGGGCGCAGCGATTCGAGCGACTGCCTAGAACTAGCTAAGTTCCGGCCTCTCCAGCATTATGTCTGGCAGAATAACCTGGCCATGAATGCGGGATTAGATGTGTAGTTGATATGACAGTTTACACTTCCAGCAGTTCCTCGGCTGGAGAGGCAGTGTCAGCCCTTATCGCGCTTCCGGCTGCTCCACTTTTGTTCAACCCCCACTGAAGGCGGGCCTCCCATTGTCAATATATCACGGGCCTCCTACACGGCCCAGAAACAACCCTTCGAATTCCGAGGAATCCGTGGAAATTCCAACACTTTGTTCAAACATATAAAATAAAATCCTTTCCCAACTGCCGAATCTCCATCTTTCGTCCTTTGTGGGGCTTCTTTTCAATTTAGACAAGAAGAGCCGGGCGGCGAGACCATTAAACGCTTTAAAATCAACATCAACACCGATGACTACGACGACGACAGGGGCAATAAAGTCGACCCAAAAATTGCTTCCTCCGCACATAAAACCCAGGCGAGCGCCGCTCCAAATACCTTTACACACATATAAAGGCGCAACTGCTGAGCCTGGCAAACAAACGCGGTAAAAGTAAACGAAACACTTTGCCTCCCTCCTGCCTTCCCGCCTCACAGGGTTGGGTGGGCGACCCAGCCCACTTAATACTTAAATACAAACGTGTAAATTATGCGATTTTTCCCCGGCGGCCATGTTTGTTTGCAAACTCCATTACCAACATTGCGGGAGCTTCCTCGCCTCCTTCCAATTTCCCGGCTCTACCCAGCTCTCCCAGCTTTTCCAGTTTGCAACTCCCAGCTCGCCCACCCCTTTGTTGGGAGCAATCGTCGCACTTTACCATTAAAACAAAATAAAAAACAGGAGAGGAGCCGAGCTGGGTACCCCTTTATATGCCTTTATGTGTTTTTCATGTACTTTTATTTGATTGTCGCACGCTTTGGCGCCCCGGCCAGGGACGCGGCACCTTGCCTTTAATGGCGTTGTTTTTTAGTGCTCAAAATATTAGCAAATGTTTATTAACGACTACGCAAATTGGCGGTAATCAGGGCTCCGCCGACCTCTGGTGGACTTTAAAGGCGCAATTACTCAAATAGTACTTAACACACAATTGTTGCGTGTGCTCTGGAAAGAGGTCAGGTGTCCAGAGCTTTTGGAATACCTGAAACTTTGGGTGTATCACAATTAAGTCAAATCGAAATCAAGGCAGGGCAACATCTTGCCATATTCGCAATTTTATTAAAAATGTTAAATTGTGCGGCATAAATCACATTTTACTGCACTGGCAAGGGTGGCGACGCCAGCTTGTGGCACCTTTCCCCGAGGGTGGCACTGAGCGGCACTTGACGCGGCTGCCATTTCAGACAGCTGCGCTTGCCACACTATTTTTGTTTTTATTGTTTGGCCGCAGCTAATTCCCGCCCATCCTACCACCGCATTTCCCAGCGGCTGTGTATTATTTTAATTCGAACAATTTACTCCCGGGAGCAGGGTTAATTTCCATTTTGCATAGACTGGCAGCACAGTGATATTAAATTTAATTCATAAGCTGCGGCTGCCTTATCCAGGAAGGGGGCCATTCAACGGAGAAATCAGGGAGATGCGATTGGGTCGTTAACTGGGAGACATGGGCAAAGGCATATTTGTGATCTATTTCGCCGATAAATTGACCCTGTGTGGGCGGCAGGGCGGCTGCCATTTATCGTGGCATACTTTGTCGTGTCTGCCATTAAGTTTAATGACCTCGCAGCACTTTCATCTCGTCAGCCTGCAAACACTTCCGAGGGGACCGGAGCCTCCCGCTTTTTAAAAGCATCCAACTCCCATTAACTTGTGTGAATTTATATCAGTCATTGGCCCTGCTCCGGCTACTGACTGCTATTATGCGTTCGTTAATTATTCACACACAAATACAACCCAGCAGCCATCCTCCTGCCCAGCCGCCCGACTGCCGTCTCGACTACACGTTTCGGTCATAAAAACTGGCCATACTTGGTCGCCACGCCCCCTTAACGAGGCCACTAACTCTGGAACTCCCGGTTTAGCCTTTGCTAGTTCCGTCGGAATGTCCTGTACATGCACATATGTATGTATATTGGGGATCTCCTCTCTCCGGCTCATATGGATCTTGACATTAAATAAATCTAACCTCCCGTATACGCTTAGTGGGCATCTTTAATACTCATCCGCACATCCCCAAAATGTGTGCATATACCATACATATAGAAAAAAATGACGCAGACATTATTCACGCTATCATTGCGCACACACCAAGGAGCAGTGTCAAAGGACGGCTCGCGGGGACTCGCCCGAAAGGGAAAAAGGCAAACAGCGCCCGGCAGCCAGCAGCCGTGCCAAACTATGCTCTCATGGCTCGGGGATTCCCGACTGCGGCCGCTCGATGTGCCAAAAATTACGACTCTTCCTGAAAGGGAACGTTCGAATATACAGCAGAGGATACAGGACATAAGGGCACAGAGCAAACGTATGATTTCTGCACGCATACGCACGCATTTGTGCCACATGTCGCCACCGAGCTCGCCCGTCTGCCACAATCGGTGGAACTGAGTCTGACATTGATAGCAGCATGCGTCCCCGATGCGCGCCTAAACTTTATTGCCTGAAAGTGAACGGGTCAAGAGCCGTGAGCTGCTGATTCTTGTGGCACAGAAACCACACCCGGCCCAATCGAAGCTCGGCAGCAAGTGCCGTGCAGTTGATTTGCATTGGGGTGCGCATGGAGGACTTCCAGGGACCGTCCCCGGGACCCCATTTAAGGCAACCCCAAGCGACCGCTCCATGTCACATAATCGAATTATCATCATGGCATCAACAAATGATTTCAGCTTACGCTTGCCCTTCTGCTCGTCATCGTCATCATCATCCAGCAACCCGGTTACCCGACTATCCAGCTTTCCGGCTATCCGACTGTCTGTTTGTCAGTCTGTCCAGTTGCTCCTGGCGCTGTCACCGCTTTGGCAGTCCCGCGGCGTTGCCTTTTTTCACTTCACTTCATTGTGAAGCCCTCTCCCCTCCACCACACTGGACACTGGGCACTGGGACTGGGACTGGGACTGGGACTGGGACCACATCCGCAGGCGAACCCTTCGTAGGAACGCTATTCTCCTCGTTTTTTTAACACTTCCCCCGTTGGCTCCTGTTTGCCAACGTCATTGTCGCTGGTCATTTTCCCTGCTTACTTCATCCATTCATTCGGAGTCGACCGTTTGGTTGGGTCCATTTCGTTTCGAATCATTCGTTTGGCTCCTTTTTCCAGCTTTGTTCCGTCTGTCGTCTCGTTTGTTTCAGGTTATGTTGGATGTCAGTTTGTTATCCTTGTGCAAATCCTTTTATACAAATGAAATTTGCGCCAAATGGCGATAAGCAAAATTCAATAGTGTGCGGACTGTCCACCGTCCGTTGCTTGGCTTGCGGTTTCCGAGGGAACGGACTGGGGCGGGGTAACCAGCCAAGTCCAGACATGATTTTAATGCAATTCACGTCGGTCACTCGGTCTCTGCACCTCGCACGCGTAACTGCCCTAATTGATTACTAACCTCTCCTTCTCCCTCTCCGTTTCAGACATCAACAAGGCCTCACCCATCGACTTCAAAAGCGGATCGGCCTGCTCCACGCCCACCAAGGAGACGCTGAAGAGCGGCTACGACCGCGGCACACAGGGCTGCATGGGGCCCGTGCTGCCCCCGCGCAGCGTCATGAACGGACTCCCCTCGCACCACTACTCGGCGCCCATGAACTTCCGCAAGGACCTGGCCGCGCGCTGCTCCTCGCCCTGGGTGAGCGTCGCCGCGATCTCGGCCCTGTTCCTGGGCGTGCTCATGCTGATTCTGCTGACCACCTTCGGAGGCCTACACTGGACCCAGTCGGCGCCCTGCACTGTGCTAGTCGGCAACGAGGCCTCCGAGGTCACGGCCGCCAAGAGCACGAATACGGACCTCTCCAAACTGCACAACTCTGCGACACGATCGAAGAACGGACAAGCCATCGGACCCGTGCCAGGACAATACGGATCGGGAGGTGGGCTGGGATCCTCGACGGCCACGGTCACGGCCGCCACTTCGAACAGCGGCACCGCCCAAGGTCTGCAGTCGACGTCCGCCTCGGCGGAGGCCTCGTCTTCGGCCGCCACCACCTCGTCGCAGTCCTCGCTGACGCCTTCGACGTCGCTGTCCTCGTCCCTGGCGAATGCCAATAATGGAGGTAATTATGCACAACTTTTAATTATTTTTAAATGAGTTTTCGAAAGTTGCGCAAGGCAGCTGCAAGACGGTGGGCGTGAGCCAGGGGGAGGCGCCCAAAGAGAGAGAAAGCCAAGACGCCGGACTATTTAGAGCTTAGCGCCCTCCGGCGGAGACAAAAAGTTTGTTGTTTTCGTTGGTTTTTTCATCTCGAAGTTTGCGCCTGACAGACAGACAAACGCCGCGCTGGATAGGGATTATGTGAATGCCGCTTTCATTATATTCCGGAACGCCTTCCCATTTCTTTCAATTAAAGTTCAGCTTGGGATTCGTCGGACTAAAATATTGCATTAATTACTTTTTTAATTGACAGTCGGGCGAACGGGCGTACGAGTAGAAAACAAACACAAGACAGTGGAAACTTTTCACTGAGAATTCTGAACAATCAGATCAGTTTTTTCCAATCACTGATGAGAGGCTGGGTGGGTTCCCAATCTTTCGGTGATTCGACTTAGCGTAAGGTACCCGTCTTCCCTGATTAAATGGCCTTTTAGAAAAATGCTTTTGTCACTGACATTGGTGACCGTAAAAAAATGATGTACTCGAATAGTAAGCTCGTCTTGTTTACCTGTAGGAAGAGAAACTTTAACGCGGCTGTCGGCCGATGGGGTAGATGAGAAAATACGACGAAATCGGCGAAGTGCGGACGAGGCGAAGAATGGTGGCGAGTTATCCATCGATGAAACTTTCGGCAACTTAATTACAATCGAAAGCCTAAACTGGGAGCAGGCTGCTACGTACTTTGCCACGACTCCGCCAAGGAAGCTGCAAGAAGTCGAACGGAGAAGTAGTGCCGATGAAACTTCTTCCGGATTAAACGGTGTATTGAGTCTACAGGGGGATGAGGACGTCGAGGACGAAACCACCGACTATGTCTATGAAGACGAACCTGCGCCAGACACGTCTCCCGCCACGCAAAGACCCAGGACCAGGCAACAATTTGGCAAATCATTAAACAGCAATTTACGTAGCGCAGCTAAAACATTGGTCAACAAAAAGACAAAATATGACGGGGAGGCGGGGAAGCACATTAAGGAGCAGGAGGCTTTCATTGAGGCCGGGATGACACTGGAGTCGACTTCGACAACGGATACAGCGACGAGGGCGACTACGACGACGGAGCCGGGAACCAGCACATTTGTTGCTGTTATTGATGACGATAATCAAAGTGACAGCAGCAGCTCAGGCGCAGTGCCGCCGGTTCTGACGGTTCTGAGGAGTGACACCGATGACATTGTTGAAATCAACACCGCCCTGCCAGAGCCGGCAGAAAGCTCTATTCCCGCCTCCTCCCCCCAGTCTAGCATGGCAAATGATTTTCAAATCAAAGGAAAAGCGGTTTCGGAGTCAGGGCAGGGGAAACCTGCCACTGATGATAACAATAATGAGCGTGATTTAGCTGACAACTATGAGTTAAGGCCCGAGGAGCCGGCTGCATCTGCCCCTTCAAGGGGCACCCCCCTTCAAGGTATAAATCAAGTCTTGGCCAGCGGTATAGAACGGTGACCACAGTTCAGGCTCAAGAAATGTCCTTTTAAGATATTACTAAGAAAATAAAACCTTGTAAATTATACGTAAGCCTTTAAAGTTTAAACATAACAGCGCTCTATTGCTCTAATATTTGTATTTAAATAAATAAATATATTTAAATTGAGAGGACCCTTGGTCAGATATCACATTCACATCATATGGACCTAAACATATGGTAACATATCAGGACCTACTAATTCTAGTTGGAAGTTTCTTGAGCCTAAACTTGACGTTCTATTCCCCGTTTCTGTTCGTATAACATTCTACATTTCGTATCAAAGGTAAGGAAAGTCAGAAGAACGCGACAGTTTTCACGCCATTAACGGAAATAAATAAAACGGAATCAGATTTCATGGTAAACGACATGGCATCCCAGTTTGAGGACATTGATATTGTTAACCTTGGCGAGGCACCAAGCTCACATGAAGAGGCTGTGTACAAGACATCTAGCTCAAAGGACAAGGCAGTGCCCCTGGCGTCAACTCAGCCCGAAGCCATCGAGAACGAAGTCCTCAAAGACCAGGACGAGGATCGCCAGGTGCCTCTACACCTGAGGCCCCTTAAGCCCTATGTGAGTGAGACCATCGATCAGCCGAACAGGCGCATCTTAGTGAACCTGACAATCGCCACCGACGATGGCCCCGACAACGTATACACTCTGCACGTGGAGGTGCCTACGGGCGGGGGCCCTCACACCATCAAGGAGGTGCTGACACACGAGAAGCTGCCGGAGCAAACAGATCACCAGGCAGAGAATTGCGTGCCGGAGCCACCACCCCGCATGCCGGACTGCCCGTGCAGCTGCCTACCGCCGCCGGCGCCCATTTACATCGATGACAGGGGCGACAGTGGGGACAGTGGCTTTGCGCCATCAGTGGTCAGCGGCTCTACGCCACTGACATCGACCACACTTGGTGCTTTGACATCGTCACCTTTAGAAGCGGGAACCAGTTCAGGCGACCGCCACAGCGGAGAGGATGATCATAGGGTTGGAAATGGGGACGCATCGACGGACGAGGGGGAGTCAACTGCCTCAAGCTTCGCCACTAACACCCCGAGCACAGAGATCGATAACCACATTGAAGCCTCCCATACCGAACCCCCTGTTGGTGGTGGTGAACCCTTTGCATGCCCCGATGTGATGCCAGTGCTCATACTGGAAGGTGAATTGTGCAATGTGCATTTGTCGCTAATCTCGCTTGACTTCCTAACTCAACTAAGCGCTGTACAGTCCACTAACCTACGTCTATTTTTTGTAACTAAACTTTCTCACCCCCATTCCCGCATCTGTACAAATCACCTCCACGCCTGAAGGCCTGGCATCGCATTAGTATCAGTCTCATCCTCTGGTACTCCCATTCGTAGAACCCATATCTATTCCAGTGGGGTAACCATCCAGGGGGAACCATATCCAAAGTCTAGGATGTACAAAGACATACTATTTATTTACTCCGAAGCATCTTCGACTAACAACAATCTAATCCTTTTTGTGTCTCTATCACCCCCACATTGCACACTCGAAACATTGCGATCGCTTGCTAAACTAGGAGCTCGAACCTTCCCGGCGCGCAGCTTCCCACCCGATGGCACCACCTTCGGACAGATCTCCCTCGGCCAGAAGCTGACCAAGGAGATCCAACCGTACAGTTATTGGAACATGCAATTCTACCAGTCGGAGCCAGCCTACGTTAAGTTTGACTACACGATCCCGCGTGGCGCCTCGATCGGCGTCTACGGCCGCCGCAACGCTTTGCCCACCCACACGCAGTACCACTTCAAGGAAGTGCTCAGCGGATTCAGCGCCAGCACCCGCACTGCCCGTGCCGCTCATGTAAGTACCCCGCACCATGTGCCATGCCTGCAAAGCAACTAACTTTAACCAAATCTGTTTCATGCACCACCATACTCCATGCCACACCATACATCATCCGCACATTCCATGGCTTGCAACGACGCAGCTGTCTATAACGCGGGAGGTGACGCGCTACATGGAGCCGGGACACTGGTTTATGTCGCTCTACAACGACGACGGGGACGTGCAAGAACTGACCTTTTACGCGGCCGTGGCCGAGGACATGACCCAGAACTGTCCCAACGGGTGCTCCGGCAACGGACAGTGCCTGCTGGGCCATTGCCAGTGCAACCCGGGCTTCGGCGGCGACGACTGCAGTGAAAGCGTTTGCCCGGTGCTGTGCTCCCAGCACGGCGAATACACCAACGGCGAGTGCATCTGCAACCCGGGCTGGAAGGGCAAGGAGTGCTCCCTGCGGCACGATGAGTGTGAGGTCGCCGACTGCAACGGGCACGGCCACTGTGTCAGCGGCAAGTGCCAGTGCATGCGCGGCTACAAGGGGAAGTTCTGTGAAGAAGGTACACCCGGGATCTGCGTTACTTGCTGTCCCCATCGACAATCTTCTGTTCTTTTGAATTCTAACGCTCTGTTCGTTTCTCCTCCACAGTCGACTGCCCGCATCCGAACTGCTCCGGCCATGGCTTCTGTGCCGACGGCACCTGCATCTGCAAGAAGGGCTGGAAGGGACCGGACTGCGCCACAATGGACCAAGACGCCCTCCAATGCCTGCCCGACTGCTCCGGCCACGGAACCTTCGACCTGGACACCCAAACATGCACCTGCGAAGCGAAGTGGAGTGGCGACGACTGCTCCAAGGAGTTGTGTGACCTTGACTGCGGCCAGCACGGCCGCTGCGAAGGAGATGCCTGCGCCTGCGACCCCGAGTGGGGCGGCGAGTACTGCAACACGCGTCTGTGCGACACCCGCTGCAACGAGCACGGCCAGTGCAAAAACGGAACCTGTCTGTGTGTCACGGGATGGAATGGCAAGCACTGCACCATCGAGGGCTGCCCCAACAGCTGCGCCGGGCACGGCCAGTGCCGCGTGAGCGGTGAAGGTCAGTGGGAGTGCCGCTGCTACGAAGGCTGGGACGGACCGGACTGTGGCATTGCCCTGGAGCTCAACTGCGGCGACAGCAAGGACAACGACAAGGGTGAGTAATGAAGAAGTTAGGGAGAAAAATCTTTACTGACTGTCCATTCGGTAGATGGTCTCGTTGATTGCGAGGATCCCGAGTGCTGTGCCAGCCATGTCTGCAAGACCTCCCAGCTCTGTGTCTCCGCACCGAAGCCCATCGACGTTCTGTTGCGAAAGCAGCCTCCTGCCATCACAGCCTCCTTCTTCGAGCGAATGAAATTCCTGATCGACGAGAGCAGCCTGCAGAACTACGCCAAGCTAGAGACCTTCAACGAGAGGTAAGTGATTCCTGGTAGCCAGTTGTTATGCTCAACCTAATTATAAATCCAAATCAAGGCCCAACGGCCGCACAAACCTTCCACAATTGGCATACAAACTGTATTCCTGTACAGTAATGTTAAGAGACTAGAGGGTTGCTCTACAGTAACCACATATATTTGTACAAACAAAATTATAACCGACTAGTTGCATAATTAATCATTTTCTATGTTTATATATTTACGTTTTTCGTTTTCGTGCCCTCGTCTAAACCGTTTCCCCAAAATGAAAACACCATCAAACCACACCACATTCCGAAAATCCCATTAAAATCTTGTATATACAAACCCTAAATGTCCTTTGTTGGAAACAAATCCAGACAGAATAACTCTAAGTTAGTTTAAGCGATTATGTCGTACTAGACTCATAAGTATAAGGCTAAGGTAGCATTACGAACTTTTAATAAATCGCCACAAATTGGAACGAGCTTGAATCCTAAGCTTGGAGGGCAAATCGCATGTCCTGACTGTGAATCCGAGGCAATACTGAACACCGAGTGTAGTCCTTCCAGTGTGCGGATTTGAAAGGAATATCTAAGGCGATTTCGGCTTGATCGAAACGGAGCCGAGCCCTAGGGTCCATGAACAAGATGGTCGAGGGATTAACACCACACTTACCCTTCTAGCTAACAAGGCCATAGACAACTATGCTAATACAATTATTTTCTCTCTGCTCTCTTTTCTTCTCCACACGCGCCCCCTAACCGTGTTAATACCAAACCTGCCACCCACCTAATTACTCCTGCTTCATTCGATACTACCACCCTCTACTAACTAACCACGCACAATGACACTCGCTACCGACCCCACGCGTAACGATCTTCCAAATGCTTGCATTAACTAACGAATGCTAACGCTCTCGTTAATCGGTTAACGGTATATCACTCGTTACTCGGTTCCGGTACTCGCTGTAACGAAATCCAAATCATATACTAACAGCATTTTTTGGAATTATTTCAATGCAAGGTAAGCAAGCGCAACGGTACTGAAATAAAAGTAAACTACCACTACTCTACTCTACTTACCTCTAATTATGATTGGTTCTTTGGTAAAATGTACTTTTTATTTTGTTCATTTCGGCTTATACGTATGTTATTCCGAGACTTGACCGTTATTATTGCCATTTAGTTTATAGAGTAGCCAACCTTGTTTCATATAAGCTCAGTTGATAGCTTAAGTTTTGTTATTGTCCAGACCAGACGAAAAACTTTGAGTTATTTATTTACCATAAATATATATCTAAGCTATGAAAACTCATACTACTCATACTTAGGTCGCTACTAGGTCACAATCATGAGCCACAAAGATAAACCATAATACCATACTGAACATGTATTGTAAACTTGTAATACCTTTATGTGTGGAACAGATTCTTATGTTTTGTGCGTGTGAACTACTTTTACTTTTATGTTTATTATTATTGCTCAAGTAGATGCCAATTCTTAGTTGAACTGCTTGCTAGCCTGCCGGCTTAGACTGCCAATCCCCAAGACCCCATCCTTGCAAGACCCGACTAATCCACCTTCTCTGTCCTCCCACAGCCGATCGGCGGTCATTAGAGGCCGCGTGGTCACCTCCCTGGGCATGGGTTTGGTAGGTGTCCGAGTGTCCACCACCACCCTCCTGGAGGGCTTCACCCTCACCCGCGACGACGGATGGTTCGACTTGATGGTCAACGGCGGCGGAGCCGTGACTCTTCAGTTCGGACGCGCCCCCTTCCGACCCCAGTCCCGCATCGTTCAAGTGCCCTGGAACGAGGTGGTCATAATAGACGGCGTAGTGATGAGCATGTCCGAGGAAAAGGGCCTGGCCACGACCACGACGCATACCTGCTTCGCACATGACTACGACCTGATGAAGCCCGTTGTATTGGCCTCGTGGAAGCACGGCTTCCAGGGCGCCTGCCCCGACCGCAGCGCCATCCTCGCCGAGTCGCAGGTTATCCAGGAGTCGCTCCAGATCCCCGGCACTGGGCTCAACCTCGTTTACCACTCGTCGCGAGCCGCGGGCTACTTGTCCACGATCAAGCTGCAGCTGACGCCAGACACCATCCCCCCCTCGTTGCACCTTATTCACCTGCGCATCACCATTGAGGGCATCCTGTTCGAACGCGTTTTCGAGGCGGATCCGGGAATCAAGTTCACATACGCCTGGAACCGGCTCAACATCTACCGGCAGCGTGTCTACGGGGTTACCACCGCTGTGGTGAAGGTAGGCTACCAGTACACGGATTGCACAGACATCGTGTGGGACATCCAGACCACCAAGTTGAGTGGCCACGACATGTCCATCTCGGAGGTGGGAGGCTGGAATCTAGACATCCACCACCGCTATAACTTCCACGAGGGTATTCTGCAGAAGGGTGACGGCTCGAACATCTACCTACGCAACAAGCCCCGCATCATCCTGACCACCATGGGCGATGGCCACCAGCGACCGCTTGAGTGCCCCGACTGCGACGGCATGGCCACGAAGCAGCGCTTACTGGCCCCAGTGGCTCTGGCCGCCGCTCCCGATGGCAGCCTCTTTGTGGGCGACTTCAACTACATTCGGCGCATCATGAGCGACGGCAGCATTCGCACTGTGGTGAAACTGAACGCCACTCGTGTCTCCTACCGCTACCACATGGCACTCAGTCCTCTCGATGGCACCCTCTACGTATCGGACCCCGAGTCCCACCAAATCATTCGGGTGCGCGATACTAATAACTACTCGCAGCCGGAACTGAACTGGGAGGCGGTGGTAGGTTCAGGAGAGCGGTGCCTGCCCGGCGACGAGGCGCACTGCGGAGACGGTGCGCTGGCCAAGGACGCCAAGCTGGCCTACCCGAAGGGCATTGCCATATCGAGCGACAACATCCTTTACTTTGCGGACGGAACCAACATCCGGATGGTGGACAGGGACGGCATCGTGAGTACCCTTATCGGCAACCACATGCACAAATCGCACTGGAAGCCCATCCCCTGTGAGGGCACCCTCAAGCTGGAGGAGATGCACCTGCGCTGGCCCACTGAACTGGCCGTCTCGCCCATGGACAACACCCTGCACATCATTGACGACCACATGATTCTGCGCATGACTCCCGACGGTCGCGTGCGCGTCATCTCCGGCCGGCCATTGCACTGCGCCACAGCCTCTACGGCATACGACACTGACCTGGCCACGCACGCCACTCTGGTGATGCCCCAGTCGATTGCCTTCGGTCCACTGGGTGAGCTATATGTGGCAGAAAGTGATTCGCAGAGAATCAACCGAGTGCGTGTGATCGGAACCGACGGGCGAATCGCTCCTTTTGCCGGCGCCGAGTCGAAGTGCAACTGTCTGGAACGCGGCTGCGACTGCTTCGAGGCGGAGCACTACCTGGCCACCAGCGCGAAGTTCAACACTATCGCCGCTTTGTCTGTGACTCCCGATGGCCACGTGCACATTGCGGATCAGGCCAACTACCGCATTCGATCAGTGATGTCTAGCATTCCAGAGGCTAGTCCCTCGCGCGAGTACGAGATCTACGCCCCCGACATGCAGGAGATCTATATCTTCAATCGCTTCGGCCAGCACGTGTCCACGCGCAACATTCTTACCGGCGAAACGACCTACGTATTCACTTACAACGTGAACACCTCCAACGGCAAGCTCAGCACCGTAACCGACGCCGCCGGCAACAAGGTCTTCCTGCTCCGCGACTACACCTCCCAGGTGAACTCCATCGAGAACACCAAGGGTCAGAAGTGTCGCCTGCGAATGACTCGCATGAAGATGCTCCACGAGCTTAGCACCCCTGACAACTACAATGTCACCTACGAGTACCACGGACCCACGGGGCTGCTGAAGACCAAGCTGGATTCCACCGGCCGCTCCTATGTGTACAACTATGACGAGTTCGGACGTCTCACCTCCGCAGTCACGCCTACCGGCCGCGTGATTGAGCTGAGCTTCGACCTGAGTGTCAAGGGCGCCCAAGTGAAAGTTTCCGAGAACGCGCAGAAAGAGCAGTCGCTCCTGATCCAGGGCGCCACAGTAACCGTCCGCAACGGAGCCGCTGAGTCCCGCACTTCCGTCGACATGGACGGATCCACTACCAGCATCACGCCATGGGGCCACAACGTGCAAATGGAGGTGGCTCCATACACGATTCTGGCGGAGCAGAGCCCGTTGTTGGGCGAGAGCTACCCGGTACCAGCGAAGCAACGCACCGAAATTGCCGGCGACCTGGCCAACAGATTCGAGTGGCGCTACTTTGTCCGTCGCCAGCAGCCACTGCAAGCGGGCAAGCAGAACAAGGGTCCACCTCGGCCTGTCACCGAAGTGGGTCGCAAGCTTCGCGTCAACGGGGACAACGTTTTGACCTTGGAGTACGACCGCGAGACCCAGTCGGTGGTGGTGCTGGTTGATGACAAACAAGAGCTGCTCAACGTGACGTATGACCGCACATCGCGTCCGATCAGCTTCCGGCCGCAGTCGGGCGACTATGCGGATGTGGACCTCGAATACGATCGCTTTGGACGCCTGGTCAGCTGGAAGTGGGGCGTGTTGCAGGAGGCTTACTCCTTTGACCGCAATGGTCGCCTCAATGAGATCAAGTACGGGGACGGATCGACGATGGTGTATGCCTTCAAAGACATGTTTGGATCGTTGCCACTAAAGGTAACTACTCCCAGGCGCTCCGATTACCTGTTGCAGTACGATGATGCTGGAGCACTGCAAAGCCTAACGACCCCTCGAGGCCACATTCATGCATTTTCTCTGCAAACCTCTCTGGGCTTCTTCAAGTACCAGTACTATTCGCCCATTAACCGTCATCCATTCGAGATCCTTTACAACGACGAGGGCCAGATCCTGGCCAAGATTCACCCACACCAATCAGGCAAGGTAAGTAGAAAGGTACAAAAATAGGAAAGTATACGAAACTTAATAGTTTTTATTATTACAGGTGGCTTTCGTTTACGACGCTTCTGGTCGCCTGGAAACAATACTCGCGGGACTGTCAAGCACCCACTACACGTACCAGGATACTACCAGTCTAGTCAAGACCGTGGAAGTTCAGGAGCCTGGCTTTGAGCTACGCCGCGAGTTCAAGTACCACGCCGGCATCCTGAAGGACGAAAAGCTGCGCTTCGGCTCGAAGAACTCGCTTGCCTCTGCCCACTACAAGTACGCTTATGACGGAAACGCACGCCTTAGTGGAATCGAGATGGCGATCGACGACAAGGAGCTCCCTACCACACGCTACAAGTACAGCCAGAACCTAGGACAGCTGGAGGTTGTGCAGGATCTAAAGATCACGCGCAATGCGTTCAACAGGACGGTGATTCAGGACTCGGCGAAACAGTTCTTCGCCATCGTGGACTACGACCAGCATGGTCGTGTGAAGAGTGTGCTGATGAACGTAAAGAACATTGATGTATTCCGTCTGGAGCTGGACTACGACCTGCGCAACCGTATCAAGTCGCAGAAGACGACCTTCGGTAGGTCGACAGCCTTTGACAAGATCAACTACAATGCCGACGGTCATGTGGTCGAGGTCCTGGGCACCAACAACTGGAAGTACCTTTACGATGAGAACGGTAATACAGTGGGCGTTGTCGACCAGGGCGAGAAGTTCAACCTCGGCTACGACATTGGTGACCGAGTGATCAAGGTCGGCGACGTGGAGTTCAACAACTACGATGCCCGGGGCTTCGTGGTGAGGCGCGGCGAACAGAAGTACCGATACAACAACCGCGGCCAACTCATCCACGCGTTCGAGAGGGAGCGCTTCCAGAGCTGGTACTACTATGACGATCGCAGTCGCCTGGTGGCTTGGCACGACAACCAGGGCAACACAACCCAATACTACTACGCCAACCCACGCACTCCACACCTAGTCACCCACGCGCACTTCCCGAAACTTGGACGCACAATGAAGTTCTTCTATGACGACCGCGACATGCTAATTGCGTTGGAGAACGCTGACCAGCGGTACTATGTTGCCACCGACCAAAACGGTTCTCCGCTTGCCTTTTTCGACCTGAATGGCGGCATTGCCAAGGAGCTGAAGCGCACGCCTTTTGGCCGGATCATCAAGGACACCAAGCCAGACTTCTTCGTGCCCATTGACTTCCACGGCGGACTTATCGATCCGCACACGAAGCTGATCTACACGGAGCAGCGCCAATACGACCCGCACGTGGGTCAGTGGATGACCCCACAGTGGGAGACGCTGGCCACCGAGATGTCGAACCCAACGGATGTGTTTATCTACCGCTACCACAACAACGACCCAATCAACCCCAACCAACCACAGAATTACATGATTGACCTGGACGCCTGGCTGCAACTGTTCGGCTACGACCTGGACAACATGCAGAGCAGACGCTATACCAAGCTGGCCCAGTACACTCCACAGGCCTCCATCAAGTCCAACATGCTGGCCCCCGACTTTGGAGTAATCTCCGGTCTGGAGTGCATCGTGGAGAAGACGAGCGAGAAGTTCAGCGATTTTGACTTTGTGCCCAAGCCGCTGCTCAAGATGGAGCCAAAGATGCGCAACCTGTTGCCACGAATCAGTTATAGGCGAGGAGTCTTCGGCGAGGGCGTGCTGCTCTCGCGGATTGGCGGACGAGCGCTGGTCAGTGTAGTCGACGGATCGAACAGCGTCGTGCAGGATGTAGTGAGCAGCGTTTTCAACAACTCCTACTTCCTCGACCTGCACTTTAGCATCCATGACCAGGACGTGTTCTACTTTGTGAAGGACAACGTACTGAAGCTGCGCGACGACAACGAGGAGCTGCGTCGCCTGGGTGGCATGTTTAACATATCAACACACGAGGTTAGCGACCATGGTGGCAGTGCTGCCAAGGAACTCCGCCTCCACGGACCCGATGCCGTGGTCATCGTCAAGTACGGCGTGGATCCCGAGCAGGAGCGCCATAGAATCCTGAAGCACGCCCACAAGCGCGCCGTCGAGAGAGCCTGGGAGCTCGAGAAGCAACTGGTAGCCGCTGGTTTCCAGGGACGCGGCGACTGGACCGAGGAAGAAAAGGAGGAGCTCGTCCAGCACGGGGATGTCGATGGATGGATAGGCATAGACATCCACAGCATTCACAAGTACCCCCAGCTGGCCGACGATCCCGGGAACGTAGCCTTCCAGCGCGACGCCAAACGCAAGCGCCGCAAGACCGGCAGCAGCCACCGCAGTGCCTCCAGCCGCCGGCAGATGAAGTTCGGCGAGCTGAGTGCGTGAGTGGAGGCAGTTGGAGCGGAGCCGAAGCAGACGGAGTGGGAGGCAGGGGTGCAAGCTTATCCCCAGCCGGACGAGAGCGAAACGGGGGACGAGGAGGACAGCGAGCAGCCCGACTACCTAATTTCTGTAGGCCGGAAGGAGCCAAGGGACAGCAGCGAGACTCTGGAGGAGCAGATTTTGTAATTAGGTGAAATGCGCATCAGCAGCAACCACAACAGCACAACACGGCGACACGCAAACACACAAAAACTGGAAGAGGAGGCATTCAACACACAATTAATATAAACTTTAACCGTGAAGTTTAGTATTAGTCAGAATTCAGCCCTTGAATAACCGAAGAAACTTCTTATATTTACCAAGAACAGGAATATGTATGTTGGTGTTGAGTTAGGCATGTAGGCATATGTGTAGTCCATGTGTGTAATTGTACGTCTGTTTTTGTTTTTTTACCGTGGACAACCGGCTCCACTCTCGAGGTGTTGGCCGGGCCGACGGATTAGTTTTGTATAGAGTCAGCGAACTAAGCCGAACCCAGCGATATTGTCTGTTTGGGGGCATGGTGGGTGGTCCACGATGGCCTGTCCAAATGCCCTTGGCATAGCGATGTCGAACGATGAGTATTACCAAGCAAAATACGCATACGATAAGTCAGATGTTAATCTACAAGTTGAATAAATGTAAAAAGACGAGAGTTCTCTGTAGTCGCCCCTAGTCCCTAGTCCTAGACCCAGCCATGTCCGACCCAGCACCTCTCGGAAGGCAACGGCAAGTACACGTTGCTTCCCCCCGAAACTGCTTTGTGTATATAAGAAAACTACTTTACTATGCTTTAACTAAAAAATCTGCGGGCGATTATCCTTTTATCGAAGTCCTTCGTCAAAACAGGTGTCCGAACCGAGTGCTCGAATAAAAATTACTCCCACTCATGCATTATTTGGAAAGCCAAGAATCAAAATGAATCTTCCGAAGGACCCTTTCAACGCAATACCAATACTCTATCTACCCTTTCCACTCATTTTACAATGTTAACCTGAATATCTGTTGAATCTGAATTTATTCGAAGGCAAAATGCATTAAAAACTTTTTACAAATTGTGATATATATATTTCTAAACATTTCATTTGACAACTTGAAGTGTGATGAACCAAAATCGAATCAACTCAAATCGAAGGGAAATGAAAATGGAAAGCAAATAATGTACTTTACTCTTTTTTTAGTTAGTCGTAACGATTAGTTTGTACAACGCAATATTTAGGTCGTACCATTTGCCATGTTAATTTGTAAAATCGAATACACCTTAAAGTACTCAGAGCTTAATGGCTTTTATTTTTTTATTTTGTTCGACATCCAACTGCAGGATCATGTCCGCGTATCTCTATTCCGTTTCTTGTTGCCGACACTTGGGGTCGGCCCCTGTGTTTGCAATTATTATTGAACTATTTATAAAGCTAACTATTGACTATTGAGATATTAACTAGCATAAAATTAGAGCGCAATATGTATGTAAGTCTTGCAGAGAACGTAGACACACCCCTATAACCGTACGAAACGAACCTTGTATTATAAACACCCCACTACAGATAGGCTTAAGGACTAGGCTAAAGACAAATCCCGTAAATCAGAATGGATTAGCACCTAACTAATGTGAAATCGATTCGGTTCGATGTCGACAGCAGTGAGGCGAAGGGATGAACCGAAATGGTAGTAATTAGCTAAAGTGTTAGTAATTTTATTAAATAAAATCATAAAGGATACAATGAAGATAATTGAATAATAATGGACAAACTCTTAAACCTACACCTAAGACTACTCACTCGAATCTGTATCCGGATACGTTTATTTCGAATTGTAAAGCTAATGCTGTGTAAAGGTTTGAGAAATTCAATTTGTAGGTCGGTACACAGATTAGGTTTTACAAAGAATTGTAAAAAATAGCAAACGTATATGAATGAATGTATATGTACTAAAATTAAGCAGCATTATATTAACCAAAAAGCATAAAACAAAGCGAAATTATTAAATTCAGCAATGGAAGCGGTAGACGAGCGACAAGTGACTGAAACAAGACATTTTAAAGGCGAGCGGTTGCAAAAACTTAGTCTAACCCAACGCGTTTCTGCTTCAGTCTGGGAAGCCCTCAACTTTTGTTCTTTAACTGTATCAAAAAATTCCACAAAGGGCAACGCTTAACTTAATCAATTAGTTGCCATCTTGACTAGGTTATTACGACTATGAACGAACAGCTTGTATTCAATGTGGGATTAGTCTTGAAAATCAGAAATGGCAAGAGTACGCATTAAGAAATACTAGATCACGAATTACGATTCGATTGCAAAAACATTGTATACACACTACATACCTACAATTATGGCAACCCGATATGCATACATGATAATACATAAATATATATAACTTATAATATTACGAGTAAAAAGCGATTTCAATAAAAATGGAAACATACAGCCTCTGTTTTTTAATTGAATGGGTAATGGAAAGACATTTAAACACCTTGGAGGAAGATCCCCAAGCAAATGGCGTAAGTAAAAGGACGAATTATTATTAAGGGTAATTCTTTATTCTATTCTACAATAGATGAAATTAAATAAAACAAAACCAAAATTAGTCAAATTCCAGGTTTGGTTGGGTGCGTGAAGCTTAAAACATACAGTTACGAAAAAAATAGCACCACTTCAGCACATTTTGATTTTTGCGAAAAAAATGTACATAGTTACTGTTGCAGTTTATTACAACTTTTATTTTTTTATATTGTTCAGTATATGTACGTACATTGTATGTATGAATATTGTTTGTACATCTATTGTACGTCCCACAATAACGTATAGTTAACGTTGTAAACAGTTACGTTAAGGGTATGGTCGACCCAAGACTAGAAGCTTCCATAAATCCCATATACGGGCCTATTGTATCGGAAGTTAATAGCTATAGATTCTCAACGAAAAAGACCAAAAAACATAAATATGTATACGTATATATAAAATCGACCGAAGATTAAATTCGGATTAAATACTCCTTTCCTGTTTTAAAATAGACATCCTTGGGATTAGTCTTTGGGTATGTTCTTCTGATAGTAAGTTGGGGTTTTCTGTCAAATTAAGGTCCAATAAACCTGTTAAAGTCCATTCACTTAAAGAATAGATCAAACCATCAATCAAAAAAACACTCGCCCCCTTTAAAAAGCTCATACCCCTTAATAGACAAAAATCAAATGTTCGATTGGTTTACAACTTTTTGTAAAAGTTGATAACATTTATTTTTCGTTCATTCTCAATCAAATACCATACATAGGATGTCAAAGTCTTCAGTTTAGATTAAGGTAGTACCCTTTGGATTCTCTGTAAAGGCAGCGGTTGACCCATGGTTCACAAACTTGGAGAAAGGAGATGGGGGTACATCGAACGACGCTTTACTGTTTAGTGCCTCTGCCCCCCGAGATAATACCAACAACTTTCCATTGAGGCTCTTATCGACAGAGGTCAGTTCCTTGGCACTACTTTTCTGGTCAACAACATAGATGTTAAAGTTGACTCCGTACAGACCAAACAAAATCTCCAGTTCCCTGCGCAGCTGAGGCAAACTGATTGTCTGCTGGCTGGCACTGTGCTGCAGGAACAGCGACGCCTTGTTTCCGTTGCCGAATCGCGGCTTTAGATCTTCGGCCAAAGCAACGTTCAAAAATGGCAGATTGGGCAGTTGCAAATCCTCCGTGGAACAGATAGTAAGCTTCAAGTTAATTCCTTTCAGATCGACAAGCTCACTGGCAATGACTCGTTTCTTGGCGGACTTCTCGGCCGAATACGGTGCAAATTCTGACTTAATGGCCGTCTTAATCATATCGGAATAGCTGCTTAAAACCTTCTTCAGCTGAGCCTGCGTCTCCAATGTCTCCTTCTTGGAGCTATTGGCCTCAAGCTCGTGGAAGATGAGAACGGGATCTGTCGGGATTAGTTGAGCCTTCTTCTTTAGCTTTTGCACTCGATTGATGACCTCTCGGGCCAATCCCTCTTCCAGAAGTTCTTCGTTCGGCGTCATGTCCAGCAACACCAAAACCTCATTATCGCTGTGGGCCTCAAAGTGACCGCCAACCTGCTCAGATGTGCAGTAAATAATTCGGACTTCGTCTAGTTCTATTCGCTGATCTAAGATGTTGAAGTAGCCCTGGGCCACTTGCTTTTGAATGTCATCATCCTTCAGCGCCTTGATAGCAGCCATAACCGCCTTAAAGTTACCCTTGAGTCGCTGGCCGAGAGTCTAAAACGATATTTTATTTAAAATTCTTGGATTGGAAGTCGTAAATAACTCAACTAACTTACCTTATGATCAGGCTCAGCCCTCAAGGTGACGCCGTACTTTTCTTTATCAGAGCTCAGAGTCAGCTTGCGAACGTTCAGCTCGCTAAGAATAAAGTCCTGCAAATTCTTGATAGCTTCCAGTACTTGAGCATCTTTGTGGATGACGATAATCTCCGAAACAGGATATTTCACAGGCAAAGTTCTGCGATCGCGCATAACGCGACCCAACTCCACAACCGACTGCATCAAAGACACCGAGCGCTCGATGTCGTTTCGGATGAACTTGCTCTGGCTAACGGGCATCATTTGGTAGTGGACCGAGTCGGCGTGTTCCAATGACCCAGGAGGCTGGAACAAAACCAGCCGCTGGAATATGTACTCGGTAAGGTAAGGCGTGAAGGGGGCCATCATCTGGACCATTGTGTAAAGAACATCATAGAGAGTGTCTAGCGACTGGATGCACTGTTCGGCGCCAAGTTCTCCCTTAATCCGACGACGGTTCAACCGAACGTACCTAGTCGAGATATCAGTATTTTAATAAATATTTCAACAATTGAATTTTACAAAAGTTACCAGTTGGTCAGTTGATCGATGAACTTCGTTAGCCGAGGTACGACTGTGTACAATCGGTACATCTTCATTTCCTCGGCAAAGAACTGCAAAAGGGATTCCTTGAAGGACAGAATCCACACATCAATGACGGAAGCCTTATCCATATTCTTTAAGTGGCGCTCGCGCTCATAAATGTATTGTCCCTTTCCGCCGAGGTCTTCCTTTTCATACCGAGCAATGTTTTGAAGCAGGAAACGGTAGGCGTTGTACCAGGGCAGGAACACATCCTTGATGATGTCGCGAACGCCCTCTTCCTTGAAGCGTAGACTCTCAGCCCTCACAACAGGCGAGTTGATCAGGTACAAGCGCAAGGCATCTGCACCATACTTGTGGACCACCTCCATGGGGTCTGGATAGTTCTTCTTGCGTTTTGACATCTTCTGACCATCCGCGGCGAGGACCAAGCCACTGGCAATGAGGTTCTTGAACGGCGCCTTGTTAAACAAGGCCGTCGAAATGACAAGGAGCGTGTAGAACCAACCACGGGTCTGATCAATGCCCTCGGCGATGAAGTCGGCGGGGAAGTTGTTCATGAAATCCTTTTCGTTCTCGAAGGGAAAGTGTTGCTGGGCGAACGGCATGGATCCGGACTCGAACCAACAATCAAAGACGGGCGCAATGCGACGTAGGGGAGGATTTCCAGGGACCGCCGAAGGTATTTCAATGTGATCGATGCTTTCCCGATGTAAGTCCTCTACCTGCACGCCAGACAGCTCTGCCAACTGCTTGATGCTTCCGATAACTATAGTCTCCTCGCCGTTTGGTGACCGCCAAATGGGAATTGGCGTGCCCCAGTATCTGTTGCGGGAGATCTGAAATACTTTTATGAGCAACGAAAATATGTATTCCATATTGGTTACTTACAGCCCAGTCTCTAGCCTCCCTCAGCCAGTTTCCAAATCGTTTTTCCTTCACAAAGTCGGGGACCCAGTAAGTCTGGGAGCTGCAGGCCAGCAGGTTCTTCGACATGTGCTCCACACGCACGAACCACGACGGCACGGCTTTGTAGATCAATGGAGTGTCCGACCGCCAACAGAATGGGTAGCTATGCTTCACTTGTCCGCTAGACACCAGGTTGCCACGCGTTTTTAAAACAGCCATGATCTGCTTGTCTGCGTCCTTTACATACTGGCCTTCGAAATCGGTGGCCTCCTTGGTAAACCGACCAGCTTCGTCCACTGGACAAAGCACCTCGCTGGACTTTGTGATGAGGCCCGCAGCCAGGCAGACCCTGTAATCGTCCTCTCCGAAGTATGGTGCATTGTGAACGATGCCAGTACCCGAATCCTCGGTGACGTATTCGTCGACTAGCACGCGATAGGCCTTCACCTCGGCGCCGCGCTTAGCAAAGTATGGGAACAAAGGCTTGTAGTGCAGATCTTTGAGGGTTTTTCCAGCAAACTTTTCCTTCACCTCGTACTCCGCTTCCGTTTTGTAGACATAGGAAAGGCGTGACTCAGCGAGTATGAAGAGGCGATCGCTCTTCACGTCGCGCACCTTTACGTAAGTCATAGTAGGGTGAACGCAGCACGCAAAGTTCGACGGCAGGGTCCACGGCGTAGTTGTCCAGACCAGGAAAAATGTGTTGGGCAGACTTACCGCCTCCAAGGCAACCACCACACATGGATCAACCACCTCTTTGTAGTTCTGATTAGCCTCAAAGTTGGACAGTGACGTTGTGCAGGCAGTAGAGTACGGCATCACTTTCACACCCTGATAAACTAGACCTTTGTCGTACAGCTGCTTGAAGATCCACCAAATGGACTCCATGTACCAGGGGTACAAGGTCTTGTAGTCGTTTTTGAAGTCGATCCAGCGACCCACACGAGTCACAATATTCTCCCACTCGTCGGCGTACCGCATCACGATCTTCCTGCACTCTGCGTTGTAGGCGGTGATGCCCATCTGTGCTACGTCCTCGGGTCCTCGGATGTTCAAAAGCTTGTCGATTTCGAACTCCACGGGCAATCCGTGGCAATCCCAGCCGAAGCGGCGATCCACGTGGTACCCCTGCTGGTAGGCATAGCGCGTTACAATGTCCTTGATGGTGCCGGCCAGAATGTGCCCGTAATGAGGCAAGCCAGTAGCGAAGGGCGGACCGTCGTAGAACGTATATCTGAAAGACACATGAATATATGAGCAATAGGGCAGGGCTGATGCAATAGATTACTGCACTTACTTGGGCTTTCCCTTCGACAGCTGGCTGCACCTTTCAAAGACATTTTCCTCACGCCACCTCTGCAGAACGTTCTCCTCCTCGGCCGGGAAATTAATGTTTTCCGGCACGCGACAGACGTCGCTCCGCTCCAGTTTCTTTCCCATGGCTTGTTTTATGCCCTAGTTGGTTGCCAATATCTAAAACAAAATCTCAGGATCTAAATCCGTCCGGCGATTTTTCGTGGCAACGTGCACTTTAGTGTTGTAAAATACCAAAACATCGATGTTTATATTCACTGATATTTTACATATATCGTAATATGGATTTGTTTCTGGAGTCGAACTTAAGATTCTTTTCAATTTTTTATCTTGCTTTGGGGGTTGGCTTATTTTAAAAATATTACGGGAAATTTTATACTTTTATTGCATTTTGCGGTTTAACCGTGATTCTTCATTGTTACTAATACTTTACAGATCCTAACTTTACAGATACACTTACATTTACATTCTTACATTTTCTACATTTACATTTTACAGTCAACTTCAAAAGTTTCTGTATGGAACAAAGCGACACCTAACGGCACTTTAAGTAACCACATATGGTTTAACTAGAGGTGCTTTCGTTACCTACGCAGAAAACATTTACAATTTTGTCGATAGTTTTGACCAGGGATGGAATTGTGGCTCTTTATCTTCGCCCACCACTAGTGCCGAAGAAGAAGAGTAATGTGTACATTTTTATGCCGTACTTGCAATTTAAATAATATTTAAAGTGTAAAGAGAGGCCCTATTGGATCGAATTGCTAGTGGAAAGACTGCTGCCGCGCACGTGTGAGGTCTGCGCTCTACTGGAACCTCGATTTCAGCCCACCAGAGTCCCCAATTAATCATCGGACATGGCACGCCCAATTTTCCCGAACCAGCAGAAAATTGCTGAAAAACTAATCATCTTGAACGACCGCGGCCTGGGTATATTAACGCGAATATACAACATCAAAAAGGCATGCGGTGACACCAAGTCCAAGCCAGGATTCCTCTCCGAAAAGAGCCTGGAGTCCAGCATAAAGTTCATCGTGAAGAGATTCCCCAACATCGACGTCAAGGGACTGAACGCTATTGTGAACATAAAGGCGGAGATAATCAAGTCGCTTTCCCTCTACTATCACACATTCGTTGACCTATTGGACTTTAAGGACAATGTGTGCGAGCTGCTCACTACGATGGACGCTTGTCAGATCCACCTGGACATCACGCTCAACTTCGAGCTGACCAAAAATTACTTGGACCTGGTGGTTACCTACGTGTCTCTGATGATCGTCTTGTCCAGGGTGGAGGACCGAAAGGCAGTGCTGGGGCTGTACAATGCCGCGTATGAGCTTCAGAACAACCAGGCCGACACGGGTTTCCCTCGTCTGGGACAGATGATACTCGACTATGAGGTTCCACTGAAGAAGCTTGCCGAAGAATTCATTCCCCACCAGCGGCTACTCGCGAACGCGCTCCGTTCGCTCACCTCCATCTATGCCCTGCGAAACCTTCCCGCCGACAAATGGAGGGAGATGCAGAAGCTGAGTCTCGTGGGCAATCCTGCAATTTTGCTGAAGGCTGTTCGCACGGAGACCATGTCCTGCGAGTATATCTCCTTGGAGGCCATGGATCGGTGGATAATTTTCGGCCTGCTGCTGAACCATCAAATGCTGGGCCAGTATCCAGAGGTGAACAAGATATGGATCTCCGCCTTGGAGTCCAGCTGGGTGGTGGCCCTCTTTCGGGACGAGGTCTTGCAGATCCACCAGTACATTCAGTCCACGTTCGATGGCATCAAGGGCTACAGCAAGCGGATCAGCGAGGTCAAGGATGCTTACAACACAGCCGTTCAAAAGGCCGCTCATATGCACCGCGAGCGAAGAAAGTTCCTGCGTACGGCTTTGAAGGAGTTGGCCTTGATTATGACGGATCAGCCTGGTCTGCTGGGTCCAAAGGCTATATTTATTTTCATCGGACTTTGCCTGGCTCGCGATGAAATTCTCTGGCTGCTCAGACACAACGACAATCCGCCTCCAGTTAAGAACAAAGGTGAGTTTATCCAAATTTACCAAAGCACCCAGGTTCATTATGGTTTCCATTCGCAGGTAAGAGCAACGAGGATCTGGTGGATCGACAGTTGCCTGAGCTGCTTTTTCACATGGAAGAACTGCGAGCTTTGGTGCGGAAATACAGCCAAGTGATGCAGCGGTACTACGTGCAATACTTGTCCGGGTTCGATGCAACTGACTTGAACATACGGATGCAGAGCCTGCAGATGTGCCCGGAAGACGAGAGCATTATCTTCAGCTCGCTTTACAACATTGCTGCTAGCCTCACCGTAAAGCAAGTGGAGGACAACGAGCTTTTCTATTTCCGACCATTCCGCCTGGACTGGTTCCGACTTCAGACCTACATGAGTGTGGGAAAGGCAGCCTTGAGGATCACGGAGCACATTGAACTGGCCCGCCTGCTGGACTCTATGGTTTTCCACACCCGCGTGGTGGACAACTTGGACGAGATTCTGGTGGAAACCTCGGATCTGAGCATATTCTGCTTTTACAACAAAATGTTCGACGACCAGTTCCACATGTGCTTGGAGTTTCCCGCCCAGAACCGCTACATCATTGCCTTCCCGTTGATATGTAGCCACTTCCAGAACTGCACGCACGAAATGTGCCCAGAGGAGCGCCACCACATACGCGAGCGGTCCTTGAGCGTGGTAAACATTTTCCTGGAGGAAATGGCCAAGGAGGCCAAGAACATCATTACAACCATATGCGACGAACAGTGCACCATGGCAGACGCCCTTTTGCCAAAACACTGTGCCAAAATCTTGTCTGTACAGTCTGCCCGCAAGAAGAAGGACAAGTCCAAGTCGAAACACTTCGACGACATCCGCAAACCGGGCGACGAGTCGTACCGGAAGACACGGGAGGACTTGACCACGATGGACAAGCTGCACATGGCGCTCACGGAGCTCTGCTTCGCCATAAACTATTGCCCCACGGTGAACGTCTGGGAGTTTGCATTCGCCCCTCGAGAGTATCTGTGTCAGAACTTGGAGCACCGATTTTCGAGGGATCTGGTGGGTATGGTGATGTTCAACCAAGAAACGATGGAGATAGCAAAGCCCTCAGAGTTGCTGGCCAGTGTACGGGCATACATGAACGTGCTCCAGACCGTGGAAAACTATGTGCACATCGACATTACGAGGGTCTTCAACAACTGCCTGCTTCAGCAAACGCAAGCACTGGACTCGCATGGCGAGAAGACAATCGCAGCCCTGTACAACACCTGGTACAGCGAAGTCCTTCTGAGAAGAGTTTCAGCCGGCAACATAGTCTTTTCCATTAACCAGAAGGCCTTTGTGCCCATCTCACCCGAAGGCTGGGTGCCGTTCAACCCCCAAGAGTTCTCCGACCTCAACGAGCTGCGCGCCTTGGCGGAACTGGTGGGGCCCTACGGCATCAAGACTCTCAACGAAACTTTAATGTGGCACATAGCCAATCAGGTGCAGGAGCTGAAGTCGCTGGTCGTCACCAACAAAGAAGTGCTCATCACACTGCGAACTAGCTTCGACAAGCCGGAGGTGATGAAGGAGCAGTTTAAGCGGCTCCAGGACGTTGACCGCGTTTTACAGCGCATGACGATTATTGGTGTAATCATCTGCTTCCGCAACTTGGTCCATGAGGCGCTGGTAGATGTGTTGGACAAACGCATACCATTCCTGCTGAGCTCGGTGAAGGACTTTCAAGAGCACTTGCCCGGCGGAGACCAGATTCGTGTCGCTTCAGAAATGGCTTCGGCAGCAGGTCTGCTATGCAAAGTTGATCCCACGCTGGCCACCACCCTGAAGTCCAAAAAGCCAGAGTTTGACGAGGGCGAGCACCTCACTGCATGCTTGCTAATGGTCTTCGTAGCCGTCTCTATACCAAAGCTGGCCCGGAACGAGAATTCGTTCTACAGGGCCACTATTGACGGCCATTCGAACAACACTCATTGCATGGCGGCGGCCATCAACAATATTTTTGGCGCACTCTTCACCATTTGCGGGCAGAACGACATGGAGGACCGAATGAAGGAGTTTCTGGCCTTGGCCAGCTCTTCGCTGCTGCGCTTGGGCCAGGAGAGCGACAAGGAAGCCACACGCAACCGGGAGTCGATCTACTTGCTGCTCGACGAGATCGTCAAACAGTCGCCCTTCCTCACAATGGACCTGCTCGAGTCCTGCTTCCCATATGTGCTGATTCGGAATGCCTACCACGGCGTCTACAAGCAAGAACAGATCCTCGGGCTCGTCCTTTAAGCCTGTCTTGATCAATAGCGTGAGCACCCGCGCCCGATTCCAAACTGCTTTCATACAATAGTTTACCCAACGGCCGACTGTCGACCATTATGCTAATCTTATTTACTTTAAACTGTTAAACATACCCTAATGTATTCTAGACACTGCATTTTTTTACTCGTAAAATGTCGAATAAAGTGCTTACGTAATCTAAAATGATAAGTCGGGGTGTTATATGTTTCGTAGCTTGGTACGTTAATGTTTTATTTCAGCTTTACGAAATATGTCCTCTTTGGATTTGGGTGTTGGTATCTGAACACTGGCGCACATGCATATTTTGGTGGTGAGTTAATATTTAAAGGACCAGGAGCCAGAGGGAAGGGAAATCTAGGACTATGGCTACTATGACTGAAGCCTGATTAGAATGTAAATTATTCGCAATAAACTTTAAATATACATACGTTTTTTAATTCTTGCTTTAGATATTTTTGCTTTTAAAAAACATAAATAAAAGAACATGTTCCAATTCATTTAAAAAAATGTTAAAATTGTTTCTCAATAAAATTAATTTAAATATGTTATTTCAATTTCAACTACAATGGGTAGAATGTATGTATATGTTCATTTTTGACGAATAGCTGGTACTATTTTAGCCATAGTATGTTTTAATCTTTCATAAAAAATTCGATTATAAGAGGTCCTCCCCCGTGGCTCCCATCTTTGTGTTTGCACAATCGGCCCACCCTAGTGTATATATGTATATGTTACGAAATATGTCTTTTCGGGAAACATTCTCCCTTAATATTAACTTATTTGGTCACGCTCAAAATTACTTCTTAGACTTGTGTTCAAATACTTGTTGGGAAGTAGTAAAATATGTGTTTTTCGTATTTCTCGTAATGGATTTTATCTTAATACCATTGCTACCTCTGTCGTTCGAAGTACCCAGACTTTGATACTGTTTTCAATTCCGCTACAAAGACTTTTATTTGCTTTTGCATGGATGTTACACCGGGTAGAAAATGCAGAGTGAGTATGAAATATTAGTGTTCTTATCTATGCAGAATCCGGTTAAGTTTAATGGATTGGGAAAGCATAGTGGGTCTCGCAGGGAGGGGCTCCTGCTCCGGCCGGAGGGACCTCCAATAATGGGTTTGGTATAGGGTATAGTCTCTACACGCTTCTAGAAAGCTTTCAATATGAGTTTCGTCTGCATTTGCATCCGACTTTGTTGAATATTTCTGATATCTACATTTAGGGTTTATTAATTATACACATACCGAGTTATTATTATTTTATTACTAGTCATGTGCACTCGAATATTTAGCTAGATCATATAATTTATTTAGCATGTTCCGTTTGATTGGTAATTTGTTTTCTTGAAAATGTTTCCTCTCAGTCAGTCAGTTTAGGCATCTGTTGACTATAAAATTGTCGTCATTGTCTTTTGTTGTTCATTTGGGTTTCCTTTGATAAAAAATATATATGATGTATATACTTATATGCACATAGTCGACGTAAGAACTTGAAAAACACCTGCGCCACCTTCGAGTTCGTTTCCGACGTTAAAAATAAAATCGCTCCTTTAGCAATTACGTTTTAAAGCTCTCAAGTACAAAAATCGTGTATTCAAATCAAAAAGCTTTAAAAAATCCACGCAAGCCTCCTTGTCTCATATTGTATGCAACAGATCCAGGAGTGTGCAGCTGGGGAGTCCTTCAGCGCCAATCTCGTTGGCGACCCTCACTCCAACTCCGGGCTAACGTACATATATTAATCCTCTTTTGTGACAAACTGTTCGCATATAAAAGTTAAGCCTACAAATACAATACGAGTACGAAATATGTAAATTAAGTATGCATAGTTGTCCCTCCGCCTAGACAAACTCCTCCTGCTCCAGCCAGGGGTGCTGCAGGCACTCCGCTGCCGAGGCCCGTATGACTGGGTTGTATTCCAGCATTGGCAGCAGGAAGTCGGAGAACTTCTTCGCCTCCACCGGGTCCCAGTCGTACTTCTCCACGAGCACGTTCATGAGGCTCCATGGCTTGAGTTTCGTGATGTTCCTGAGGCTGCCTGCAAGCAAAGACGAGGGGTTAGCCACCAGGTGGCTGGCCGCACTATAGTTCATCAACTTACCATAGCTGGTGAAGTACTTGAGGCCGTGCTTGCCCCGCAGAATCACCGACTGGGGTATGGATCCGAGTAGCTCCACGATGTGCGCCAGGTGATCCTCGTCTCGGCTGTACGACTCCCCCGCATGCGGGTCGAACAGATAGTCGCCGGTGGCCAGCTCGAAGGCCAGACATGCGGTGCTCCAAATGTCAGCTGTATAGTTGTACGGCGCTCCCAGGAGCACTTCGATCGACCGGTATTGCCGTGTTTGGATGTCCTCGGTGAAGTGATGGTACTGACGGAGGGTGTGGGATAAAGGACTTGAACTGCCAACACATTCAGGTACTTACGTCGTAGCACGCGTTGCCCAGATCGGCGATCTTCACCCGCACGTTGCTGTTGTTGATGAGCGACTGTATCGTGTAGGTGTTGTTCTGGCTACTCTGACTCTGGTTCTGCGAAGGAATGGCATTGGCATGGACATTTAGTTTAGCGGTTGTGGTGGTACAGGTCGATATTGGTTTGGTCGTTGTCGCGTTGTTGGTTGTTGTCGATGTTGATGTGCTATTTGTTGTATGGTCGCCGTTGCTTGCGGCTATTGTTGTACTGGTTGTTGTTGGCGCTAGATGCATTAACGTGTGAGTGCACGTGCTGGGGGGCGTGGCTGTAGCGGAGGCAGATGCAGTTTCGGGTGTTTCGCTTAAGGGGGCGGGGGAGGTTGTGTCACTGGAGGGGCAGTTGCTGCCGCTGATCGCGATGTTGTTCGTGTTGATGTTGGTGGTGTTGGGGGTGTTGGTGGGGTTGCAGTAATTCGGCAAGGAGGTGCAGGTGCCTTGATTGGTCGAGTCGGTCTTTGTGTTGGCAATCAAAGTGGTGGTGTGGGTGAAGGAGGAGTTGTTGGAGGAGGTCGGATTGGGCAGCTGCACCGTATATATATATTGTATATTAAGTGATTATCACAAAGAAAGAAAGAAAGGAAGAAAAAAGAACACACAATATTGATTGCATTTTTATTTGCTTCTCTAGGCTGTGCATCTAACAAAACACACAAATCGGTTATCTTTTTAATAATTGACAAGCAACAAATAAAAAGTTTGTTATTAACATACAAGTGCCATTCACAAAGAGGTAACCTGCTGAGTTAGAAACAGAAATACCTGCACTAAGCAAGTACTTACATTTTCAGATAATCTACTTTATTTTAAACCTCTATTTTTATTCTCCAATTTTCAATAATTTTTGAAGTATTTTAATGAAAATTAGATCAAACGGAACTGAACATCATTTAATATTTTAATACCTTTAGCCTAAACTCTAGGGAAGTTGTATGCAAAAATTGTTTATATTTTTTTACTTTTACGATTATTAGACTAGCCAGAACCGATACCTTTCAATCAATCCCTGTGGACTCCACCCAGGTGGCGAACCGCATACCTTAGGGTGGGCAAGGAGGGTTGTGGCTGTTTATAGGATTCAACATTTTCCAAAGCACCAATTGAAAGGTATAGTTTTAATTTCAACATCTTATTTGATACATATAGAGTCTGTAATATCTGGATTATGCTGGTGGATTGAGTAAGTCAATATATATACAAACTAGCTGATACCTTTATTAAACTTTATTCTTTTTATACCCTTGCAGAGGGTATTATAATTTTGTCCAAAAGTGTGCAACGCAGTGAAGGAGACATCTCCGACCCTATAAAGTATATATATTCTTGATCAGGATCACCTCCTGAGTTGATATGAGCATGTCCGTCTGTTCGTCTGTCCGTCTGTCTGTTTCTACGCAAACTAGTCTCTCAGTTTTAAAGCTATCGTCTTGAAACTTTGCACACACCCTTCTTTCCTTTGCACGCAGTATATAAGTCGGAACGGCCCGGATCGGCCGACTATATCCTATAGCTGCCATATAACTGATTGATCGGAAATGGTATAACTTTGACGTTTTTAAAGTTACAGAGTCAAATTTGACATGAGAGCATTTTTTGGCAAAACATTACGACATGCCAAATTTCATAAGGATCGGCCGACTATATCCTATAGCTGCTATATAACTGAACGATCGGAAATGACCCAACTTTCGTGTTTTTGAAGATAGAAAGGTGGAATTCAGTACAGATTCTATTTTTGGTCAGTTGATCCAACCTACCAAATTTCATTAGGATCGGCCGACTATATCCTATAGCTGCCATATAACTGAACGATCGGAAATGACCCAACTTTTGTGTTTTTGAAGATAGAAGTTTGGGACATTTTTAGGTTTGGTTTTTGTATTATAATAAATTGGGTTATATTATCATATTCTCATAAGGATCGGCCAACTATATCCGATGTTTGCGATATATATCCGGTTTTAACTGCAAATGTTTAGCTTTCATTGCTTGTTTTAAATCAAGCAATGTTTTAGCTTTCATTGCTTGTTTTAAATCAGATTTTAATGAAGGCTACCCAGTATGAACATTTATTTTTATCCCAGATTTTTATTCCATATTATTTAATTTTTTACTATTTTCACTCTAAATAATATCCCTAACTGAACTTTATATTAAAGCTTAGAAAGTATAAGAGCATACCAACACAGGAAAAGAAGATCGGTACTATTAGGTGGCACAAGGAAAAATAAGCACTGGGGAAGTATTTTATAAGTCTAAAGCAGGCAGCACTCACAAACATTTAAGCATTTGGCGAGGCGATTTCGAGTCAGTATGTGTGTGTGTTTGGTGGGGTATGCGAACTTAATCTCTAGGGACAATCAGTAACAGTAACTAAGCGGGTTGAAGCGGGAGCAGGAATCACTGGCCGGCAAGCGACAAGATTTGGGTGGTTTGGGGAAACGAATGCGAGCTCAGGAGTCCAAAACAGTAACAGCGGAAGCAGAAGCGGAGAGTGACCCGAAACCGAGGATCAGTCAAAGGATACTTTTGTAAGCCATCTCCACTCGAAACAGATAAAAGCTACTTTCGGCCATAGCCAACGCTAATATATTCTTGCAGCTATCAAATAGGCACTCGAAAAGTGGTAACATATTTATAATAAATTTTTATCAATAATAGTTTTGAGAACCCCAGAGGTATGAATAAAGAGAAAAATAATTTTGGTTTTAAGCAAATGACGAGCACAAAGCGTAGAAGATATTTGCAACAAGAGGAAAGGCACAGACAGGCGGACATTTCTATATTGGGTCAATTACCAAATACAATAAGAAACATGTACATACATATGTAGTTAGTGGGTTGGTTACCATCGACCTTTAACGACGTGCACTATTTGGAGCGAAACAAGAACACCCTTCGCAGGTTTTTCAAAACAAACATTTAGGCAAAACAAAAATTAGAATGCGAGCTATAGCGATCATCGACACGAGTCCTTGGACTAGCATCCTTCGCTATGGATTCCATTTTACCTTCTGTGGGCGGTCGAGAGGACTGTCCTCAGGCTCGGTGGGCGAGTTGCTGGCCTCGGTTTGCTGCTCGCTAAGCATGTCAGACTCGACTTCATCTTCGCGGTCGACAGAAGACTGCGTCGAATGTCACGCCAAAGAAAAAATGCAAAAAAGGACGAAAATGATAAAAACTCGAATTTGGTGGCTTTGTGGAGTGCAGTGTTTCGCGGGAGATTCACTATTTCAGAGGTGCAGATGCTACGCCATCGGCGTAGGCGAGCGGACAATCCTTGCCAGCGCTGTCGACTGTGAGATGATGGGCCTACTTAGGGCTAAAAAGGGTAGACTTACCTTGGCAGTGATTTTCTTCTCGGTCCGGTAGCGAGTGAGACTCGCAGATCCGCCCAAGATGGGACTCTCGACGCCTCCTCCGCCGAGACCGCCGTTGCACTCGCTCTCGCCCAACAGACTGGAGTACTTGGAGGTCAGCGAAGAGGTGGTATTGGAATTGAGAGTGGACGAGTTGGTGGTGGTATCTTCTTTGTCCAGCGACGACATGACCACCGCGGCTAGCGGCGTCGATGAGGTGGAGTTGTTCGCCGTGCTGTTGCTAGTGTTCGTATTCGTATTGGACCCGTTTGGCTCAATCAACGGCCACTTGGCCCTCGTCTTGGTTTGCTTTTCGATGGAACTGACTGCAACCAAAAGTGTTAGATAAGATACTATGATTGCTGTGCTACATGTGCTACTTACTGTACGAGTCGGGAAAGTCCGCGCCCTTTACCCGCAGACTTGTGATCTCATCGTCTATTTGTTGATTCATCGCAGCGGCATTGTCGATCACCAGTAAAATGTTTTCCGGCTTGATGTCCGTGTGGATAATGCTGCACTTGCTGTGGAGGTAGTCGAGCCCCTCCAACACCTGACGGATTATGTTGCGCACCTGGACAATGGACAGGCCCTGATAGTTGTTCTTGACGATCAGCTTATAGAGACTGCACCCGAGAGCCTCGAACACCAGGCACGTGTGCATTCCATTGACACCGCGCACGGTGAAGTGGTTCATCAGGCGGACGATCCGTTCCCGCTTGACGTCGAGAGGGTCTGCGTCGCGGATCGCCTCCAGCAGACGGATCTCATCTGCCGCAGTCTCTATGTAGTGCGGGGCACTCTTCACAACCTTCAACGCCACGTACTTCTCTTCTCTGTGAATTTGGAGCTATAGGGGGTGGAACCAAAACCGCTAACTTATATACTCACTTGAGATCCCGGCAAAGCCAGACGGTTGAGAAGTGGCCCCAGCCGAGTTTGCGGACCACGCGAAACCGATTGTCGAAAATGTCGCCTATGACTACCGGGTGGTAGCCACCACGGCAGTATTGGGAGGCATCCTCTTGTTCCTCGTCCGACACGTACAGACTGCTGTCGGAGGAGTCCGGATAGATTTCATCAGTCGTACTGAGGGTACCACGAGGCTCCGATCTGAAAATCGAAACGGAATAATGTCTAAATTAGCGGCGAATTCTGGCAGGTGGGGAGATAATTAACCCCCAACCCCAAACCCAACGCACATGAACTCTTGGTTTTCTGGTTCCTCCCGCTCGACATGCTTGGACACTGCCTCCACCTCGGGCAACCTAATGGTCAAAGGTTGCTTTCGCGGCGGCAGGTACGTGTCCAATATCACTTCCCCAGGGGTGACCGGCTCGAAGAGCAGGGGCAGGTGACGATGGGGCTTGGGCCGTTTAGACTGTTGGCGCAGCGCAATAAGAACGGGTCCCGCCGAGACACAGTTGCGCTTCTTTGTAAACCGCTTCCGTCGTTTCTTCTCCTCGACCTCAAGCAGGGCCTCAGTCTCGGCTTCTTGGGCGGCTCGCTTCTCCTGCTCGGACACAAAGTTGAAGTCACAACTTAGCTCTTTGGCCACGCTGGGGGTGGCGCTGGGTGGTCTTTCAGGAGCGCAGCCACAGCTCCACAGCCGGAGAATGTACATCAAGAACAGGAAGAGCATCAGTAGGCTGCCCTGCAAAACACCCATGAAGATCGGGTCCTGGGCGAGGGTTCCCAGAATTTTTCGGCTTTGGGAGTGCACCTGGCTGGCCCATGTTGCAAGCAACTGCATCATGTCCACTAATCTAGGGTAAAGGTCAAAAAGGGCTTCCCTCCAGTAATAGCTGGCCGTTACATTGGCTTCCCGGGGGCAGGTGCCCCCCTCACCCTGGCTGCTTCCGAGGCGGGCCACCCAGTCGTCCATTTTCGATTTGCTTGAATGCTCGATACAATTGGATTTCTGCTTGGGCTGTCGCGTCTACATGGCCATGGGTTACAGTAACGGGGTGGCAGTGGGCGCGGCTATAGCTGCATGTGTGGAGAACGACCTTGACTTTATGCGCCCCCTTGCATTGCGGCCGACTGCCGGAGAAAGGGCGGTGAAACACACAAAATGGGCTCGCACACACTCCCCTTATATAACCCGTGCTGGGTGCTGGGTAAATAAATAAAATATCTCGCGAGAAATTTGAATTATGAAAAGTATCTATAGATACGGGCTGCGCGAGTATCTTTCCGCGTCTGTCCGATTCGTTCTGTGGCGGCCGCGAGAATGCCGAAATAGCTTTCGGTTTTCGCTTTTGTTTTCGCCGCCTCTTCCTGAGCGACCTGAGCGACCAAGGCGCAGTCGTTTCCAACTCGCACGAGTATTTCTGTTATGGTATTTCTATTCTGTTTTTATTTTGGCCCAACTAAGTTCCCCGCATCCTCCGTCCGGTTGCGGATCGCCCCGAGCTCTCCCCGAGGCTATTCGTTGGATGTGTGCTCGGGGCATATTTCGTTTGGCGTCATTATCCAATGCTCTTCATCAACTTGTCACTCACTACGAGCTACAAGGCGCCTTTGCCGGTCATGGACTGCACCACACCAGGAAAGAATCCACAACAAGAACTCATACATTTCTACATATGTGTGCATCGTCATCATCGAGTTCATCGCGATTTCTTGGGCATAGGGCCAAGTTTGTCTTTGCCTGTTTACGATTTCGCTTTTACGAAAGGGGCATTCGCATTGCAGGATTTCGAATGCTTTGAATTTTCGAATATTTCTAATGCCTTCGCACGCTTTAAGATTCGGGTGGTTTTCTCATTTTCCCCTCCTCGTTGTGGACCACACCACCCACATTGTATGTTAATTTTGAAGTTCGTGAAATGACTAAGCGGACCATATTGATTTTTTACCCCCTTTTCTTAGTTACTAAGTTGGGCGATTCTGGCTCCCTTTGGAGTTGCAGCACCACTCTCAATGAAATCCTGACCATGAGTCACCCTAATCTTCATGCACTGCAAAAGAGACACCTACGGCTAGGTGTATGCTCTCGCTTATTATGTAGCAGATTTTTTCAATATTATTATTTATAGACGGCCGAACAAGAGTAGAATAAATCCGTGAAAACAGGACGCCAATCAGCGCCGTCGTCACTTCGCCCGCTGGTAGTCCGAGTGGGTGGCACCGACTTCGGGGTGGTTGAATGGGACGCGTCACGTGGTGCCTAATGCGGTTACGGCAAATTAAAAACGTAAACAAACTCTGGCGCAGAAGGTTAACGTGTTTGGACGCCTCCTATTTAGAGGGAAAGACACGATACACATTCTACTGTCGAATCACCTTTATGGCTTTAAGACTTTATGGGATATGTATGTGCTTGGCAACAGTCTCACTTAGACTTAAGCTAAGCTTGGGCAGAACGGAAGTTTGCATACACTTGCGGTTAAAACGCAAGTCAGCATTATAGAATATAATCTGTGATCTTTAAGTAAGATCCTTACGAATATAATCTGCCGAATCTTCCCTAAGTGCCGATCATTAAGTTATCTGACAGCCAAAGGAACGGCTATCTCACTCATGCCCGATCTCAAATCGGAAGATTTAAATCCGGTAGACTAGTTTACAAAGATCAGGCAGAAAAACAAAGAAGGATTAGCTTATTTAAATTCACTAAGTAATCTTGATTCAAACATACTTTTAACGATAAAGAAGTTTTTTCAGAATCTTGTATTCTAAACTTCTTATTAGTACAGGAATTATCGTAGCTCCGGCCTTGTAAACAGTACGGGTGCAGCTCGTCCCGTATGAGGACAGCCGGCCACTGATATGTGAAAGGTTTCACTTAATTGTCTTGTATAGTAGTATTTTGTAGTCTAAACATGTTATCAATTTTATTAAACCTTCCACATCCCACTTATCATCTACTTTAAAACGCTCTAGGCGATGTTCAAAACGTTGCATACTTTTAAACATTATAATACCCACTTCGAGAGTCAGGTTACATTTAAATTATTAAATCGATGTTAAATTCGATATTAAATCTGCCTGGCAAAATTGTTGACCAAATAAGATTCATGTTTAGTGTCCCACCAAAGCGGAACAAATGCAATCATTTCTTAAATACTCACAGACTGACAAATGGTCCGCGCAGAGACGGCATGTCCCGTCGCCGGTTCAGGGGCGGCGAGAGCGACAGCGACAGAAAGTCCTGCTGCGCCTTGTCCTCGTCGACGATGCTGGTTGGGGTGCTATAGATGCGCGTTGTTGGCAGGTAGCCAATCTGCTGCAGAAAGTCGTCGCGGTAGGAGAGCTTTGTGGTCGACTGCGAGGACGTCAGAGGCAGCGCCAGTGGGGAGCCTGATCCGTAAAGAGGAGCTATTGGCAGTGCCGCGGTCACCGTCGACAGAGACAGCGGAGATTGATGCGCAGGAGAGTAAAGGCCACCACCTCCCACTGCGCCGGCACCTGATCCCGACTCAGACCCGTTTCCGATGGGGTGGTGATGCAGGTGTAGGTGGTGAGGTGTAGTCGCCGCGGGCAGTGGCCCGTGGAAGTGGGGGTAAGGAATGACGTGGGTAGGGGCTCGCGACACGTACGGTGGTGTGATGATCTTATCGTCGAAGCTGCGCCGGAAACCGAATCCCTTCAGCGTATTGCTGTAATTGCGGTGAGAGAGTGGCGAGCTGCCCAGATCGATGCTGGCCGCCGGACCCAACATTCCAGCGGTGAGACCTCCGCCGCCGTGTACGGTTTTTCCACTGGCAGTCGCCGTGGCACTGCCCAGCATGCTCAGGGCGGGCGATGTCCGCAACTGAGGGCTGCCTCCGCCTCCACCCCCTCCGCTTCCGACTCCAGTGGCCGGCACAGCAGGCGTCGAGGTGGAAAGCGGAGGTGATATGGCGCTTAGGGTGGAGATGCCACTGTCACTGCTGCAAATGCCGGCCGGCAGAGATGGCAGCGAGGTCAGTGGGGTGTTGGTGGGCGAAATGAGGTGGTGCTTGCCGTTGGCGGCGCCCACGAGGCCGGCCAAGCCGCTGCTGGGCAGTACAGGAGCCAGGATGTCGCCTTGTCGCTCCGCTTGGGCCTTGCCTAAAGTGAGCTGGGGCCAAAACAGGTCCTTGTCCTCGTCCTCGTCCTCGTCCACGTCCGCGCCCCCTATCTCGTTCCAGTCCTTAGCTTGGGGTGACTGACGATCCGAGTGGTGCTTGGACTACAGGGCAGCCGATGGGGAGCAGCTACTTCGCTTCTTTGTCCTCATCGCAGGCCTGCTGCTTCCTTTGTTCTGGGACTGGGCCCGCTCCGCGAAGCATACTTTTGTGCGTAGGAAAATCGATGAGTTCCCGTGCCCAAGTAATTTTTTAATGCATTTTTAGAAGCGTTTTTCTCGCATTGTAACCTAAATTGCGCATGAAAAAGTAAAACGAAAACCGACACACACATGTGTACAGTCCGATACACGCTCACTCACACCGAAACGGATACTGGAGCACACACACAGAGAGCCACCGAGTGGGGAATGGAAATTTTTTCACGACTGATTCTGCCTTTGATTTGGCTTTCTCGCCCTGGTGCCCCGACCTGCGTCCGGAACCAAGTTAACAGCCTTAATTCGATTTATTCCCGTTAATTAGATCGAACACGTAGCTCTGCACTTTTATTTCGTCGCAGGAGTAGCATCGGGCCAGGAGCAGCAGCCAGCAAAAGTCTTCTTTTTGGCGCAATCCCACAAAAGCTCCGCGCGACGAACTCTCCCTCGGACTGCCTTTCGGCTTCTGAGCCACCAGACGGATGTGGCGGTGGCGGCGAAGTTTCTAGCGCCTGCGAGAGAACAGGCGAGAGATGTGGCGCTGCCGAGCGTCCGTGGAGCGCATGTGCCGGGCTGCGCGGTTACTACTCGGAAGCAAAACAAAGCCAGGGAGGAGTCAGGGCAGTCAGCTGTCGCCAACGAGGGTGGACGGAGACGGGGAGGAAGCAGCCACAATGCTCCAGGCACCAGGCAGCGTGCAGCCAGTTTGTTTACCATCCGGAGAGCGGCTGGTTCCGCTGCACAGTGCTCCGCCACGAACGGGCCATACCCTGGAGTTGCCGCTGAAACCCAATGGAGAGAAACGAGAGAGGACGACTCACCGGCGGATTCGTATGGTCAATTTATTGATCTCGAGTTCTTCGTGTTTACCAGAGTACAATCGCAATTCGGAAACAATTTTAAATTTTTGTATGTAGATTACTCTTAGTAGCTTTAATCTTGACTTGTATGAACAATAAATATACACGCAATCCGGAAATCGTAAATACTATTAATTGAATTTGGTTTATTCAAGATTATTCAGTTGATCGAAACGGGCGACTAAACCGAGCCCTGGACAAGACATCCACAGCCCCGCCAGGCAAAAATTTATAATTACGAATAAAATGAGTAGTATTAGGAATATAAAATTTAATACAGCTGGACTATTCGCATTCATTTACATTTCAAAGCGGGCTAACCATTTACCAAACAAAAAAAGTTTAATTTAGAAACAAAGTTGGAATATATGTACGTGTACGTGCTATATTTACGGGTTACAATTGAACTTTGAATACTCGTATTTAAGATTTATATATATATACGATTGAATACATAAATGGGGGAATATTATAATACGTTTAATTGGTTTTCAATTCTAGTTATTTGTATCGTGCCCCTCCACTTTGGGAGTCCTTTTTCAGTTTATAATGCTTTATTGTTTAACCTGACTTATTTACATTTGCATTAGGATCGGATCGGAACAATCAGCTCGAAGCGCCGCTTAATAATTCTTTACATGACAGGGCTCTTGCTGTAACAATTAATTGCAAACTAACAGAAACAATAGGTGACAATGGACTTGGCGTATGATCCAGCTACACTAGACAGACGATGACACAAATGCGAGCTAGGTACACCCATCATATACATAACATAATTAACATACAGTGCTTCTTGTATTAGGCGATTCCACAGGAGGGAGTGTCCTACTCCTATCCACGTCAACCCAAGTGACCGTTTCCCAAGCAAATGTCTGATGATTAACAATTTAAAAAAGCCACAATCGTGTGTTTGATACAGTTGATCGGTGTTGGTGATATATTATGTATGGTAAGCCGCACTTTGGCCCTCGATTTTAGTCGGTTTTGCTGAGTAGCAGCCTCTAGCCATGGAATAGTGGAAACGATTATGAGGGGTGGACCAAGATCAACCTGACTACCGCCTGCACCAGTTGCAAGCGCCGTGGTAAGACTGTTTAAAATTAAAGCTAAGAGCTATCTCTTACTATAAATACAATGATTTATATGTTATCTCGCTTCAACATATCGCTCATCCTTAAAACAAATCTATTTATAAATTAATCTGGTTTTTCATTTAGCTTCAACTTAATTGTTTTTGTTTATGTCTGTGTCAGTATCGGTATCGTTACATACGCATGCACTTGGGACTTGAATCAAGCGCTGCACTTGGCTAATATTTCTGATTGACCATGTCTAGAGGTGAGAAGAGAGGAAAGAGAGAAAGTAGAGAATGATAAGTGCGAACAAAATAAATGTAAGATTTATATAATAAATAAATGAGGAGCGAACCAAACAAAGAACAAATTAAATTTTCAGTCATGGCAGTGTTCCTTCGTGTCTTGATGACGCAGTCAAATGGAAATAACTTCATGGTCCAGTTCAACCAAGCTTGCAAATAAAACTAAGGGGCAGGCAGTTCGATATAACTTTCATTTTCTTCAGATGGCCCTCAGAAGAGCGGATTGAAAAACGGCTGCTGCAGACCTATGGAACGGAAGGTAAAGTCAATAGATCTGGCCATGTCAACACGGGCAGTGTGTGTGAGTCGTCATGCGCATTTGGGTTTCTGGATCTCATGTTCGCCCAGACGTGTTGTGGCTGCCTGTGTGAGTTTGCTTACACGGGTGATGTCTAAAAATATATGTCTTTGTGGCTCAATATAAGCGCACTCCAATACAGAGCTTATATTCTAAGGATGTGCCATACTGTAGAACTGGCCTTGTGTTATCAAGGATTGCGGAACGGCGATGCGTCGGTTTCAGTGATAGAAAGTTACAATATTTGTTTGAGTTGGTGTGAATTATGCACAATAACATTTTCGATGGTCAAAGACGCTTTGTTGGGTTGCTAAGCTGGCCACTCTCCCTAAGGAGCCTGGATGAGGGGCGGACTTCCGGATTACCCATTTATATACCTGGTGTGTAGGTGGTCTGCTCCGTGGTGTTTAGCGATGTGTTCTCGTTGGCGGCCACAGGTGCGCCGGTGAAGGGGTTGACGCCCACGGCTGCTCCACTGGGGGGCGGCATGGCGAAGACAGGCTGTCCACCGGCCTGCTCCCGCGGCTGTGATGTAACAGGGGCGCCTCCCGATCCAAGATTCACGTCATCCAGATCAACGTCCTCCTGCGGGATACGCAATAAGTGAGTTAGACTTGCGATTTTAAATTTAATTGTGGTGGCAATTATTTGCCATTATAGCAGAGTTCTATTAGCGTTTTTAGTCAAAGGAATGGTTATCACTATAAGCTTTATCTACAACTAGCCTACTCTCATTACTACAGGTACTCTTCTACGATTGCCTGGGTATGCGCAGTTATGAGGTTACGAGAAAGCTTCATGCCAAATGCTAAGAAATTATAGTCAGCCAGATAAGAGCGGTTGAATGAAAATCATAAACATTTACCCAAGCATTTACAGCAATGGTATCAGGAGGTGCACCCTCTCCCACAAACTTATCAAACATATTCGCCTTTCGTCATCTCTCATCTGTGCCATCGAACGACTTAATTTTCGACTGATTGTTAGTGGGACGTGTTCTCTTGGAACGAATAAATTTTGACTGGTCACCGGTTAATTTCGGTGGATTCGAATTGGGTTATTGGTTTAGTGTTAGTTAGTTAGTGGTTAAGTGGGCAGGCAGGCAGGTGGCGGCGACGTTTTTCCGGGTTCATGCCGTACTCGTACTGGTGTCATTTTCGAAACGCATACTTACAAGACGTGGCGTTTGTCCCAGGTGTGGTGGCAGATCGCTGGCCTCTCGATTGCCATCGGGGCGCTGACGGGCGCGGGGCGAGAGCGAGTGTGTAGGTGGTGGGTGGTAGTAGGTGGTGGATGATTCGATCGCAAATATTGAGAAAAAAAATTAAACAAAACAGAAACGTAAGTCGTCGGCTTCTCGTGGATGGCTTGCGACTCGCTGTCGCAAGCAAACAAACAAATAAAGGAGAAATTCTATCAGAGGTGCCGGTGCCGGTGCGAACAAAAAACTGAATATGGAATGAGACACTTAAAAAACAAGAAAAGCAATCGTGGATGGAAAAAAAATCTCAGTCTCTGTCTGGTTAGTGGATTGGCCAACCTCAGTCACGGTAAATTCCAACTATTAATATTAGATTCAATTTACATAGGAAAACTGGGGGATATTGAGAGCATTTGATGTAGGTGGAAAACTAACAGTATCACGATGACATTAGACAGAACTTGGTTGAAAAAGTTTGTGGGTGGGTTAATTATGATTACCTTGGGCCTCAGACCACAGTCTCTGGATGTCTCTTGTAAACTTTCGAGCTCTAAGATGTGAGTACAAAGTACCGAACACCGAAACCAAATTCAATACTTACCCCAACGTTAACTTAGAACATAGCCGTGCAAACTGGGACTCAAGTATTCATAAAGATTTAAGCTAAATCAAACAAAGAAGGCAGTGTGCCAAGAAGCTAGATAGCTATGTGAATTATGCTACATAATGGTATTGCGTTTATTGATATGTTAGGCTAGCTGGGAAGCATGCGAAGCGCTCAAATAAATGCCCTGCGCTTCGCACACGCCTCCACCTTACGGACACCCTCACAAAAATCATCAAAATGGAATTTTGTTCGGTTTATGATAGATCAGAATGGAGTGGATGAAAGCATGCGTTAATAGATCTTTAAGATAAGCTCTGCATCGGATTGGTTTTCTTGTTTTCTCGTTACTAAACTAAATCATAATGGAACCAGTTAGTAGCGGGTGGGTCGGGGCAAGGCAGGACTGAGTCAACTCATACATCACTCACATTCAGATGTGCATACTGGTCGTGCGACTCGTTTACTGGCGGCTTGAACTTGCCGCAACAGAAGTTGCAGCAGCAGCAACAACAGCAGCAACAGCAGCATCCAGTTACTATGGCGCAGCAGAAGAACAATGCCTGCAATAAAGATTAAACATTATTCCACCTATTGATTGGTTCTTGAAGCCTGTGCTTGATATCTGACCTTAACTGCCGGCGACGTTACCACAAAGTACGCGTTAACGTTCTCCTCGCCAAACTGCTCAGCAATGTACAGGCCAAGGGATCCATAGTTGTCATATATGTTACGCTTAGTCTGATCGCTCAATATCGAATGCGCTCGGTTCACCTCCTTGAACTGCGGAAAATAATTTAGCGTTGGGCTTAGGGTCTCAACAGGTCTCTTACGTCTTACCTTATCGGCAGCATCAACATTGTCGGGGTTCTTGTCTGGGTGGTATTTAAGTGCGAGTTTTCGGTACGTCTTTTTGATATCGTCTCCGGTGGCTGTTTTAGGAAGTCCCAGGATTTCGTAAAGTGAATCGCCAGATGTGCTGCACGCGATAGAAAACCATAATTACCATATGTTAAGGTGTTATATCTGTTCACGGGGGCTATTCATATGTATTATTTCTATTTTTCAGACATAAATCTTTGATTTCAGGGAAGCCAATGGTTATTAAGGTTCCAGGAATATTGTAAAAGTTACAAAGTACGGTTTTTAGTCAGATATTTGAAAAAACAACAAAATTTATGTGCTTGAATGTTATAGTTTTCATCCCATTTCGATTAGGGATATTTAGATGACTTTTTTATAGTAAATATGGGTCTCCGCGCAACAATTTAGGGTCTTCCAAGGTCCATCAACCCACTGCGATTCATATAAGCTTGAAACTGGAATATAAACCTATATATTGGGTAAGTCACATGGGCCACATGTTTAAGTCCGGCTAGCGATGAGTCAGAACCGGCGGTTTTCCACTCCAGCAACAGTTTGTTGCGCCGTGACACGCAACGGTAACTCGTTAACCAACACCTTCTCCCTCTGGGGCAGCCCACCCGACTCCAGTTTGGAAGGAGTTAGCTGTTGGACTTACGATGCAAGGGCGTCAAAAGCGGCAAGAGTCGCGTGAGATTGCAACCTTCCGCTTTCACATCATATGGATTTTCTGAGGCAGGTGGGCATGCATGCAGAGGTCTCTATTTATAAGCCAAGAATATGGAAGGCCAAAGTATAGGAAGGGTTATTCTGGGAAGCCCCGACCACGGCAGTATGATTACCGCCCTGGCACACCCACTGAGAAAGGGATTTTTTGAGCTGATAAGACAAGAAACGCTTAAGTGAGAGTGAGCCTCAATAGTTCTGCACAGTGTGTTTTGGACCAGGACGATTAGTGACTTGAGAGGATAAGGGCACTTATTATTAGGGGGCGGATGGGTGGTAGCCAGGGCCAAGGACGACGGCAGTCGTCACGAAGGCGCAGCCAGCGCCAATTCGCGTTGCCTTGAACAGGCCCCAGAACTGGGCCAACTGAAAATAGTTACTGCGGCCATTACTCATGGCGGTCGAGTAGGAGCCAAGATAAGGAATTTGGACTGGTATGCGAGGTAGTGGATCGCGATTGGGGCTATCGCAGATTTGAATGAAAAGGTGTACCATTCTCAGAGAGCGAATCAAGGGCTTATAGAATTCGCCTTGTAATGATGACTGATGCAGCAGCTCGACCTTGGCCTTGCCCAGGACGAAGTCGCTTAGCTTTGTTTTTCTGCAGCTGGCTCCAGTAGCAGCTGCCCGTCTCCCTGTCACGCACCCACCCCGACCCGGGCCGAATTCCTGGCTCTCGGGAGAGACGGGTCGCATCCATACATCCATACCAAAGAATGCCCGAGTCGTACAACTTCTGCCGCGAAAAATCAATTCGACGCCGACTGCGCCGCTACCGCCTGCGCGCAGCTGCTTGTGTATGTACTTTGCTGACTGGTCGGTAGTGGCGTGTGTTAGTATGCGAGCAGTTGAAAAAAAAAAATGTACGGCCAAGGGTGCAGTGCGAATTTTACTTACGAGAGTTTCCTCTTATCCATGCCAGGTGCACTCATTGTGATTTTATTACTCGGTGTCTTTGCGGCTGTCAATGAATTTATCACTTGCACTCGCTGTCACACGCCCTGGACCGTCAGCCAAGCACCACTCTCTCCGACGTGTTTTATATTTTTATTTTTTCTATTGCAAATTGCTTTACTGCCGCCGTTGCCTTCTTAGTTTTTTGTAGAGTGACCGTCTTCAAGTTCTGGACAGAGATACCCGCTTAGCCATTTTAGCGCAAAATTCAGCTATTTTTAAGGGTCACAAATTAGAACAGTCATTCTGGCTTTTTTACAGCTTTGATCGGATACTTTTTATCGAAGTCGATATTTCAAGGAAAAATATATGTTATTATGTTCGATTTTAAAAACAAACATTTTCTTTTTGCTTTATGGTTAATACATTTTATGCAGAAATTCTTACACCCGCACTTGGTTACTTTTAACTTATGGTCTTTAGTTCCTCTAAAAATATCAGGCTTCTCTGATGTTAGCTGTTTTTGTTTTTTAGCTGTTCAACTTCTTTTAAAATTTCTTTTCTTTGTAGTAAACTTTTACTTTTAAGATCCAGTTTTTTAAATTATCTTTTTCATTATATCATTCAAAAGAGTAAAGTTCATCATTGCTCACGTTTAGAAAGCACATCTTTATTCTGCCAATATATAGATTTCACATCATTTTTATATATGGATATCAAATTGTCAACGTGACCAGTAAGAGTAATTTTAAAATTTGAATTAAGAACTCAATGTGTAAAACCGTTAAATTAAAAGATTTTTCTGCGTTTTCTCTGAAGGCATTCAAATTTCGAAAAACGTTCTGAGAATGATTTGCGAATTTTTTAAAAAGCTACCATTTAAGATCAACAAGCTTTCAAAAATTGTCTAATTTAAATATAAGCAAAAAACAAGAAACTAAGTGAATGAATGACAATATAATTTAAAATTTTTGGTAAAAGTGTGCAACGCAGTGAAGGAGACATCTCCGACCCCAAAAAGTATACATATATATTCTTGGTCAGGATCACCTCCTAAGTTGATATGAGCATGTCCGTCTGTCTGTTTCTACGCGAACTAGTCTCTTAGTTTTGAAGCTATCGTCTTGAAACTTTGCACACACCCTTCTTTTCTTTGCACGCACTATATAAGTCGGAACGGCCGGGATCAGCCGACTATATCCTATAGCTGCCATATAACTGATTGATCGGAAATGCTATAACTTTGGTGTTTTTAGAGTTAGAGAGTTCAATGAGATCTATTTTTGGCAAGACATTACGACATGCCAAATTTCATAAGGATCGGCAGACTATATCCTATAGCTGCCATATAACTGATAGAAAGCTGGAACTTGGTACAGATTCTATTTTTGGTCAGTTGATCCAACCTACAAATATCATAAGGATCGGCCGACTATATCCTATAGCTGCCATATAACTGAACCATTGGAAATGGTTTTTGGTAGAAATACCAAATTTGGTATTTTTGAAGATAGAAGCTTGGGAATTTTTTTTAGATATTTTATTGTAATTAATTGGTTTTATTCTGACATTCTCATAAGAACCTGCCAACTATATCCGATTTTTGCGCTTTATATATCCGGTTTTAACTGCAAGGGTGTATCAACTTCGGCTACGCCCTAAGTTAGCTTTCCTTTCTTGTTTTTCTTTCAGTACGACAGCGATATCTGCGACATCCCCAAACTGAGAAGGAAGGAAGGAAAGATCTTCCATTCCTGGACCTGAAAAATAAATAACTGTCTTACCATGACTACACCAACATTTTGGATATAGTTTGTAAGAATGCTAGGCATTCAAATAAATTTTTTTTTAAAATAAATAACAATAATAATAAAAATAAAAAAAAAATAAATAAATAAAAACCAACAAGTTAATGAAATCCATAGATAAAAATTATAGAAGACTGTTGCTGAAATGTAACTTAAAAAATTTCATGGATGAATCGGTCATGTCTCACCGAACACCTCCATCAGACCAGTGTTCAAATAGTTTTTAGTTAGTCCAATGTCCCAATCCAATTGATGAAAGCCATATTGAGGCTTCCCTCAAATGTATTAGGGAAAAATGTCAATCCGGCAATTTTAGTTTACAAGTTCACGTGGAAATGTATTTACAATTTAAAAATAAAATAAGCAATACATTTTCTAAAAGCACCTTTTAGAGCACCTAGTTTGTTAAAATTTTTTCTCACTAAACAACTCATGCTTCTTAAACTCATTCATAGCCTATGGTTTTTAACCTGAACGGACTAACACATCCGATCACTTCGGCGATCGATGGCGGATGATAAGATGAGCTTTTCTTTTTTCCATTGATTGGCAAGTTTGATTTGTCCATGAGTCACCCGGTTTAATCGATAGTGGCATGAGTCACCCGCATGAGTCATCGCTTACCGTATGGCAGCGATATTTCCTTAGTATTTTTAAGTGTTTCAGTGTTGTTTCCTTAGTATTTTTCAGTTTCAGTGTTGTTCCCACCTTGATGTTTACTAATATTAATGTCCGTCAAATGCTATGCATTTGTAAAGAATTGAATAAATGATTGTTTTTTCTTACTTTGAGCGGGTTCTACACTCTTTAAGAATCTTGGGGTTGGGTTTGAAAAATTGCCCCATACTGTTTTGAGGTGAAAATTCTGGTGAAATTCGAATAAAAGTGAGCCAACCCGGTTAACAGCCTATACAAAAATTAACCCAAAACATGGTTTTTAAATTGTGAAGCTCTCAGGGAATGCGCCCATATGGCCGGTAGGGAAGTCGATGTAGGACCTTTTCAAGTATGTATGAAGAAAAAATCATAAAAATCGCTCACTACAATTTTGAGAAAAACGACTTACCATATCCATATATTTTGACTGATAAGAGGAGCGCCAACTAGTGAATTGGAACCAGTCCACAAAAAAGTTCATTCAACTTGTTCCAAAATAAAAGATGGGCTCTGTTAGGCTTATTGGGTTCTTCACAGAGGATGCGCCACATTGCACGGTATATCAGTAAAAAGCTTATCGTAATGGTACACCCTTGAAAAACAGAATGTTATAAAACAATTTTCATCCACATCGCTCCCACAGATTAAAGCAGGGACCGTAATCCTTGAGTGATTTTTGAGTGATATTTGATTGCATATGTATCTCCTTAGAGCACCATACAGATACCATTTGGTACCATGATTTTTTCACTTTCACCCTTTCTTACCATTAAAAATTAGACAAAAATAAATATGAAGCAATCATTTTGAATGAAAAATGTTCAATGTTCTTTCATTTGTTTAATCTAATATAACGGCACCGTTAGTCATTCACCAACAATCTTAGGTCGGAAACTCATTTGCTACCCGGTACAAATAAGGATATTGGAACTGTTGATCGTTCCAGTACTCCATTATATCCGTATCCAGACTAATAGGCTTTGGACTATTATTATCGGTCTCCGATCCTTCTTTTTTAATGTCCTGGAGGTGTTCATCATCTTCGGCTTCGTCTTCAGAGGGAACCTCTATTTCATTTAAAACAAGAAGGAAAAGCTAACTTCGGGCGGAGCCGAAGTTGATATACCCTTGCAGTTAAAACAGGAAACATCGGAAAAAGTTGGGCTATTTTAAATTTTAAATCATAGACAGACATGTTTTCGGACTTCCGAGGAAGCTTCCTTTGGTCTTAAATTTTGGCTTATCCTCATTCTGTGCATCATCAGCCTTGTACATTTTTTTCGATAATTTTTTTTTCATAATAATCTTTGACTAAAAAACAATAGTTTATCACCGATGTTTTCTTTACTTTTCACCAAACCTAAAAAAAAAAATTTCAATCATTAAAAATCCATAATTTTCGTGATTAGTATTTATTGATTTGCTTGTTTTATAAGTACAAAAAATTTCCCGTTTTATTATGTATTTAATACATAATCTTAAAAAAAAGAATTTCAATTTTTTAAATTTTGAACATGTATGTTCTCCCACTGTAGCTAATTAAAAACTTTCTTTTTGGCATCAATTTTTTAATAAATTTTTTTATAAAACATTTTAACAAAGGTTCAAGCTTAAAAAAGGTTTACTCACATTTGTTTAAATAATTAATATTACTTAAGCAAAGTTTGTTTCCTCGGGTTGTAAATTGTTTTTCTCGGTTGTGTTTTCTCGGTGTTCATGTTTTTTGGACTTAATATTATTGTTCTATTTTGTAGGTTTTATTCTATGTTGCGCGGGCATCATTTAAAAATTTGTATAGGTGGCGCAAGCCCCAATGCAAACAATCGACATATCGATAGTTCTATCAACAGTTTCTCAGCTCTACCGCAACAGTCTTGGCGCTTCGCAATCGAATCGAATCGAGTGACACGAGTGGACGTGTTTTGAGACGCCCGCTCAGCTTGCAGACTTCTGGAAGTAGAGCAATATGAAAAGTAAATAAGACGGCGCGTGTCGAGTGTTTATAATAAAATTGATTTCGTTACCGCTACGGAGAAGCACAGGCGCCTCTTTTGCATTCCCAACATCTGTACCGCGGATGCCGTCCGCTTGTGAATTTTGGCGCGTTTTCAGCAACAGGTGCCTAGCGTCGTGGCCTATCCGCCGATGCCTTGCAAACGGATCGTGTCGAAAGGCGGGATTTGGCGAAATTTTTGTTTATAGAGTGACATAGGCCCGTTATTAATGCTGCACCCCAGCCAGTCCGGCTAAAAGGGGTCAGCCAGTGCGCGCGTGAAGAAATTGAATTGACTTGGCCACCGTCGGCGCGAACCGAAATCTGTGTCGCAAATGAGGCACTAATAAATTATCGCACATTCGCAGGCCGCAATTGAGAGTGCTTCATTAATGTAGAAATCGCAAATAAAAGAGAATATCTAGTTTTGCAGCGGCTGCGTTTGTTTAACTTTGCCTCGAACGTGACCAAACTTTGTAAGCGTCAGTGCCGCCTGGAGCTGACGGATAACTTCGGAGTCCAAGCAGGCCAAGAAGCACAACGCTCTGCCCAAATATCGGACCCCCACTTACCAAGCCAGACCCTTATGCAGTCCAATTAGCATCGCCCCGAAATGAAGACCCGTGGATAAGTGAGTGAGTAAGCTCTTCTGCAGCATACAGTGCGTATGACAGTTCTTACGCAATTGCCGAAACATCACACATTGCTGTAAAATTTGCATACAAACAGTTCCCGCCGACCGGAAAATAATTGATAGGCACCATAAAGAACAGCAAATACCCACACTGAACGTAGTATGCGCAAACATGCTTTTTCAGTGGCAACAGCTTTAAAGTTTAAACCCAGAGTGCCAGGCCAGTAAGCCATGCAACCAGCCAACCAAACACCAGCCAGAGAGCGAGACAATCAAAAAGCAATGCCATTTTCCATAATTTATTTAAAGTTCTTGTTGTTTTTGCCGCGGCAGTGCGAGCCCCGAAGTGAGTCAGTCGCGTGGCGTCGCGTCGCGTCGCGCTTGTTGCAGCCGCCGCCGACTGCATGCCAGCGCGTAAAGCACTCTGCAAGAGAGGCAGCGCTGCTGTCATAAGCACGCCGTCGCAAACTGCCAAATTGTGATCGTCTGGGCGGAGGGGGGGTGGTGGCACGTATTGCGGGGGCCGTCGCTGCAGCAGTGCATTTTTTCGCAGTCGGCGTCGCTGCCACTGCCCTGCTGTCACTGACCATATACAACGGATGGAAGTGCACACCTGCGGTCATGAGAGTAGCAGTGGCCTGAAATTCCCCAACTATAGCAATAAAATGCATAAACTGGTATTAAGTTTTTAAAATTAAAAAATAATTATATTTTTTTTTCTTAATTGTTAATTTTTTGTATTAAAGAATAACATCAATCTCGAACAGCTTGCGTGCGTCTTAGTGGCATTGCATTTGGAAAAGGAGAAACCTTTGAATGATTGATGTGCGGGGCCAGCCGTCGCATCAGGCGAGCACTAGGTGGCCTCTAGGCGGGCACCTGATCTTTATGGCTTGGAGAATTTTGGCCAAGCGTTATCATCCACGCACACGAATTTTAGTTTAAATAGTTGATTACCCACAATATATAAAACTAATAATGCTGATTACCCGCAAAACGGGGCCAAGAGATTGTGCGTTGTGTCGAGGATGTCCCTCGGCGAAACGCAAATTACCCGCAAAATTGCGCCCTGCCGCCCCACCCACTCTCGGCACCAGCATGTCATTCACACATGCGGTCGGCCGTCGGGGTGAAGTGCCGCAAATTTAATTAAACCTGTATGCAGATGGCTTTCCAATCGGCCCCAAACTTTGCCCGGGGTGTCGGACAGCGCGCTTATCACTTGAAACAATTGGAAATGTAAAGCACTTGCCAGGAGGTGGTGGAGGGGGAGGGGGCGGTGCGCGACATATGTTACATTCTGTTGGGCGCTTATCAACGCTTACAGCAACTACCCAAGCGGCAGTAACAAGGGGCCGGCAGGTTGGCTTGGCGACAAAGAGCCTCACCCACAGTTGGCACACTTTTTCGGGGGCTTGGTTCCGACTGTGGCAAAAACCCGGCGCAAGGGGGCCGGGCCGGGGTGATTCGCTCAAATGGCATCCCATTAAACGTTCTACAAAAATTAACATAGCCATAAACGCAAATACGGCAGGCGGAGGCCAGAGGGTCGCATGGGGTGCTGGTGTGAGGGGGGCCGGAGCCCACCTTGGCTACGTGCGTGTGAGGCTCAAAGTAACTTTAATTGATGTTGAAGGAGCCATGGAGCCATTAACGGAACTGCCAGGATTTCAGCTTCCAACTTTGGCGAAATTCCCCGAGAAATTAACATTAGAAAGGGCCAATCGAAGAGGCGAGAAAGAAAGAACGGACCCACGACAAGCAGAGCTAAGTGAAATGAAAATGGAATTTTGCGACTTAATTTCAGTTACACATCCTGTAACGGCAGCATTTTATGCTTACAATGGCTAGAAACCCACAAAAACCGACACGGAAAGGACAACGACCGGCTTCTTTCTGTGTGGCATGTGTTTCTGTGTTGTACCTAAAAAAATTAATTAGAAAACAAAATAATTGGTGAGATAAATTAACTTGATTTAGTAAATATAAGTATAAATCAGAAAGGAGGAGAATAATAAATAAGGTGAATAAGACCTGCTTATATGACGGTTTTATTTAATTCAGTTTATATGTTTTTAAGTTTTTTAAATCATGGTTTTAATAAAACTAAATAAAATATTCACGAAAATCTTACGCTTAGTAATAATATAGATTGAAGCAATAAATTATTTGTAATATTTTGTGGGCTGTGAAAGTATATGCCCTCCCTTCGCCTGAGTACCCATTAAAAACCTGGGGTTGGGGTGGTGAGGTCTGCTCCTATTGAACGATCCGGGGGCTGCTGGGCGGGTGCTTGTGTTTTATGAGCAGAAATTTAATGACCACAAACTGAATCTGAAACCAACATTCTAGAAGGTTGAATAGGCCAAGTACATGAAAGTAACGCCTGCTAAAGCCACTTTTTCTGGCCGACAAATGTCCTCACACTTCCCCCAGCTAGGAGTGACCAGTGCTGCTGAAAAGGACGCTCTCATATGCATACGATGGATACATAAGTGTGGCGACTATGGGGACTTGTAGTTGTGCCGTGGGGTTTGAGCTCCTTTGCCATTTTTCTGAAAATCCTCTTCAAAATGCCATTATTTTTGCGAAATCAACCATATGTTTACAAAAACTAATATATATTAAAAGTTTGAGAGCTGCGCCAGTAAAAGTGGATACGTGAGCGCACACTTTAAGGTGATGGGAATCGCAGTGAATTGGTTTTGCGAAGAAGTTTGGTTGTGGCGCAGACTAAGGTGTGGGTCACATCCGTTAACACAATCCTCCGAAAAATAACCCCAAGAATAGCGCATTTAAATGCAATTTGCGACAGTTTTCCTTTCGCGCGACTTTCAAGTGACACGCACACAGTGCCAGCTGCAGGAGGTGGGTGGTTAATCCTGGAAGGAAACTCGGCAAGGCGAGACAAGGCATGACCCTACAAAGGAATTTTCTGATAGCTCGGAAATATGTGCAATAACGACAATTCTGAAAAATAAATTCCAGCTGCTCGTATGTATATTGAAAGTGCAACCAACTGGTATCAGTTAAAGTGCTACAACTGTCTTCTTTTTCGGCTTTGTTGGTGTTAGTTATCCCGAGGGTTGTGCCCCAATATTGCGCAAAAAAGATCCATAAAATGGGCGACAAAACTCGACACTCGAGCCTGAAATATTTGCCAAGAAAACAAAGACTGAACCGTGCGGAAAGGCCCTGAACCAAGGCTTTAAAATTGATTTTGAGATAATGAATGAGCAGCACGCTTGACGCGCATCAATTTTCAAAGTTGTCACCCATCGAACGGATCTCCCCTGGACCGCCTGGACCTTCTGTCACTCCTGCCATCCCTCCCCAAGCTCAACCTGTAATGACTAATGACAAAGTTCTCCTTTGTTTCATTCCTCCGCTTGGCTCTTTATTAGCTAAACTTTTCACAAAAAGCTGATGTGGTAGGCGCCCCTGCCGAAGGGGGAGGACTGCCGCGTCTCCAAGAAGTAGATGCCGGAGGTGGGCCGCTCCTCTCCCCTCTGACCCATTTTGAGGCTGGACCACCTGCAGTTCTGGGCGCTCATCGTCTCCACGGAGCCGCACACGGCACTGACAAAGTCGTTTGCGGGCGACCACATCTCCGCCAGCAGCTCAAAGGCGCGCTCGTGCGAGCAAGACCCTTCAGAACAGCCAGGCTGGGACGTTCCTCCATTTGGGAAGTAGTCCACGTGGCCCAACGTCTCCCAAGTGCCTTCTCCTCCAGAATCGGTGTGCACAACCTCCACGAACTCGGCATCCGACGGAGACAGAACATGCTGAAGCGATTCTCCCGAGGTGGGATCGAGGGCAGTGAGGTGCAGTGGCTTGTGGCCCAAGTCCGCGTGCACCTTGGCAGCCACTCCTCCTGCCAGGTGGGCGCCCTCCGCAAAGCCCACGAGGAGGATGTCTTCGAGTGGGACATCAAAGTTTTTGTTCAGTAGGATTACCATCTTGGACACTTTCTCCAACACCTCCGCCTCGTCGCTGGCATCCGCCAAGTCGACGCTGATCACGTTGCTGGCATGCTGGTCTAGCTGGGCGGCCACCACAGCTTGGAGCTCCGGTGACGAACTGTTGCCCTGCCAGCGGGGAAGCGAGACCCTAGAGGACAATAGAAGCTCTTATCAGAGGGTCAACGGATTGACGGGTGGGGGCATTCACTCACACTGTGGGATCCGCTGCGTAAAAAGAGCTGCGCAGCAGAGACTCGACCTCCGGATCCACCTGCTGGGGAGTGTCACGGATGCGCCGTGTGTGGAGCAGGAATTCCGTATCCCCGTAAACTGGAATTGGGATCAACACGAAATGTTATAGATCCTTCGAGGGGTCTTCGTCCGTATAGCGTACCTGTTGCGCCCAAAAAGGCGAAAAACAAAAATATGACTAGTCCCGCTTGCATTCTGAAAACAACTGAGCTGGCTGGAAAACCTTTCGCCGCGGGCATTCCTCAAAGGCTCGATAAGATTGCGGCTTTCGGTTTATTTGGTTCGATAAGAGATCGGTTATCGTCGGTCATCTATGATGGCGGTTGTATTTTTTGTTACAGAATGCTCAGTCAGTTCGCCTGCTTATTCGATGATTAAACAGTTAAGTTGAGGTCATCGTAATCCCCTCTCAGAGAGAGCTTTGAACCATGGTAACATGCACTATGGGAAATTTTACATTTTTTGTGGAATGTTCCCATGAATTGTATATATTCTTGAACAGGATCACCTCCCGATTTGATACTCAGTACACAGAATTAAAACTATCGACTTGAAACTTTGCCCACATTCCTTTGCACGCTATAACTTTGGTGTTTTTAGAGTTAGAGATAACTCAGCCAAAGTTAATTCAGTTAATTCAGCCTAAAATTACCAAGAAAAAAATTTATCTTCAAAGTGGTGATTTCTTTTTCAAAGCTCTTCATTAACATCATTACACTTACACATGCTAATATAATCCAATTTTAGTGCAAACTCGTGCAACAAACAGATATTATAAATATCCTTTTTAAAGAATACGGAAAAACGATATTTTTATGACCTTAAATTTTGATGTTTTTCAGCTTGTTGACCTTCCTCTCTTGCAATCATTTGGCTTTGACTTCATAAAATAATATTGGTATAATCGGTTAACTTTTATGTCTTAAAAAATCCCGTGTTTTTAACCGTTTCCTAACTAATTTTTAAATCTCTTTCAAATATTCCACAAGAAGTGTTCAATTACCCATAGTGGAATGGTTTAATACCCTTTTAAGGTGATATACGCAGTTGTGCGACCCAAAAGAGTTGCACTTTTAAAACATTCTTACGAAGAAAAGAACTGTTTCAAGACAATTATTATTTACTTAACTAGAAGAACCTTATAAGAAGATTACACCATGCCGAACATGTACATTTTTAATATTTGCTAATTCCTCCTCTATAGCGTTTATAAGAAACATCGCCGAAAACAATGCACTTTGCGGTGAGCTCGTTTTTGTCGGTTATCGAAAAAAATAATAATACATATGTACATATATTAGAAAATTATTTTCTTTGTTCAAAGATTCCTTTGTAAAAAGACCAATCAGACTTTAGAAACGCTCTTTTGGGTAAAAGGCGTTTAAAGTCAGCCGGCTCCCTTACAGACACTCTGATATGAGCAAACAAATTAATGTATAGCTCCGAAAATAATTATTTGATTGAGTTAAAATTTTGAAAAATGTTAGCATCTAAATATGCATCTTAATGCATATTTTAAAAACTAATACAAAATACAATAAAAGTGAAACACAGAATATTTTCGGATGCATGGCGTAGAGCGTGGAAGACCTTTATGAGTTTTTAAAATAGAAACAATGCACCGAGCACATTGTTGGAGTGTTTATTCGTGTAGGGCCCTTTTTTAAGACCATTTATTTGCAGCATGAGAAAAGCTGCTATTTATTAGGAGAAATATTCCATGGTCCAAAATTGTTTATGGTAGACTTCGAATTAATCAGCAGCAGCAACGTTGCATAACAAGTAGTTTCGCCTCCCCCGCCCTCAGCCAGCCAGCTTGATTGCAGCTGCATTGGCTGGCAGACAAATTGCACTTAATTGCCTGACATCCCCAGCAGGCAAATGCCGACAAACGTCTTTAAACGTTTGGAAGTTGGCCGGAGCTAGAAAAATATGTGGGTCAAACTTTAAGTCACTCCCATCCATCCGAGTAGCTATTATTTGAAACTTAAGGTTGAAACCAATAATAATAGAAGTAGTTTATCGCCCCCGACCTTGGAAGATAATTTTAGGATATGTAACTGACCGGTTAAAGCCGATAAGATTATAGGCACCTACATAGGCACTTCTGCCACAGTTAGGTTTTCGCAAAAGTTGAACCCCAATGTCTTTTCAAGTGAAAAGTTTTTCTGTTGGAGCTGGTTCCTAAGATCTTATATCTGATAGATTCATAGAGGACTCTAATACCCCACTACAAACTTCAGGGACAAAGAATACGTCCATACGGGAAGAAGTTCTCCTTTTGGTACCCAGTTCTAATCTGATGTACGGCTGCTGCTGCGTGTGGCCTCGCATGCGAAAAGCAACTTCGACCAGCTTCGCCTTCCGGACACACTGGAGCGGAAACATTGGAAGATGGCTCACGTCCCCCTTCTGCATGCGACTAAATCGCATGCGAAATTGTTGTGTCAACTGCAGCCGGAATAGCTAACTTCCGCGCCCTTTGGCCAATGATTCCGCAAGGTCTAACAATTATTGGCGGATGCCAAGGCCCTTCTTGCCGGCTCAGTGGGCCCGATATATTTATGGCTAAGTACGCTTTATTAAACGATGCCGGCGCAGGCGGCGGTCATTTATCACATTCCCGTAGCATGATGGAGCATCTCTCGAGAAGGAGGAGTATTAGACTTCCAGTATTAGCATATAGATCGTATCCTAAGTAAAGGACTCCAAGGTTACCGTGGCAGGCGCATTCAATCCCACAGCAGCTTCAGGCCGATTGGAAAGTCAATATGCCAGGCAGTCTCCGAAGCGGTTACAGAGTCAGGGGAGGATGCTCGGTTTAATATAATAAATTACTTTGATAGCTGCAAAAAGTTGCAAAGGTTCTGCCAATACTGGCATCGACACGAACAGTGGCAGCTCCTCGCAGCGTCCTTCCCTGATTTCTCGCTGGCCTCTGGGGCGGGCAATCTAGAGGGCGTGCGAATCAAGCTATTTGCAATACGGGCGAGAATGGGAGGAATGAATTGAAGGGCACACCCACATTAAAGCCAAACAAAGACATTCCTGGGATGGGGCGATTTGTGGGGGATACTTTCCCGCACGCCACACAGCATCCCAGCATACATATAATGCGACGACATTTCTCATAAAAATTTCATTACATTCGCCCAAATGACGGAAACTTCAATATCGGGGAATTTTTATACACTCGTTGAGTTCAGTAGGTGTGGCATATGTAACAAGTTAAAGTAAACGCGTCTGTGGAGGTCCCTTTTTTAAAAAAGAGGGAAAGGTATCCAATGTTGTCTACAATATGGGTTTAAAAACTGGTTAAATGGCATCTCAATCTCGATGGCGTTCTTTAGTTATTGCCTGTTCCTCCTGATAATGTAAGAATAAATGGATATATAAGTGTCAGGCTCATCCTGGCATATGCGCCACCGTACGGGAAGTCCTTGCTTAAGCCCCCGCTAAAGTACCACGCATTAGTTTATGTATTTTTCCTCGGCATGGGAGGATTGGGGTGGCGTTGGGCATGTGTGGCTGCGCATAAATCAGCGGCAGTCCAGGACCGAGTCCTCCACATTTCCAAAACAAATGCGCCTTCATTCAACCGCCTTTACTTTCAGATTCCGGAATACAAGGAACTACCGAAGGAAACTGAAGTCGCGAACGTAATTAACCGCCCAAAACACATAAAAACAGAAGCTTTGGGGCATTGGGGCGTGCTAGCCAAGAAGGGAAAGCAGGAGCAATGCAAAATCAACAAAAATGTTGCATCTCCCCGAAGGATCAACATTTGCTGCCAAGGATACCGCCAACGAAAAGGGAGCTTTCATCTTTCATGCGAACCAATCCCCTTTAAATTAAATGCAACTTCAAGAAGCAGCCTTGCAGCTTGGTGCCCGTAATGTTGGCGTCCCCCTGCCCTGCCCCCACTGGAATCCGCGCTGCAAACCCCTCTCCCTGTCTGGTTGCCCTGGTGTTGGCTGCTCTCAGCCAGTTCTGCCCCGCCCGCGCCGAGGTCTTTACACTGGGCTACCTAACGGGCTCGCAGAGGCGTCCGGGTAACCTGGACTACCACCGACCCGGCCTCACCATTTCTGGCGCCATATCGCTGGCCGTGGAACAGGTGAATATGGGCGCTCTGCGGGACCGCGGCCACACACTGGAGTTCGTGGTGGCCGAGACCTTTGGCGAAGAGGTCACCAGCATCCGCCAGACGGCAGCGCTCTGGACCCAGCAGGTGGCTGCTTACATCGGACCCCAGGAGACATGTGTCCATGAGGGTCGCATGGCCGCCGCTTTCAACCTGCCCATGATATCATACGTGAGTTGGCGCTCCGCTACCTCGACTCGGTCTGAACAGTTTCTTTCCAGTACTGCACCCATCGAGATCCATCAAACAAAGCCGACTTTCCGACATTTGCCCGGACGCGGCCTCCCGACACCCAGATCTCCAAGTCGGTGGTGGCGCTGCTTCTGGCCTTCAACTGGACGCAGGTGACCTTCCTGTACTTGGACGACGCCATTGGTCAGTACCAGCCCGTAGCTGAGACCATTTTGAACACCCTGGCTGTATCCGGCGTGAGCATCAGGGACGTCCGCACCTGGAACACCATATATCACCACGGCTTTATGGCCAATCCCTTCGAGGCTTTAGTGGAGCAGACACACGTCAACACAAGGAGTGAGTGTCAAGATTGGTTATCTGCCAAGTGAGGATTATGATTGTTTTCCTGTAACATTGCAGTCTACCTGATCCTGGGCCACTACTATGAACACGTCGGGCTCATGGTCAGCCTCCAGAATCGGGGCCTGCTTTCGAGAGGCGACTACTTTGTGGTGGGCATAGACATCGAGCAATATGAGCCGGCCAAGCCAGAAAAGTACTTGCGCGGACTGTTGCTGGAGGAGGTGGATCCGATTGCCGCACAGGCCTTCCAGTCCTATTTGGGCATTGTGCCGACGGCGCCCGTCGCCTTTGCCACGTTCGCCAACGAGGTTTGTGGTCTGACAGGCCTGACAGTGGTATGATTGATGCAGTGCATCCGCCGTAATCCAGGCTCATAATTGTCAGGCCTTTCGCTACATTGATCACACATTCTGGCCCTCATTTTGCCAAATTTCTTTTAGGTCAACAAATACATGGAGCGACCGCCATTCAATTTCCCCAACCCCCTGGGCGTGTTTGGCGCCGCTAAGCAGGTTCGGGCATCCCTTTTGAATGAAACTGAAACCATCACTCCAACCCCCGTCCCTTTTCCAGATAAGCGCCGAGGCAGCCTATCTCTACGACGCCGTCCATCTGTACGCCAAGGCCCTGATGGAAGTGATGGACTCGGGAGGCAGGCCCAGGAACGGAAGCGCCATTGTGGCGGCCATTAAGGGCTCCCGATACCGCAGCGCCATGGGGTGAGGGTCATCCACTCGGCAGCGAATACTCGTAAACTCAGTGCGCCTCTTTCTGCCAATTTCAGTTATCACGTGTACATCGATGAGAACGGAGACGCGGCGGGCAACTACACAGTATTAGCCAGAGGAAAGGTGCGGAATGGGCGCAACCAGACGGTCCTCGGACTGCGGCCCGTGGGCACTTTCAGTCACAGGAACATCAGTCTCAGCAGCACGAGCGAGACATTGCCGGTGAGTTATCCTTACTTTTCGTCCTTCGCCTTGTAATTTGCTCTCTGCCACCTTTTAATCCGCTTGGCCTCCAGCAGCAGGTAAGCGCTTCTTCACGGCTAAACCCACACTCGTTCTGTTTGCCATTGGTCTTTGCCTTTAATCCTGTTCCCATGTGCTTTTCCCCAGGATCTGAATTTGTTTGTCCCCATCGACTGGGTTGGCGGTGCGCGCCCTGCGGCGGCTCCTCGCTGCGGCTTTAGCGGCGAAAAGTGTGTTAGTGAGTATGTGATTTCTTGACCATTTCCCCACCTAACCACCTTGTCTCTACCAGATTATACAGGAGAAATCTCGGCAGCGATAGCGGGAGGAGCTCTGCTTCTGTTGGGATTAGTTTCGCTGGTTTTCTACAGGAACTGGCGCTACGAGCAGGAGCTGGACAGCCTGCTTTGGAAGATTGACTTCCGCGAGGTGCAGATGCATGAGAACGAGAGGGATCAACAGAGCCAAAAGCAGACTCGCGTACGTAAACTCCTCCACAATCCAGCAATTTTTCTAATCTGGGCCATTCTCAAGGATATCCACCTGAGTCTATGTCATATTGTGTAAAGCAAGTCTCTAAAGAGATTTGAAAGACAATTCTGTCTAAAGCTAAAGTTTAAACATTGTTGCATAAATTTATCCCCTGATTCTTTAACTTTAAATAGTAGGGATTTTTTGAAATTTCAGACAGCATGTTCGAATTTTTTTTTTAATTTTGGTTGTTATAATTAGAGCTTGGAAAAAACTTATATTCATTTCAAAGTGTTTAAAAAAAATCAACCATGTCCGAACTCTTTAAGAAATCTTAAAGAAAACAAAACACTTTAAGGCGTTTTTGCTCTAAAAGTGTTCTGCTAAGACCAAAATTTGTTTTCTATTCGATTCGGTCAAAAGTTTGGGACCTTATAGGTACCAAGTGAACATTTTTCGGTAAATCACAATACTCCGATTTTTTAATTACCCTTTCAGAACCTTTTTTAAGGTAGACGTGCATCCCTCTGAGCCGAAAATAGATTTTTTTTTTAAATTTTATTATAAAGTATTAGTACAAAGTAATTAATTTGTCGATCACTTCTAATAAAGCTGTCGTTAAAAGATACTTTTGTAGGGAGCATGTTATTTAAAGTGTCCTGCGAAATTTGTACAAAGAGACCGATTTTTCTATTCTGATAATTAAATCTGTCGGACCGAAACAGAAATCATTTTTTTAATGTTTTAATTGTATTTTAAGTGTATGCAAGTGTAGTCAGAATGTATAAAATTGAATCGAATTTCTCTAGAAATCTTTAAAATAAAAAAAAAAATAAAAAACTAGAGCAATCACGCACAACCTTCATGGAAAACAATTCTGTTACAGGCTCCTGATGCAAAAAACATAGCTATTTCAGCAATCAGTTTGTTGCAAAATTTAAGAAAATAATTAGGCTGGAAGAAACAATTTCCGAAATGTTATAAATTGTATTATTAGAGTATTTTTAAGCCTTTAAGATCAAGGGGTGGTCGAACCAAAAACGCAGTGTCTCCTTCACTGCGTTGCACACTTTTTACCAAAATAATAATACCCCTTGCAAGGATATAAATACCAGCTTCCAGATATAAATATAAGTTTTCCCTGCATAAGCCATTTTGAAAAATTCTGTTTTTTTTTTTTCATAGTCTACGCATCCGCTGATCCGCACCAGTCAGGTGAGCCTGAGCTCCAATCCCGATGCAGATTTCCGCTACACGACCATCTTTACACCCATCGGCCTCTACAAGGGCCAGCTATACGCCATCAAGAAGCTCCGGAAGAAGGGCGTCGAGATAACGCGCGAGATGAAGAAGGAGTTGAAGTTGGTAAGTCTGTAAGCCCTTGGGTCCTGGAATTCCTTTAAAAAATGTTTTCGTAGCTACGCGACACCCGGCACGACAATATCTGCGCCTTTATAGGCGCCTGCACGGACCCGCCCAACATTTGCATCATCAGCGAATACTGCACTCGGGGCAGTCTTAAGGTCAGTCGGTCAGTTGGCTTTATCGGGGAACGCTCCCATGACCCCCCGTTACTTTCTTATTGCAGGACATTCTGGAGAACGAGGACGTCAAGCTGGACAACATGTTCGTTGCCTCCATGGTGGCTGACATTATACGCGTGAGTGCTGAAACATTATACTAATGGCCTGCTCTGACCCCCTTTCTATTATTCTCCTTCCGTCCAGGGCGTCATCTATTTGCACGAGTCGCCCGTTCGCTTCCATGGCGCTCTGTGCACTTCCAACTGCTTGGTGGACTCTCGGTGGGTGGTCAAGCTGACGGACTTCGGCTTGTTCGCCTTTAAGCAGGGCATTGAGGACAACTCCACGGACATGCAGCACATGTCGGCAAAGTGTCTAAGTATGTGTCTGGTCTTAGTCGTAGTCCCAACTCACCACCGTTTTTTCAGAGTTACTATATCGAGCCCCGGAACTTCTCCGACAGGGGCCCGCTTCTCTGGTCATGGGAACCCAGCGCGGGGACGCGTACTCCTTTGGAATTCTGCTGTACGAGATGCACGTGCGCCGCGGTCCGTTCGGGGAAACTGGCTTAACGTCCATGCAGTGCTTGCAGAAGGTGCTCCATCCGCAGGACAAGATGCATCCCTACCGACCCTCTCTCCAGCCTCTGGAGACAGCCTTTGACTGCGTCAGCGAATGCCTGCGCGAGTGCTGGGCGGAGCGGCCGGAAGAGAGACCCGACTTCAAGACCATTCGGGCCAAGCTGCGTCCGCTTCGGAAGGGCATGAGACCCAATATTTTCGATAACATGATGGCCATGATGGAGAAATACGCCAACAATCTTGAGGCCCTCGTCGACGACCGCACGGATCAGCTCCAAGAGGAAAAGAAGAAGACCGACGCCCTGCTGCACGAGATGCTGCCGCGTTGTGTGGCTGATCAGCTCAAGAAGGGCCACAAGGTGGACCCCGAGCACTACGAACAGGTGAGCATCTACTTCAGCGATATTGTCGGCTTTACGGCCATGTCCGCCGAGTGCACGCCGCTGCAGGTCGTGGACTTCCTCAACGACCTCTACACCTGCTTTGACTCGATTATCGGCCACTACGACGTCTACAAGGTGGAGACCATAGGCGACGCCTACATGGTCGTCTCTGGGCTGCCCCTGCGCAACGGCGACCTCCACGCGGCGGAGATAGCCACCATGTCGCTTCATCTATTAAGCGCAGTTTCCGAGTTCAAGATTCGCCACCGACCCACCAACCGCCTGCTTCTGCGAATAGGCATTCACTCGGGACCTGTCTGCGCCGGAGTGGTTGGGCTAAAGATGCCGCGCTATTGCCTCTTCGGAGACACCGTCAACACGGCATCGCGGATGGAGTCCAGCGGTGTGCCCCTAAAGATCCACTGCAGCTGGCAGTGCAAGCAACTGCTGGAGCGCCTGGGAGGCTACTATTTTCAAGAGCGAGGCTTGATTTCCATGAAAGGAAAGGGTGACCAGCGCACCTATTGGCTGCAAGGAGAGGACGAGGACGCGCGCAATCGGCGCACCTACGAAAGATCCCAGCGACGGGGGTCGCGGGCGCTAAACAAATTCATCCAAGGCACAATAAAGCAGGCCCAGGAGCACGCCAATGATTACGGCATAAGGTCCTCGCTGAAGCAGAAAAATTTGCCGCGAAACTCGCTGGCCCGTTCCTCCAGTCTGGAATCGCCAAAGAAGTTACGCTTTGCTGCCGGAAGCCTTCTTGAGCATCACCGCTATCACAGGTTCGTTAAACGCCAATAAAATATTTTCAAATCAATGTTTGGAGGGAAATTATGGTCGTGCCTATCAAATATACCTAAAGTAGTAAATAACTTGGATGGCTAGATGGATTTTAAAAGACTGTGTTGCTAGTGAAATTCACCAAAGATACATTTAGATTTTAGATTTAGATACATTTAGCCACTTTGGATGAATCTTAAAACGCTTATATGTGATATTGCAGCACAGAATTATACTAACCATTGGCCTTGTAACCCACTTAATTGTGCATCTCTCTGTTGGTTTTATAGTGACGAGGCTCTTCTGGAGGTGGACTCGTACACGGGCCTGCGACGCTCCTCGGGAGGATCCGTGCACTCGCGCTACGAGGAGACTACCCTCTCGCAAACAGTGTCCTGCCAAAGTATTGAGGTGCTGAGTGTGCAGTACAGCCAGCGGCGCCCGTCATCATATCCCACTGCCAACACTCCGCTGTTGATGAACCACATTGAAGTGTGAAGTGGAGGCGGGGAACTTATCCAACCAAATACAGGAAAGCTAGAGGAATTTGTGTTCAGTATCATTAGCCAAGTGTTTGCAGGGGGACACCCTTGCATCAGCGCCGTAGCATCAGCATATTGTGAGAGTGATTATAAATCTAGTCATTGTTTTACAGATCCATGCAAATCGAAATAGTCAAAATTGTAAACGGAACGAATTAAAGGCAACACCCAAATAACGGCAACGTGATATTTTCTAGGAGTGACCTTGGGCATGTTTATTATGTTGTGTACTTTGTCAGAGTTTGATTTATTGTGTCTTGAAGACATTGCATCCTTTTAATGTACATTAATGGTATTCATTCGACAAACTTAACGATTTATTTATACAACTTTAGTTTAAAACCTATTTGTGCATTTCACTAGGCGTTATAAATACATTATTTGATTTGCAATCATTGGATCATTGCAATATATGTTTGTGTTTCACTGAGCCAATCTGGCCAAGCCTCTTTGGAAAACGACCTCGAAAGTCCATTAGATTGTTTCAAAGTCCTAAGAAAGGTGTAAATAATTTACATATATGTTTGATTATCATTTAAATTGTGTTTTTATGATAAGCCACAAGCTTTAAAGCACTCTTCAATAGGCTGAGTATTAATTTTGTTTGCGTTTTAATTTCGAAAGTATTGCTTGTTTGTGTTTCAATTATTGAGTGCGTAAGGAAATTCGTGTCTAAGGGTGGGATTACAAGGTTTGGGATGGTGTGACGGGGCGAGCTAATAAAATATGTTTACATATTCAACGCTACATAATGCAACAACTCTAAATAACAATCTGGTACCCGAATCTGGTAGTACAGTGTATATCAACTAGGTATGAATGTATATAACAATTATGGGGCGGGCCCACTCGGCTTGCCTTCTATCAAAATATTTCGACAACAATGGATATAATCAACAATACGCAATTGCACAATTCTGAGTTATTGTTCGACTGCATTCGCGATCACTCGGCTGCTCCTCAGCTTCTCGTACAAAACTTCTCCTGCAAGGGGACCGACAACAATTGGCTTATATAAATAGTAACACTATTTAATATACAGTTTATAGTATATATGCGTGTATATGTATATGTCGGTATTTTTAAATGCGCCTCTGAAAAATAATCTCTCAACATTTGATTTTGATTCAGGCTGCAAGGCGACTGCCGAATGCCTCTAAAAATCGATAAACCACTATAGTGATAAAGCCAGCAGAGAAGGATGCTGCAGCCTTAGCGTTTGGTAGTACAATAGTAAGCTAATGTAGAGACGGCGATTTTCGGGTTCACCTCTACTCTCTTCAAAATAGTCTGCAAAAGGTTCAAGCTGCCCCCGGGGTCACAAGCTCTCGCCCGGGGCATGCAACGCTCGCTTCTAAAAATTCTAGCCTTCATCTCGGCTTCTTCGCCATGCTGGTGGATCTGCGAATTCAAGGTTTTTCATTATTATTCCGCCATAATATTAAACCATAAGGTACTTACCTCTTTATTCCGTGTCGTGGGCTGGAAGGAGGTGTGTTGCAAGGAGAGGGCGGGGCGGAGCCGCCCGATGAGCCCCTCGACGACGATATAGACAGGGTAGACGCCCTTGGCGCCGAGCAGCCCAGATAGATGGCTGATCCCTTGTCGGCATCCCGCAAATCCACTCGTGACCCGTGGACGGAGGAGGGAACCGAGCCTATTAAAATAAATATACAATTTAACAATGTAAGAACAAATGGTGGTTTCTTTTGTAATATTTATAATATATTTTGCAAATATCTCATATAATTGGATAATACTATTGATAATTTTAGAATCAGACCAATTTTGTCTATGAATTTTTACAAAATTTAAAAGCACAATCAGAATCAATAAATTTTTTTATCTTTCTGCAAAATAGCAGCTATTGGATATAGTCGACCGATATCTGAAGTACGGACTTTTACACAGCGTGAATAAGGAAGGAAGAAGTGTGCATAGTTTCTAAAGTTTCAAGAGCTTTAGGACTGACAGAATACTTTAAGTAGAGACAGTCAGACGTGTTTCTGTATAACGAGTTGATCCTAAGTTCCACACTTTTGATTAAAATTATATGCAAGGAAATAAACATTGTACCCCGTTCATCGTTCCATTAGAAGAACTACAATTTCCAATTTTTTTTTCCTATACGCATAATTTTAACTGATCCATAACCTTTAGGCTCTACTGAGCAACTGAACAATGTCGAGAACAAACATAGGTTCCATCACCCACAGTTTCCGCGGTACACCTAAGAAAAGAAATTTTGCCATATATTGATTTATGTAGGCCGCGTAATTGCGTTGTCCATCATTGTTTTTAGTACATATAATTTTTTAAATGTACTATGTATACCAGCTCAAATTCAAAAATGATATCTAGCAGTTACCACATCTTTGGAATACTCATCCCAAGTTTATATGCGTATTTTACACATTTATTGTTGTGCTTCTATGATTTTTCCTTAAACATTTTCCTATGAAAGAATTTTTTTCTTATTGAAATCAGACCATAAGATGTTTTAATTTTGGATTTAAGGAACAGCTCAAAATATTTGTATATTGAATATATTATAATTAGTTAAATAATATTTTCGTCAATTAAATTGGACTTTTAAATAAAATTTTATTTTTAAATGTAATGGTCAAAGCTATTATCAAATAAGCTTTATTCAAATTATATTCCAAATTCGTGAACTAGTTTTAGGAATGACAATTAGGAATGACAATTCTTCCATAGGAAAATGTTTGGGGAAAAATCAAGTTGAAAGTTTAACATTTTGTAGCCTACTTTGAGGCTTTGTTTTACGCTTCTCACATAAATAGCTGAATATAAATAGATGAAAAGCTTTGGAGCTGCGAGGCAGTGGCCCTAACTCCGACTAGAGGCTGCTTTCAACAGATATGGTCTCTAAAAATGTCTCTAAAACGCACAGAGGCCACACTCACCTGTATAAGCGTGCAGACCTGCCGGACTGCTCCACGGACGCACTCCAAAGCCGCTTACTGTGCTGGCACTCCGCTGCAGATGTGCGGAGCCGTCGCCTTCCTTGGCCTTAGACTCTCTCCGACTCCCGGCACTGCTCACCCGAGGAGTGGCGTTCGCAGAACCGCCAGGTCGAGGTGAGCGCTGACCCTTGCCCAACTGCTGCTGGCGTTGCTCCTGCTCCCGACGGGCGTCCTCGACGGCGGCGGCGTACTCAGCCGCCTCACTTGAAGTGGTAGGGACCGGTTCAACCGCAGTCTCATCCTCGGGGATGCGCTCGTTTCCCACAGACCGGCGGGGCAGGGGCAACGGCGAGTGCTTTGGCGATGTGGGGCAGGACTGGGCAGCGGCGCCGCTCACAGTTAGCGAACTGGACGAGGCGTTGGTGCTGGAGGACTGGGCACGGAGCCGCGAGTGGGTAGAGGCGCTGGAAGGGCGGCGTCGGAACAAGCCCTTGGTGGGGTCCATATTGCAAACGCCTGCAAAACACACACACAACAAAAAAGAGGCCTAAGACTGGTGGATTTAATGGATTTTTATTGTCGGGAGCTAAAACTTATTGGTTTCGACTTGGGGCGTTGTCTTTAGTTTCCGGTTTCGTCGTTTATTGGGACTTGGGGAATCCAAGAATCCCACAAGCCCCATCCGCGTTGTGCTGGCACTGGGCGGGTCTTCCTCCACTTCCGAGTCCAGGTTGTTGACGAATCGGCCTTTGTTTACGTTCGCATCAAAGTACCGCACGTTGGGTATCAACTCTTCACCAGAGTTGATTCTGAAATCCGGAGAGTCTTCCTTTGGCGGATCACTAATATTTTCCTTGATGATGCTGTCTCTCCACTTCTCCATCGCGAAGCTTAGCGTGTAGGCCACGTTTTGCTTCAAAGGGCCCTCATTTTCAACATCAATCTCCCGCTCATTCTCATTGTCATTCCCCATTCCCTCCAAGTCCCCGCTCGCACCTGTTGGACACTTTTCGCCCCGGGAGCAGTTGCCCTCACATATGTCTTTGTTCTGCAGCAGCTCCTGGTAGTTGTCCAGCGCCGTCACCACTTTAATGCGGTCCAGCTGCTCCAGGGCAGAGGAGGGGAAACGCTCACGCAACCGCCGCCGCTCCTCGGTGAGCTTGAACTGCTCGAACTCCTGCAGCTGGTTCTGGAAACCCGTGTTTGGATTGGCCACAGAGCGACCGGCCCGAACCACCTTCAGCGCCTCCTTCCAGTTGAGGTGCGTGGCCGTCATAATGTAGGCCACGGCAACGGTCACCGAGCGAGACATCCCCGCCAGGCAGTGGATCAGCACGTTGCCCTCCCGCAGACGGGCGGCATGGATGAAATCGTTGCAGACGGAGAAGTACTGGGAAAGGTTCTGGTCCGGCGTGTCCGAGGCCATCACGCAGAGGTAATGCTTATCCTGCGAGTATTTAACGTGAGAGGGGTGGTGTGCGGGACGGGTTGAAACCACTTACCGGGAGCAGGCGGCGCGGACTGTCATGTATCGCGATGATATGCGAGATCTTGAACCTTTCCAGCTGCGCGTGGTCTTTGGAGTCGCGGTAGTTGCCGACGTATAGACCAGGCAGGACCTGCAAATGGATTTTTTAAATAAACGTACAAAAGAGTGGTTCCAAGAACCTACCAATCCCATATGCCAGTTCATTAATGCAGTAATCATGTTTGTATTATTATGTATGGATTTACGAAATGGAAGTGTTCTCGAATGGGGATTTTGGATTTTGTTTAGTTTCCGTTGCTATTGACAAGTTGCCGTGACAACTATCGTAAATCAGAACATTAAAGTGGGTGCCAAAGACCCGTTTTCATCGTATATCATATTTCAAAATAAATTACCAAATATAATCAATATTTCAATAGGTCCTAACCGCTTGAAAATAGAATATGCATTGTACTTTTACAATGTGAATTCTAGTTTCAATTGAAAATGTTGACTACTTATTGATAAGAACTATTTGCGCGTTAGTAAATTTTTACCTAAATTATGTACAGCCTTGAAAGGAAAGAAAAGCTGTCCACCTTAGCTGTCTAGGAGGATATAACTATTATTTCCTATTAAATACCGAACAACCTGCTGTGTGATATGTCCCCGTGTTCTGTGCTGACCTTGCCAGCGTCGTACTGCGGCTTGTTTTGTTTATTTCGAACTGCAAACAACGGTCTTACCTTGTTCATGCCATTTCCCATATTTCTTCATTTAAAACTGCAGCTCACTTTCTCAATTGTCAAACGAATTGGCCCAAAGCAGTGCTGGAAGTACACAGAGAAGAGAATTCGTGGTATTACAAGTTCAGGGTGGAAAATTCCCCGCGAAGGTCAGGAGGAAATTTAAGCAGCAGGGCCAGCATGGGCAGAGCATTTAGCCCCATGCTCTGATGAAAGTGCAATGGCAAGTGGCAAGTTGCAAGCTGTTGCCACTGCCACGGCCGCAACTGAGACATAATGGATGTCTTTGTCGCCGCCTACATCGCGGAAGTAAACAGGCCTTGACGTTGACTCTTCCGCTGCCATTGTTGCATCTTATTAGTGGAGGAGGCAGGCAACCAGGCGGACAGATAGACCGACAGGCGGGAGACAGGTGGCGGGTGGTCCTGGCAGAGCCGGAGGCCACCACCTGGTATCTTCAGTTGGCCCCCAAAGGTAGGCAAGGCCGAGTTCGGGCAAATCGGACCCGGCATGGCTTGAATTTATGTCCGTTGCTTTTCCGCTTGTTTTCCAGGACAACAGTAAGCCTCATCACAAAGTCAAAACGTTTGGGGCTTGTTCGGCGTGGGCGCCCTGCTCATATGCTATCTCAGCGCAACACCATCCTTGGGCACACTTCGGAGCCACCCGATTTGCATAAGTGCCTCGAGTTGAGGCAATAAGGAAAGTGTCGCTTTGTTATTATTTCATTCCCGGCACGTCGACGGGCCACGGACAGCAAATTGACTGGCACACTCGAAAAGCGGAAGATAAGGCACGTGTGCCGCACCAGCAGAAGTGTCTGTCATTTGCCAGTCAGCCTGGCCCGGGCCTGGGCCACAAGGACCAAGCGGCATCCCACCCGCACTGCGAATTTATGGAATTAGGGCAGTCAATCCTGACGACTCTCCGAGCGGCATCGGAGGTAATTGATCAGCGAAAATTCCAGCTTAGCAGCATCGGGTCAGCTCAAGTGCATCCAATCAGCATCACTGCGCTTAAAATAGACTCTGGCCACCCTCAGCCCGACACGATTGCATTACCAAATGGCCATGTCGTGGCCAGGAGGAAGGCCGGCCTGAGGCGCCCAGCCATCATTCTGTTCAATTGATGTGACACTTCACTCGCCCCGGCCCCGTGTTCCGCTCTGGGATTCCGCTCAGTCGGAATCAGTGGCTCGGCGTGTCCTTTGCATGCTGGAATTAGAGGAGCTTTTCCGGGGAAAACGCAAACTGGAACCTCCTCGCTTGTGCGGCCTTGTGGAGTCCGTGTGGCCGTGGTTGTCCAGCCAGGGCCCAAATATTTTAGCGGCCATGATTGAAAAACATTTCCTCTTTGAATTTACTGAAAAACTCCTAATGAAATCCCATCGTGGACGGCCGCCGCCCCTTCTTTCAAGCCTCGCGGTTTTGGGCTGTGTGCCAAAAAGATTTTTTCTCGGTTTTGGCGCTAAAAAGTGTCGAGAACCCGAGGCCTAGACATTCAGGGAGAAAACTTTAATCGAATGAAACAGTTCTGCCGACTTTTTCAGTTCCTTTTCCTTGTGCTGGATTTGCATGTGCTGCCAAGTTTTTCACTCAACTACTCCCCCGGGGGCGAATGTCGTTTCTGGTATTGTTTTTCAACAATTTATAATCAATCAGATTCTAATTCGAACTTTTTATTTGGCCCAATGTCACATAAATTAGCCAGATTCGACCTTGGACGGTCTCGTGCGCCCCCCACAGTTTGGAGTCAATTATCGTGCTTCGACATTCCATGTGCAGGCAACACCTAAAGCCGCACCTACAAGGGCGGGTCTATGGGGCGATGGCGCTGCCTAGGGACCTCGGAGTAGGGGAGTAGGAGCCACTGCTCACTGACTATGAAAAATGTGAGCTTTTTCCGTTGAGTTTAGTTTGTAATAAATGTGCCAGAAATGAAAAGGGCACAGCAGGATAATCGCACTCTACACAATACTACACAGTCAGGACAATACGACAACCCTCAACATATTTGGAAAGCGTTTCTGGCCATCGTATATTTTTGTTCTGGAGAAGCTCAACCAAGTACATGAGAAAGGTGGCTGGAATTTGCAAACGTAATGTAAAATCAAGTGTTTGTCCACATAAATCCAGCGGCTCCAACACCCTTCCCATCGGATCTTTGCCCTCTTGTTTTCACATTCAACATGATAAGGGCAGACAAGGCGGCATCCAAGTAGCGCCGCTTTGTCTGCGGAGATGTCAGAGGCCCACAGCCCTCCTTGGAAAGCGGTCACAAGTCAAAAGCCGACTAAGCAAAACTTTCCTCTGGAGACACGTGCTGCCATAAAAAGCTCTATTAACATACAGCCGCATAGAAGATGATGGAGGGGCAGCCTGGGTGGGTTGTTGACTCCACCGGCTTCGATGATTTTATTGCTTGGAACAAATATTTAACAAGCTCCTAAACAAACGTCCGCCCAATAAATATCAGCGCCAGCACAATCCAACTCTTCCCCCTGTTTGGTCTTATGGTACTCATTCTCCCCCGTCCCCCGTTTATTGACAGAGACAAAGTGTTTCTATCGCCATAAACATGAAATGCGATCCCATGAACAGCCTTGATTTTTAAATGCATCCCCATCCCCACCGCCACCCACTACCTGCCCCAATTAGCTGCATTCATGACCGAAATCCTGGGGCCGACCCTGCCTAATGAACCGCACTGCGCCCGTGAAACTTCCGCTGCTGACAGACCCAATTTAAATAAATAATCAGGGCGGTGAGGTGCATGACTCAAAATATTAATTTCGTTTTACATATGCAATGGCGGGCCAAAGAGTTGGTCCTTGTTTTTAATACGCAACAAGGGAAATTAAGCAGAATAAGCCCTCTAATTCAGGGCTGACAGCATTTGGCACTGGGAGGACAAGTATAAAGTATGAGACATAACTACATGGCTCACTTGGGCGTGAAATTAAGTCCAGGTTAGTCAAGCAGATCCCGAGATCTGGGGACTCGGCTGAATCGCTTTGTGAGTGGTGGCCACAGTCACGTTTTGGGCCACTTTCACACCAATTTGCCTATGACGGCCGCCTGACAGGCCACGACTTGTCTGCAACCGTACATTACCCATACGACCCGTGAGCCATGGGGTCTTCAGGGTTTTCAGGGAAAAAACCCAAGCCCTGGAACCCTGTGAGGGGTATGGGTGCAGTCTGCTCGCTAATTCCCCAGTTGCGTGCCATCGCATGAGGAAAGCGTGTATTAGAGCCAACGCGGCGCAAATAGCGCCATATAGGATTGTAATTTTCGAGACATTTGCGTTTACGGGGAATCGGGCGTGGGTCAGTCACCTGCCCCTCATGGCCAGTTGCTCATTACTGCTCATAACCGAAGCATTATAAAGCCGCTAAGGAAATCGCTCAACTTACGGTAACTTCGGCGCTCCTGCGCTCCGGTCTGTTGGCTCCTTCGTCTGCCCTGCGTTGGTCAATGGCGCTGCGACATGAGAGCTTTGACTCCGACTCCGACTCCGGCCCACTTCGTCGTCGTATCCGCAGTTGCTTCTGCTCCTGCTGCTGCTACTGATGTGGACGATGACAGGGGCAGAGGGCGGGGCGGCGGTGGCTGAGAGGAAGAGAGACGCCAAGGAGGCAGAGCTAGGTGGGCGCAACTCCTGTTATATCACAGTGCAAGAGCCTTGCCAGCGGCGGCCGCAAACGCAGAAATTTTGATTCGCTTCAGCTCGCCTTACTTTCGTTCCCGTTCCCTTTTCCTTTCCATATGAACAAAAGCAAAAAACATAAATGTGACAGTTGAACTGGTCGCTGACTGCTGCCTGGCCATTTTACGTGTCCGTAGCGGGCACCTGGTGGAAGGGGAGCCTGACCGTAGCGGTAGCCGTAACAATAGCAGACGCGAGGACGGAAACAATGACAGCCAAACCGCAAGAGTCGCAGCCGTAGAAAGTGTGAAAGGTAGAAAGTTGGAAACGAGCCGCAGCCGCCGCGAGACTTTTGTGAGCTTAAGAGGACGCCAAACAAATAGGGTCGAGCGTTGGTCACAGACTGAGCGCTCCTGCAGCTCCTGCAGAGCACAGCTATGGAAACACTCAGTTGTGGAGTGATAGTTGCCACGGCCGGCATGCGCAATGGCTTCCTTCGAATCGCGCCAAAATAAAAACTCACTCAAGCCAAGTGACAGTGGGAGCCTCAAGCTTTCTGCTTTGATAAACATAAAAATGTATGTAATAATACAACAATAAACTTAAGTTATTATTTGTTTTAACAACAAAAGACAATAAATAATGTATTGTACGACCACTCCCGTTAAGAAAAATAATATCATGCGGAAAAGGACGCCCAATATTAAATATTGAAGAAATGTTTTGTTTGATAAGTTCTTCCAATTTTCATATATAAATTTCAGATAATTTTTTAAGATAAATATCTCTTGTAATTATATTTTTTCAAAAATAAGTGCATTAGAGAATCATAATTATCAGCTTCTTTAATTGTTCCTTTTTTCTTTAATTTTTACCAGCTTCCTTTTTTTTAAATCCACTGTTAAGCAACCCAATAAATATAAATTATTTATATTGATACTATATTGGCAAACTCCATTCCTTTGACGGAGAATGTCAACCATATAAGTGTGATTTGGCCCACTGTGATAAGTTCTTTTGAAGAGAACGAAAAAAAATAAGAATGAGTGCACAATATAGCTTGACAGAGTGCGTAAAAACCCTTGATTCAGTTATATAATAGGTGGGGGAAAGCAAATCTGTTTTACGTTCTGTTACGTAGTTTACCCTTACGCTTACGTTTCATGTGCTTTATACTACCTGTGGCAGCAATATAAATTTCAAATAATTTAACAAATTAGAAAAACACATGGGGAAACATTTTAATGACTTTAAAATGTTATAACATTCATTAATCGCCTTAATTGACCTGCCCCTAAAATTTAAAATTAAAATAAATAGGGTGTGTAATTTTTGTATTATCTTTTATTTAAAAAAAAAGTCAAAGTATTCACATTTGCTCGTTAATCCATTTTTTGGTTTTCAACCAAATCTTAATATGTATCATATTAAACATAACACATTTTAAAATATTTCAATACAAAGTCGAAAAAGCGCGAAAGTTCAGTCTTAAACAGTCTTTCAGTCAAAGGTAGTAAATATGAATTAATATTTGATATTTTTTTTTATTATTATTTTTTTATTTATTATTTATGTTTAAAGAATTAAAAAAAAATGTGTAAGAAATGTTTAAAAAACATTAAATCAGAATTTCCCATTCTACTACTGTCGCGACTAGAATTGAAAAAATAACATTTTGTATCATATTTTCCGTTTTATTACTTTAACATTAAAACATTTTTTGCGTGTGACATGTCGCGTGTTACAGGGATAAAAATTAAGTTAAAAAAAGACTTCATACATTTAAGTGAAGCATAAACAATTATGAAGAAATATAAACAAATATAATTTTAAAATTCAGTGTTTGAATTGGTTTTTGAAAAAATAACTTCTTTGCAGTCGGTTAGGTCGGTCCTTTAGCTGCCATATAACTGATTGATCTTATATCATTATATATCTAAGTTTGTATCAACATTTTCCACGACAACTCCCGACCCTTCGTTAACTTCCCGTCGTTAACTCCCTGCTCATTAAAGTTTTTGGAAAAAGATTTATGGAAACTATTTCAATGGCTAATCTACACCTACAAATCACAATTCAGCCAAATTGGATTGTTTTTCGGGGAGTTGTAAATTTTTTTATACCCTTGCAGAGGGTGATATAATTTTGTCCAAAAGTGTGCAACGCAGTGAAGGAGACATCTCCGACCCTATAACGTATACATATTCTTGATCAGGATCACCTCCTGAGTTGATATGAGCATGTCCGTCTGTCCGTCTGTCTGTCCGTCTGTCTGTTTCTACGCGAACTAAAATAGTCTCTCAGTTTTAAAGCTATCGACTTGAAACTTTGCACACAGCCTTCTTTCCTTTGCACGCAGTACATATATAAGTCGGATCGGCCAACTATTGTATATCCGATTTTTACTGCAAGGGTATAGCACCTTCGGCTCCGCCCGAAGTTAGCTTTCCTTTCTTGTTTTCTGCTGTTAGAGTTAGAGAGTTGTAATTTTTTATGAATTTTATTTTTTGGTCTTACAAACCGAGTTCTATAAGGATCGGCCAACTATATTTTGAATGGACTGAATGACCATAACTGAACGAACGGAAATTACATTACTAAATAGAAGCTTTAACACTTTTTTTATATTTTATATTCTAAGAAATTGGTTTTATAATAAGGTTCTCATAAGAACTGCCTAACTAATATTTGCAATATACATACATCCGATCTTAACTGCAGGGACATATACATTTCGGTTCCGACTGAAAGTAGCTTTTTTTTCTGGTTATTACTTTCAGTTTGCTTCCTGGCATGAATATATATCCTTATCTATAAGGATCTGTAAGGATATATATATCCTTATCTAATTGCAATGCAACAGGCTTGCTAAAATACCTTGGTCTTTCGCTCCCAGCATTTAACTTTCTTCGTGTCATACTCATTTTCTGAAATTTGTTAATTTTTAATCTAGCTCTAAACGGTCGCCCCTAATGGATATAGTTCAGACCTACGTACTAATCCTGGTGAAAATACCTGCGTGACGCATAATGTTTACAAGGTGGGTTGAACACCTGGTTTCCCACTAAACAGCTGATCGCTTGGCCATATCGGTTGGAACAGAGGTTTTCATACTGAACGACCCCCACGAAAACGAATAGGTGCGGGGGCACAGGGAGCAAATAAAAGTGTTAGTCACCAAGCAATGGATAGACCAAGTCGATGTCGTTTCGATTTGTTGCTTCTCTGTGCCATCAGTGACGCAGTGAATCGGTTCGCGGCTGGGGACATGAGGGCGAGCAGGCAAGCAAGGGCTTATGGTTACAGATTCTAGAAGCCATGCGACTGCCTAGGAATGCGTCTTCGAGAGCCGCTCTCGGCCAGCTTTCTAGACAAACGCCTCGCAGTCTATTAATAAGTCTGATGTGTGTGTATCTCGGCAGAGATCTGTGTCCAAAGAGAGCGGGGGATCGCGTGAGCGCAGTGTGGAGCCACGGGGCACCTCTGAATATTTACCAATTTAGGCCTTATTCGCTGGCAGAGAGCCACAGAGCCAGTGGGGGTCGGGGCAGAACGAGTATGCCAAGCACAGAGAAGCCAAGCAAAGCTTACACAATGCCACGGTGCCGAGAGCGGCGGCGAGTGCACACGGCGGAGAGAGCCCGTGGGGAGCACGGCATGGGGCTGGACTGGCGTTGGGGCTAATAGCGAACGGCTGGCAGCGACGGCTCTCAATCGTCGAGAAACTTTGGCAGCGTGAGGACTCAGTAGACGCCGTGGTGGCCAACGAACAACACAACTCTGAGTGTGTGCGCCTGTGTGTGTGGGTCAGCGGCAATGTGCAAAAATAAAAAAGCTATATATATTTTAAATTCAATATAGAAATCCGAAAACATACAAACGTACAGAGCGGACCGAGCCGAAAGCCAAAAGCTTGCAGCGGAAATACTCAAAGGCAAAGTGGAAGTAAAAAGTATCTGTGAGTTTGTGTGCGCGACTGCATTGGTGTGCGGTTGCTAGAAAGTGTGGCCAAAAGTGACATCACACTCCGGCAGAGTCGCCTTTTGGGGAAGCATCGTCGCAGTTCGCAGTTCGCATTTCGCATTTATCAGGAGCACGGGTACGAGCTCGAATACACGTACGAGTGAAGGAACAGAGCCAGCGCAGCCAGCCGTTTCGCGGAAAGTACGAGAAGCCGCACGCGTCGTCGCTCAAGGTGAGCCGCGAAGTCTCCCCATCACCGTCACCCGTCTCCTTGCCTCTTCCGACCCCTCGTGCCCACCGTCGACCGACGCGTCCCGTCCAAAAACTAATCTCTACAACTCGTGCGACAAGTAGCCGACGTCGAGAAGTCAGAGCCAAATATCAACAAAAGGAAATTTTGAAATTATCGCTACGCAGCGAGACGCGTCGGCAGAGAGACGGATTCGATAGCGGTAACGGTAACGGTTACGTGTTCGGCAAGGGTAGCGGGTCATTGGCTGGGAAAACGCCTTCGGAGGTGCTATGAAGCCAACTGTGGCTGCCAACCAGGCCCATGAGAACGCCGGTCCCGGCGGAAATGGAGCTCCAGTCGGAGGTGCTGGGTCCGGAATCAACATACCCATTAGCCGGGAGTTCGTGAGCGGTGGCTACGGATCGCCACAAAGGCACCAGCCGGCTCCTCAACAGCCACAATTCCACGGCACCCAGCCGGCCTGCGGATCTCCAAGGCAGCAGTTCCAGCCCCACCAGCAGATGCCCCCCAACCAGCACTTTCAGGTGAGTGGCCTCTCCGGTCTTTGGGTAGGAGAAGAGACGAAGTGGCGGGAGGGGCGATTGCCAAACGAACTGGACGCCCCAAGGTTGGCGCCTGGCAAGATCAGTCAGTCCAGGCCCCTCGGGCCAACCCTGATCGCTCGTATGCTCGGGCATGCTTTGTACATATTCGTATCATTGTTTTTGTTGTTAGCTGTCAGTGTGGAAATTCAATAACAGTGGAGCTCCTCTACAGCGAACGCTCGTCTATTGAACAGCTTTATGGATGTGAACTACATTTGTCTGTCGATGTGTGTTAATTGATTAGTAATAGTCGCCCCGGAAATATCGAAGCAAGCCGACTTTACTAGCTCATCCCCTCACAGTCCTAGATCGGATCGTTCCATTTGTAGAATTTTTTTAATGAGGAGGATGTAGAATTACCTTCAGATAATTGTAGAAAAAAACGGAAACAATCAGCCAGTGGGCCTCGTCCCAATAGCACCCCGCTTTGTACCAAAAGCGCAGTATGTCAAGCCTGTATGCATGCACGCTTGACCTACTAAGCCTGAGGAGGAGGTTCTGTGAATCTCCGCCACTACAGCCATCACTGCGTATGATTAATGTCGCGACGTGCGAGGAATTTTACCAGAAAATAAATATACAGCTGTTTTTTGGTGGCCTAATCTAAGGCCAGCAGTCCAAATCTATCAAGAATGAGTCCCAGAAATATTTAAAAATTTCTAGAAGAAAACGAGCAGTCGCGCATATCTCTGCCCCCCCCCCCGCCCCTTCGCACACCGCGTCTCTCGGCCAATATCGCTGCTCTTGGCTTTTTGCTGTAGGTGGCAGCCGAACAGTAATACGTACTGGTATGCGTCCACATCTGTGTAATCAAGTGAGTTGCGGAAAAGGAAGCGTGGGCGGATTTTTTGGTTGCTCAACGACTTGGCCAACTAGGGGGTAATTCGAGGTGACGTTGACTATCCAAACGTCATAGACAAGTTATTGGAGGGTAGATACAATTACGCTGTTCCTCATCGACTAGAATTTTCATTTTCTTTCTGAAACTCGTAATTTCGTTAAATCAAAAAAAATTCCTTGGAAATAAAATTTGAAAAGCTCCCACCTCCGAATTTTTTGCGACTCACAGTATAGATATGTATAGCTGTGGCTGCGGATTTTCTAGAACAAATTTTATTAATAGTACCAAATGTCTTAAAAAAATGTAATATAACGTTAAATTAAAAATCTATTTATGCGTTTAGTTTATGTTTTAAATAATTGCTCAATAGTTACTCATAAAAAGCCTGAGTAGATTGGACTAAAAGTACGTTGTTTCACTTCAACTATCTTTTTAAATGAATTCCCTATTTAATGGTTGATTTGGTGTTCTTTAATCATTTTAATAAGTACATACGAATAAATCGAATTTTCATGTTAAACTATATTATTCCGCTTAGTGTAGAATTTACCACTTATTCGAATTCACTGTACTTCCTCAAGCCCATTTCTATCTCTGAGTAGGAAGAGAGGGTCGCCCTAAGAGAGACTCTGCCTCTGAGACAAAGAGATCAAATGTGCGGGGGAGAGGCAGCCGAAGCTACGAGAAGCAGCCAGAACAGGCTGGTCGGCCCGAGTGTGGGCGACATCCACTTTAAAATGGCTTCAACACCGGCTGCCCGGCTCATTCGCTACCAAGCAGCCAAACAATTGAATCCAGTCAGTCGTACCACAATCCCACATAGAAATACCACAAAACCACAGTGCCACAAAAGCTTAATAACTTAAAAGTGAGTAGGAGAGTCAAAATTAGAGAGCAGAGCGTGTATTTCTCAGAGAAGCCGTTTCTAACATGTTGCAAGTTGCAACCTCGCTCGACAGACCGAGTATGTTTGATTCGAACAGAGTGCTCAAAGTAAAATGAGAATTGTAATTGGAAAATAGTACTTCTATTTCAAATCTACTATTCAAATACTATTTTCAAATCCGATTCGATCCGGAAGATAAAGCAACTGAAAACTCTGAAGTAAACCTCTTCAGCTGGGCACATTTGGTTAGCAGGTGCTCATTGATAAAGTAAACAAATTGAGTCGTCTCCGAGTGTGAGTGAGAAGTAGAGGCGAGATTGGCAGACCCGCTCCCACGTCCCAACACCTGTTCATTCAGCTCGCATTGACATCACTCGTCGCTGCCGCAAGTTGTTTGCGCGCAAATACAAGTACATATCGACAACACAACAGCGGGGCTTACTCACCCTGTTATTTATAAACAATTCGTCCATAGCGCCAAACAAATTGTACTTTAGCCGCCCACCAGTGCTAGTGCTCACGAATCTCTCCCCGTTCTTACAGTCAACCTTTGGATTTGAACCGGACATGGACATGGACATGGATAACATGTTCCCACGCTCTCGCCTGGGCAGGATGCACGACCCCTTTGCTGGCTTTGGGGACTCACGTAAGCACGGCCACTTTCCTGATTTTTAACCGCGTTCTGAAAAGTTTTTGTTTGTTTTCGGCCCCTTAGATTTTGGGTTCCCCCAGTTCTCGACAATGGGACGACGGGGCCGCATGCAAGGCGGCGCCAATAACCATATGGAGCACGACGACGATTTCTTCAACCGGCTGCCGTCGGAGTTTCGCCAATACATCCCCGACGGTTTCGGAGGAAGGCGCGGTCCAGCCGGAGCAGCGGCAAACGTATCCGGGCAAACTCCCCCCCAGCAGCAGCATCCTCAGCAGTATCCGCCGCAGCAATACCAGTACGTGCCGCCGCAACAGCAGCAGCATCCACAGCAGCAATACCAATATGCACCGGCACAACAACATCAGCCAGTCTATGCAGCTGCACCGCAGCAACAGGTGCCGCAGTCGCCCTCTAAGAACCTTTGTGACGCTGCAATCCAGACTGAGGATCCGGCCGGCCGCTCTGAGGTGGACTGCGCCCCACCGTCTACCCTCAACCAACACGGTCTTCGTAACACTGTAGACATGGGAGTGAAAAGCGTCGCTGAGCAGGACCAGGGAGCGCGCAGTCACTCCGCTCCCCCGCCAGAGCAGCTTCATCAGAATCTTTTGCACCAGCAGCAACAGCAGCGCAACGCTGCTCCGTCCGCAGGGCAGCAGCAACAGTTTGGCACTCAGACCAGTCCGCCTGTCCAGGGACAGTACCATGCCCAGCAGCAGCCGCAGTTCAAAACATACTACGCGCCGCAGCAGCAAACGAATCCACAGCAACGGCAGCAGAGTCCGGCGCCTGCTCCGCAGACGCCCGGCGGCAGTTACATACGGACTATTCCCATCTTTGTGGAAGGTCGATCCGAGCCCATTATCAATGCTCACAAGGAGATTCCCAACCAGAGTGCACCGTCCAGTGGCCAGGCCCATGCACAGTCAGAAACGCAGCCCAGTTTCGCGCCTCAGCAGCATAGACCCACGCCACTCAATACTCAGTCGCAGCAGCCGCATCCAGATCAGCAGGTGCCCGTGGAGGGCTCCGCAGCCGCAGGCCTACCCCCGCAGACCCCGCACACACTCGACTCGATCAACAAAATTCAGGACATTCAGCGCGATGTGCTCGAGCTGATGGGCAAGGTGGAGCAGTTCAAAGGCACGCGCCAGGACAAGGAGTATGTCTACCTGGACGAGATGCTGACCCGCAATCTTCTCAAGCTAGATACCATCGACACGAACGGCAAGGATAGCATTCGCCTAGCTCGAAAAGAAGCCATAAAGTAAGACACACCTTCACCAATGCATGGCATAAAATTGACTAATCCTTTTATTGTTGCAGATGCATTCAGGCTTCAATTAATGTGCTGGAGGCAAAAGCCGAGGAAAACGCCAGGGCAGCTTCAGGAGCAGCAGCTGCAGAACCCAGCGCAGCCGAGACGGTGTCTTCGGATGCAGCTGCTGCGCCAGAGGCCGCCGAACAGACCGTGGATCCGGTCACGCCACAGGATGCTACGAAAATCCAGGAGCCCATCCCATTGCCAGCCCCACCCAACGCCGGACAAGCAGAAGGGGCTACCGCTCCCGAGGCCTCCGGGGAGCCTCTCGCATCTCCAGCTGCTGCTGTCGAGGTGAATGATACCACTGAGCAGACTAAAACAGCCACTTTGACATCCGAATGATGAACCTATCGCCACTACAGGGCGACAGTTTCAAAGCAGCTACGTAAATTAACCAAATTTAAGTGATTAGAACAGGAAGGAACAATGGAGAGACGAATGGGAGAGCGCCCCTTGACGACTTGGTAACAGCGGAAGACATGTCCACATTGAATTGAATGTGAACGTGAATCGGAGGTGCATGTAATGTGAATATAGAACTTGCGACATAGCTTTCTCAGTAGAAGAAAAACCCACGACTACATAAGCATGAAAATCTCTTGTGGCAGCACACCTTACATTAAACACACAACATACACCCACCATTTAGTTAGGCTAGTAAGGAAATTGAAATTGATATTGAGAGTGCCTGCATCGAATTACGAAGTTAACAGTCAAAATATTTTGCAACGAGGTACGGTGTTACCCCAGTTGCTTCGAACTTGAAAGAGCTGATAATATTTAAGAAATGACCACCATGGTTAGAAGCTGCAATGTGGCAGCCGGCAGTCGAGGTCGAAAGGCGTTCGGTGACAAGCCGTTGTGTGATCTCATGCAAATCTACAGAAAATACGCCTGCTGGACCCTGACCCTCGACCCAATCAGCACCTCCATTCACCCTGAGAACACCGCTCACGGCTTTGCTGCAGCAAATTGTTAAACAAAGGTAAACACGTATAAAAAAGAACTATTGTAACTATTTATGCTACTAATTAATGCAAAAATAAATGTAGATATTGTTGACCATAAGCATGGATCCTGTTGCACAATTATTAAAATTTATTATCGAAAAGGTTTCATAGTTCCATCAATAATACAAAATACAAAAGAATCGTAATCCGGGAATAGTCTCCGTAAATACTGACTAAAGGCTTACAGTCTATATCCAAGATAGGTTTAAAAGGACGCAACACGGCTTCGACAATCGAAGCCAAACACTGATATATGTAAACACAGATGGGAACAACGGGTGAATACGTCACACATACATGAATATGGCTAGAATACATAATATATAATATATGCGAAGGTAAGACCGAACAGACGCTTAATGTTGGGTAAAGGGTTATGGACATCTTTTGTCCTCGATGATCCTCTTTTAGGTGTATCTAATTATTGTTCAAGTGTTTAGTATGGGCAAAGTGTAGATGCTAGCTGCTGCTCGTTTAGATTTCTAGAAAAGAATGCCCCAATTGCTTGGCAAGTGGGTCACCACCTAGTTGATGATTTCGACATAGTTTGCCGGAAAAAGTCCATAGGTTCCGTCGGGGCCCAACCCCTGCCACCATCCTTCATCAATTTGATCGATATGCGTTATGACATCTCCCGGGTCAAACGTGATTTCAGACTCGTCAGCTGCCTGGTAGTCATATAGAGCCCGAGCTCGGAGGCCCAGATCTCCCAAGCTCTCTTGACAAATAAAGTCATCCTCGTTCACCAAATCAGTTACTGCAAAGTATACAATCCGATAAAGTAACACAATATTAGTGGATAAGTTACACCTACATGTGTTCCTCTCAAGCGTGCTGAGGCCGCTTGCCTTGGACGACTGGGACTGCTGCACGGTGACTGATACTTTGGTTCTGACCTCCTCTTCTTCGGGCTCCTGGAACACAGCTGTATCCGTTTCGTTGGAAGATGTGGTCTCGTCAGGGGACTGGGACTGCAGCGAATTAGTTTTACTGTGTGGCGACCGCTTAATGGTCGAGAACTGCTCGCTTTCGTGCGCCAGTGGTAAGTCGTCCCCTGGTTGAGTTTCTTCTATCTCGGTTATGGCAGATACGACCTCGGCAGCTACCGGTGCCACGGCCGGAGCTGGCTCCGGTGTTGACAGTTTGACTGGCGATAATGAAGGCACAGATCCGACTTGAGGCTCGTTTTGGTTAAAAGCGTTGATGCGCTGTGCTATGGAATTGCGTGCCGGTTTCGCTGGCGGGTTAGTGTTAAGCCTGGAAATGCGGATGCTATTAGTGAGAAGCTAATATATTTAATGTACGTTCTTATACTTAGATTGTATCTGACTCTCGCTGGTGTGTTGGGTGAAAATGGCCTTGGCTGCTCCTACACGCGATCCAATCAACTCACGAGCCTCCTGGTTCCTTGCTTGCCGCAATCGCTCAGCATCAGTCATATTGCTTGCAAATCCTGGGGCTGTTTTTTCAGGACTAAGTGGTTGCGGGGAGCTAATAAATATATGACCATGAACGATCAGTTAGACGACAAATTTAATACTATAATTACGTTTTAATAGGAACGTGGGCTGGCTGGAGTTTTGTTGTGCTCACAACGACTTTCTCGCGTTCCTTGTGCTCCTTCTCCTCGCGGCTGCGCTGTTCCTGCTCCAGCTTCTGCAGCTCTAAGCGCTTTGCTTCTTTTTCCGCTTCCAAACGAAGCTTTTCCTCAGCTTCCTCCTTCTTCCAAAAGTCCTGCATGACGCTGGCGTTCAACTCCTTGGTTGGAATGACTCGAGTGTAGTTGGTGCCCACTGGGGCCTTTTGCTCCTCCGTAGTGGTGCGCGGCTCTTTAAAGCTGTAAGCAGAGCTAACAGTGCTTAGTTTCTTGAGCAGACGGTCCAAGTCAATATCGTCCTCATTACGGGCACTGATGGTTAGGTGGGCGCCGGACAGGAGGTTTCCGACGTCACGGATGTGGTTGGCGCAAGTCCCCTTGCGGAGCACAGGTGCACCTTCCCCCTTAAAAATTTAACAGTGAATGCTGGTTGCCTGATTGTGCGTATGCCGATAAGATTAGGCCACTTGACTCACCTGCCAGTTGATGAGTAAGTACTTGTTGAGGCCAGTTTTAGGGTCTTCGATGCGTACGAAAGCATACATGATCTTTCCACTATTGAGGTCCTCGTTCAGCTCCTCCACACCGCCATCTCCAGACCCCACGACCTTCAACTCGTTTGTCTGACCCTCGTAGCCGAACAGTGACCAGTTCGTACTGCTCTTGTCGTCGAGCACATCCTTCCATGCGGCCACGATTTGCGACCGATACTTCTCGAAGCTGATGGACATGATGAAGACTGCCTATAGCTTTGAACAAAGCTTTCCCTGGTTCTCCTTATCCGGCGTCCCGTCTTCGAGTGAAAGCGAATGACTGCGATGACCTTAGCTCCTACTGGCTTGCGTTGAAACTATTCACGTACATGGCTTTTTGAATTAAAAACTTGATTTTCCATGAGTAATTAACTTACTTATACGTAAAGTTATTCACGTTTCTAGCCAGTTTTCCATTTTCTTTGAGAAAAATTAAAGATAAAAGAATGGTCGTCTCATTAAAATGCGTCCACACTTTCTCGCCAAGGCACCCCGGTCCATCACTATCTTTTGCCTGACTCGCCCTGTGCTTGTTGGAATACCCTGTTCATTCTAAAGTTAAAACTTTAAAAATTAATATTTATATTACAAGTAACATTAAAACATTTCGTTACGACCGGCATTTTTTAAAAAATTCAGAGCCTTTGAAAAATGTAGCCTTGGAATAACCATAAATTGAAACTTTGTTGCAAAACGTTTATTTAAAGTGGTCTTTTACAACACGGCAGTTATCGATAACACGTTCAATATACACCGATAGCGACTTTTTACGCATCTCTAAGCAGCTGCCAATTTTCCAAAATTTCCAAAACCTAAAACAACGGCATTGCCAGTCCGAATTGTAGCCCAAAACAAAGCATTGCCACTTGGAGGAGATACCCACGGATGAATTAGTGAAATTGTGGTGTTTATCTGTTGCTACCAAACGGGTGCATGACCGTAAAACTTCGCTCTAGTGTGCTCCCAGGGAAACCCGGACGATCAGAACTCATCACAAGCTCAAACAGCTGCGATCGTATTACAAAAACAATTCGGAGGCGTCCCAAGGCAAAAGGTAAAAGTGCTGATGCTTGTTGGCGAGTGGACACTCGGCAGATGCAGAGGCTGGCCCTGCTTGGCAACAATATGGCATTTGTCAGAGATTTCGTTGCTGGCTGCTGTATGCTGTACTTGGTCATTGCCAAAATTTCTGCGCCCCTCCGCCCGCGACCTCGCTGCTTTCGAAACCTGTCCCAACTGCATCGTGCTTGCATGGTTCGTCCCGATCGCCAAACCGCCCCCCGCCTACCAGCGGTTGGCAACGGTTGGCAGCAGGATTGCGCCTTTCTTGTTTTCAAGTCAGTCAGAGAGTCGAAGTGGCGAGCGGGCCGCAGCCTTTGTTCAGCTCAAGCAGCGATCCATTTACATATATGCCAATGCAGTACGGCCCCCGATACATCCAGTTTGGAGCCTCGGCCCCTCTGTTCCGTGCCGAGATCTCGGGGCTCCATGTGTCTCGTGCTTGTGTGCATGCTCACGGTCAATTTCTTTTGCATTTTCAGTGTGAAACTCATGCGGTGCAGATCAGGTCGGATCAGCAGCAGACCAAGCCCACGTTCGTAGGAATTAACATGGAATCGGCACTGGATGTGCTCTCTCGGGCGGCCACCATGGTGCAAAATAACGCGAGCGGTGAGTGAACTGGTGGAAGAGCGTCCAGGTGGACGGAGGGATGAATTCGGTCATTAACCAATTCCATTTAAAAAGAGTCGGCCAATTATAAGATGTTAGTCCAACTTACATACGAGTTGTGTGGACCGGAGGGCAGTGGGCGGAAGCGGGGTCATCTAACCTACGGACTAGTTACGTCCGCTTTATGACTTTCACCTTTGTACCTCTGACGAGGCAGAAAACCCGAAGACACCAAGCAGCGATCCCGTTGCTACTCGCTGGTTTGTGTCTTTTTGGATGTAGTGGGTCACTTCGAGTGTAGTCCAAGCTGCCCTTTGCCAGAGAAATGCGACCACGATTGTGTATTGACGGATTAAATGCCAGTGCGGATTGCAGGACGGGGTGTGCAATCCAATATGGGGACCCTGTTCGGACTCGTAAGCTTTCAACGTATCTGAGAAATGTTTATTTTTGAAAGAAACAAAAAGCAAAGACCAAATCGACAACAAAACATTCCAACAAAATGAGTGGCGGCGCATTCCGATTCCGATTTTCATAAATGTGTCAAACGCCGCATTTTCGACGGCAGCCGAGCGACACAGAAATGCGAGCGTTCAGCGAACATACATATGTACATACGTACATATTTACGGCATGAATTTTACGTCGGAGTCTCTCAGCAGTAGTAGGATCACGGGTCGCGGGCGCGGACCCCTTATCAATAGACAGTCGCGGCGCTGTATCTGCCACTACGGCTGACGAGCACGAATTCTCGGCTCTCGCCCGCAAAACCAAGCAGGCATGTGTCTGTGTGCGAGTGTTGCATATTTTTGCTCGGCGACATATCTTTTACACTTCCAATTTGCATTCCCCGCGCCCCAAGTTCCATCGACCCGCCGCCCAGCCGCAAACAATAGTACAGAGTCCCTTGCTCGGCGGCGCGAATGCTAAACAATTTGGTTTGTTTTGTTTGAAATTTATAAATTATGGATAAGCCTGCGACTATCGCTGGGCTTTGATTCCGCCCCAGTTTCTCGGCATTGGCAGGGGCCACTGATAATGGTCCTAGAAGGCTCCGCTGCCGCACTCCCCAGCACTGGGTTCACTGGCTCACGAATGCGCATGCCAGTGGTGCGGCGCGGAATGGAATTCCGATAATAGCCCCCATTTAAGTTTGTTTCTGTTTACTTACCCATTGGGAAATGGCTTTATCAGCAATAATTCTGAATATTTGACAAATTCCTTTGCCCACATACGTATACGCGCGCAGCTGTCAACACAGAGCACAATTTATGCGGCAGCCCCCACCCTCGGACACTGAAAGAGAAATGGCTTTGATGCTTGGGAAGCATTTAAAAAATGCGAGCGTTTCGCTAGCGGTTTGCGTGCTGTTTTTATCGTTACCGGAAAGGGGCGCTATTAAATTCGGCCGCTTGCCGTGATGGAAGAAATATTACTTTCGTATTTCCTAAAACTTCCTCAATTGGGCTGCACTTGGCCATATTCAATATTCGCACATGGGATGGTAGAGAGGCAGAGGGACAAGCATCCTAGGACATGGTCCACCAATAAAAGTGGATATAGAATCGATTTTCTCTCATGTTTGGCTAGAGATCTGTTTTGTTGTTTGGAACTAAATACAATATCATTTAAGAATTATGTATATTTAGAAAGCCAAAGATATGACCACTGGGAGAGGGATTCTAAAATAAATCATAATTCTTATATTGTTCTACTGACCCTCAGGCATAGCTAGATATATGTTGTATGGAAAATGTCACTATCTATGGCTATTCAAGAATGTAATCGTTAATATTTAAAACCAGGTCATTCCCAAAATAGAACTTCTATATTTTAGAGTCTCTTATGCGGTCGCGGTGGCATTCATACGACATACAAGTGGATTATTTCAAAATCACATACTTGAACACTAGGAGACTAGACTTTCGTCAAGTTACTAGTGTCAGACCCAGCTTAGGAACCTCGTGTTCTAGGCCCTCGCAGAGTACTGTTTTTTGCCACCTGCCCTGATCTTTTGGTAACTTCTTGTGAGCTGTAACTTTGCCAGTTTGATTGATTGGCGACAAACAAAAACAGAATTCGGAATAAAATGGCATTAACTACTGCATGATTAATGGAATGGCCATCTCCAAGGAGAAGGAAGATGTACCAGTCTGTGTTCTCCATAAATCATGCGCACAGACATGCCCAGATCGGACTGCTAATTTGGCCACCCTTCGATTGTGTGCCGAGGAGGCCTCGCTAAGTGGCGCACCATCCTATAATTAATAAGCAAATACAATAGTTGCACAAGTTGTGGCTCGGTGAGTGTGCGTCAGAGCCAAGCTAATCATTAGAGAAAAATTGCGGCAATTTGAAGCTCGGCCAGGCCCAGCAGGAGACGATCGCAAACGCTGGATGGATTCTGACTGGTGTGGGGCTGGGGGACCATGGGCTGAGTCGACGGCGGCTCATCAGGTAATTTACATGGACTTTCAATTCTCCGTTTTAGCCAGTGCCAACTTTGTGGCCCAGACACTCTCTTCCTTTTACTGGCGATAGGCTAACGGTGCGCATAATTGCCACAAATCTCGACCAGAGTAAAACCGAATAGGCAGCAAGCACCGCAAACCTGTTTGGTTGGGAGCTGGTGCTAACTGGAACTGGGATATGATAGGATTGGATTTGATCGGGACGGAGTTGCGGCTGCGGAAGGGCACGAAGATGGGGACTGCGACTGGGACTGGGACTGGTAGTGAGACCGAGATTGGGACAGAGCTTCGCCTTTCCTTTTGCTGCTGCAGCTACTGCTGGCCACGCTGCGCGGCCTGCCATTAATTTATTGAAAATAAAATGTATCTATTTGGTGTAAGGTTTCGCTGTGGGACATTTTGGCGGCTCAGCAGAGGCAGAGTGCAAGTTCCCAGAGACTCGAGGCGCAGATGTGCAGCCTCCTGGAGCTTCCAATATCTGGAGGAGAGTAGCATGGCCTGGGAAATGGACAGGAGGCGACGGGTTCTGATCGGAAAACATGCAAAGGGCAGGCCACCCAGCAGCGGCCCCGCGCAAGACACTGATAGTTTCATTAAAATTCGGCAAAACGTATTTATATATTTTCTCACGCTTGATTTAGCACCGGATGATATGTTATAATGACAACTGTGTTTATGTTGTTAGTTTTATTTTGCTATCGCCGCAGCCGCTGCCGCTGCCGATGGTGTTGTTGTGGTGTTTCTGTTGTTGTTCTGGGCAATCGAAAACCAGTTTCTCTTCGAATCCCGCGCACGCTCGAGTTTTATTTAAATTTTGAACTGGTTTGCCGCTGATTTGTGTTGCCTCCGCCGCGTATATATTATGTACCCACTAGATATATACATATATTAGATTGTTAGATTTCACAAACAGCCAGAGCCAGCCCCGCACCGGCTGGGATCTGGGATCGGGGATTCGGGCTGAGGCTAAGATATAACATAATTTGTCTTGTTGAATCGACAAGTTCTGGAAATGGCCGGCCATCTCTTCCCATCTATGTGTCATCATTTCAGCGATCAGCGATCTATTGTATAAAGTAGCTGATCTCCCAAAAAGAAGAAAGATCTTGCTGACTTCCGCACTGGCATTACTACGACCCAAATAGTCCGGTGAGGGATCTCATGTTTCTGTGCCGATTTCCAAACCAAACAAATTTCAATTAGCAAAGCATTTTCCGGATTTCTGTTTCTATTCTCTTTTCTTCCGAGCTGAGTCCGAACCAAGTCAGTGAAGCAATATGGAACTGCTGTTGAAGTTGTCATTCAGATGGTTGCCGAAAAGGGAAAGCATCTAATATACATATCTCCTAAGAGGGGGCTTAATCCTAATCCCTATGAAAAACATAGTTGGTCCTACTAGCCTTTCTAATATCTACCGTCTCCATTAGTGGTTTTGTATTGAAACTTATTTTGAAAGGATGCTGCCACTCTTTTGGGCGCTTGGCCAAATTACCCTGCAAAGTTAAAGTTAAGAGCTCCAGGGTAAAAATAATTCGTCTCCCTTAAAAGCCAATTTGGTACTCGCTCTTTTCGTTTAGTGCTTTTTGCCATTCGATTGACCTCGTTGCGCATGCGTGCCCATGTTTCACGCTACACTAAAAATTTTCGCGCACAACAATGGCAGTGGCTTGGACCCAAGTCGGGCAGGCCAGGCAGATGAGTAAGCGCCTCCGCCGCGGAGCCGATGTGCCTGCCCGTCCATTTCCCAGTCCGAAACCGTTTTCAGTTCGATTTCAATACCCTTCTTGCAGAGGGTACTTACTTTTTTGGCACACTTTACCCTTTTCAAGGGGAAGAGTGGCCGCCCCCAAGCTGAATCAAGAGTCTAAAATCAAACTACACTGCCAAGCAGTATGGGGAACAGGCGGGCAAGGTCTGCAATAAACAAAGTCAAGAAAGAGTACAGAGACTTCACCTTCCCGGAACATTGCTGTTTCTCACTCGCTCGCTTTTTGTGTTTGGCTTTTACATGGCGGTGAGCTGTGCAACAAAAATTGCACACATTTGACATGGATTAGCAAACGACGATGGGGAAAGATGGAAAAAAAAACACAAAAAGCACGCCAATATCGGGCGAGATCAACAGCTGAGCCCGCGCACGTCATGCCAGCCAATCCTAGGCGGCCATATGATCGTTGTCGACATGCCCCGGGCTGGAATCGACTCTATTCAGCCGCGAACTCTCCTCCTAATGTTGCTTGTTGCTGCCGTTGCAGTTGCAGTTGCAGTAGCCGTTTACGCGATCGCGCAACAACAGTAGTTGTTGTACTCCAAATCGGACGTAAAGTTTCATGGGCCTGCTATTGAATTGAAAACAGGTTACCAGCATGTTGCTTTTCTGCTACTGCTATTGGTTTCTGCTTTTCCAACCCGGCATAGGGTACGAAGGTATACTGTGATTCTTCGACTGCAGAGCAGGAGATGGGGCAGGTCTATGCCTTTTAACGTTCATATTTTAATATTTAAAAAAAAGGGGAACTTATGTTTATTTTTTGAATTGTACTATATTGTCATATAAATTCCTATTGGATATACCCCGCAATTTAAACAGTTTAAAGATTAATATTAACTGAATATTAAGTCTCTCTTTTAAAATCCCCAATCCCCTGAAATTCTTATGTGGTTCTTTAATCAATGGCTTAAAGTTGAACTTCTTTTGTGTATTTGGTCAAACCGAAAGTAAACAATGTACTTTTATCTTTATTATAAACTTTTATCTTGTATCTAAATTTACTAGTAAAAACGTAGCTTATAAAGCTTTGCCTAAGTTTCCGACTTTCAAAGGAAAAATGGATGGTAGTTCCTTGTCCCTAGCCTCCCTATACCTTCGCTCAAATTCAATATACCCTTGGTCCCTACGACTCCCCACTCCACTTGTATAGGCCTCCTCCACTTGAAATGTAAAGTTCAATTACACAGTTGTGTAAATAAATTAAATGTGAAAGAACAGAACGAAACACTTTCTAGAAAACAATTAGAAATGCTTTCTGGCGCCACACGCTGTTGGCTCCAAATCGCCATTCGCTGGTCTGATTATGGTAGCTGACTATGGATCCAGGGTCATCCCATAGAATAGCTGTAGGTCAGTGCATTCCCATGGCGGCTGCGGATCGGTCATACCGATGTCATTGCTGCAAGCCCGCTGTTGCCCTCACACTTAGCACCACCGCGAATGGGCAGGTCGTGTTGCAACGGCCTGAGCAAACATTATAATGAGCCCCAATGCAGTGACCGGGCCCATACAAGAGCGGAAAACAAACATAAAAGTGCGCCCACACTATGTGGTGCCTGGGCCCAACCTATTCGAACCCCAGTCCCCAGCCCCCAGTCGCAGTTCCGTACCAAGGCCCGAGTTCAAGCCCGCACGCCCGGACTGTGGCCAATGCGAAATACTGCCATTTCGTTACCCTTTTGCCCAATTTTCCAAGCATCAATGGGCGCGCCGAGAAGAGGGGCGTGGTCGCCACATCCTACGAAAGAGGCCTGGACCCACCCGCTCCCCACCTCCCCACCTCCCCACCTCCCCACCTCTCCAGTGTCTTCGGGCAGCTTTCAGTTGTACTTTTTCAATTACCGAATCACAAAGCGAGCGTAGATCTGAGCCCCGACGAGAACTACCGGAGAGAGGGCCTCAGAGCCAAAACGGAAATTGGTAAGAAAAGAGTCAAAACAAAAACATCTTGAGCCGCGCTGGGGCACTGATGTGGGCCTGCTGGCACCCCAAGTCTCCACATCCACTGGAGACTTGCACCTCGACTTGGCTCGGCAAGCGCTGACGACGGCGACGTCGGCGAGACTCGGCAACCGAAGACCAAGCTTCGCCAGTCGAAAGCCGAAAGACGAAGGCCCCAAGCCCCAAAGCGAGCCCCAACCGCAATCTTCCAGTCGCCGTTCGCCGTCGATCAGTTCGAGTTGGTCCGTGGAAGCCATCACTCCGTCGAAGATCGTCGTGGTCGCTGCAGCTAGAGTCGTAGTTGCGCCGCCGTCGCTGCCAGCAGAACGTGCCCCAAGTCCAGTGCGCGAGTTCGCCAATCCGTCAGTACGTCAGTACGTCGGGCCGCCAGTACGTGTGTGTGCCAGTGTGTGTGAGCTGTGCCTTGCGGCAAACGGCAACCCTGTCGCACTCGCAGTCGTCGGTCTCCGAAAGCGAAAACTGTCGCTCGAATAGAGGCAGCGATTGTCGATTTCTATGCAAATCATTACTCACATTGCGGGCAAAAGAGCGTAGTGTGTTTATTTCGCTAAATGTCGACACGAGGCTCACGTTGCCGTTGCCCGATCTGAGCAGAGACAGAAACCCAGTCAGCAGCAGCAGCACCAGCACCAGCCCCAGCAGCAGCAGCTACAATAACAATAATAATAGGAGCAGCAGCAACAATAGGAGCTCCAGAAACAGAGACTTGCGAGAGTCTGTAACCCGAGTCGCCTAGCACGGCAGAGGAGGAGCAAGAAGGCAGAAAAGCGCAGAAAAACAGAGAAACAGCAAGCAGATTGTATCTGTATCTGTATCTGTGTCTGTACTGTGGGTATAGTCGCGACTTGCGGCTCGTTTTGTGTTTTGTGTGCGGACATTCGTGTATGTGTATCTCGGGCCGCGTCGGCGACAAAGCGAAAAGTAATCACCATCTAAAGGGAAAGAAAACAAATACGAAAAGTCTGCGGATCCCCCCTCCAGGCACCGGCCGTCCCGCGCAATCAGAGCTCTGATAAATAAGCTCCCGGAAAGTGGAGAGGTAGGAGAGAGGGCCTAGTCTTCCGGTGAGGCTCAAACACAAACAGCTGAGTTGGCTACGGGCGGGAGCGATGTGAAAGGATCTCCGCCTGACCACTGATCGAGACTTTGCAATCGCACTGACAACTAGGAATCGGGCAGCCATGGATCACCTTTGCATACTAAACGCCTTCGAGCAGAACTACTACAACCGCATCAAGGAAATCTGCCAAGGATGGGCAGCAGCATCCGCCTCGTCGGCCTCCTCCACCGCCTCTACCTCGTCCGCATCCTGCTCCAGTGGTCCGTCGACATCGTCAGCCGCCTCGTCCACGGCCAGTTCGCCCACCTCGACGGCGAGGGAAATGGCCCAGGCCGCAGCTGCCCTGGCGGCCACTCAGAGGCTCGCCGCCTACCAGGGGCACGGACAGGCGCCCCCCAGCATGTTCTTCCACGAGCAGCAGCACCACCAACGCCAGCAGCTGCAGCCCTCCTTCCCGCTCCACTCGGTGTCCCTTCACCAGCCGCAGCATCTGCAGCCGACCGCCGATCCCAACTCCTCCAACAGCCTGCTCTGGCAGCCCTGGCGCGACCTCCAGCAGGCGGCTGCAATGCATCACCAGCTCTACAGGCAGCAGCAACAGCAGCAGTCGCACAAAGGTTGGTTCAGCGGGGCCTTCAAAGGGAACTTGGCATCAAAGTTTACAGCCTGGCTTACAGCCAGGATACAGGGTTATCCTGAAAGACAATTCTCTAGAATAACTATAAACTACTGGGCATTATGATACAAAAATTGGACCTCTTTTCAACCCACCCTTGGGGTGGATAGCTGAATAGTTCACCCGTTAGGTTTTAATATTTACTATTTCCTATTAATTATGCATTAAGTGTATAATTAAATAATATTAACTAAGAGGCTTAAAGCTTAATATTTTCCAAAGTGCCAACAATAAGGTAACAATGACTTCATAATCCTTATAGCTCTTCAGGAAGGATCTCCTCACAGGAAAATAAGTTAGAAAATAAGAGTAAATATACAGCCAACTCTATGCTATTGAAAGGAATCATATGCTTTGCCTTCTAATTAGATATTAGATAAGTTCGACAATTAGACTAGCTAGATTGGTTGGGAATATTTAGAATGAGAATTAAGCCTAGCTATCCAAAGTCTATTTCTACTGAGGCTTCGCTTCAGCACTACGCTGAGCCTGATTAAAAGTCGACTGTTGTGCCTTGGTAACTTTAAATTGGAACTGGTCCTCCAGCGGAGATGACGTTAAGTTGTCTGTGGAAAGATGACTGGCAAAGATCAGCTTAGGTCAACTGGGAGGGCTGCCGGCGCGCACTGGAGCACCTGTTGATCACGTGAAGTGGCTGGCTCGTTTCCAGCACAACTCACCCAGTTGGGGAATCGGAGAACGTGTCGTTCTTACTCGACCATCCATAGCACCCACTCCCTCAATGAATGGGCTTTCGTATCGGCAGAAACCTGCTGCGGTTCGGACTGTGTTATCTTGGCCAGGTCCAGAGGGCAGGCTAGGACGTGACAGTGCTCCGTCTTCGGAACTGGCTGGGGAAGCAACGGGGGGAACCCGACAGTCAAATCTTCGACTCCACACGGGTAGTGCCAGCTGGAAAATTGGTAATGAAACTGTCAATAGTTGCGAAACTCCACACCGGCTACGCCGCGTTCGATCGGCTTCGGTTGGCACACACGCCCGCCGCAGGTTCTCGCCCCTCCCCACCCCGCTGTGGTAATTGGCGACATTGCACAAATCACACAAATGCTTTCAATTACATGGCGACGCCAGCCAAACACAAAAAGCCAGGGAAAGAGCAAAAAACAAGCGCCTGTTTAAACATTAAACCTCCATAAAAACTGGATGATGAGGTGCATCAGCCGGGCACGGGCACGGCAGGGCAGGGCAGGGGCTGCTGGGCTGTGCCTGACTCGGCTCGGTTTTATTTTGCTTTTGTTAATTTGTTGACATATTAAAACCAGATTTGCAATCAACTCGGCCAGCGGGTAATGCGGTGTTCGGCGCAGACTGGCGAGCGGAAAGCCCACGGGGGCGAGGGGATCGGAAATCGGAGTCGTGGAGTCGGAGAGTCGGGAGTGGGATGGGGAGCGGTCCGTGGTTACGGGCATGACTCATGAGCCGGCGCGAAAAGTAATATAAATAATGAAAAACGCCTGCGAAGACGGCGGCGACGACGATGGAAAAATAAATATGTATTCAAAGCTGGAAAGCAGCAACAAGCGGACACCAGGCAGCCAGACAGCCAGACAAGCGCAACATGAACTACAGCGACAACACAAATCAGAGCAGCAACTTGTTTGCATAGGCACTGTGGCACCAATTGCGCCTTGTTAGCCCGGCACTCGGGGAGTACGACTTGGCATTTCGTTTTGGGAACTCATTTGCCCGTCTTAGAACAAAGTGCTTCCTACTTGCTACTCGGTTTCTGGTCATAATCTGGCCATGCTCCTTTGGCCATTATGTTGTGTTGGGATTATGACTTGAAGCTTTTAAAGGGCAGAGATGGGCAGGAATGGGAGACTAGAAAACAGCGAGTAAATGTTAATATCTGAAATCTGTCTATATCTGAAATCTATATCCTGTTCTCTACCCTGTTTAGTAGCTCAAAGTAGCTATAGTAATAGACCATCCATCCATCCATCCACCCACCTCTCTCTTCTGTTGATTTCATGATCAACTTTTTAAAGTCCCATCTAAGAATAGGATTTCAATCTAAATTCGAAGAAACGCAACTAAAAGTTTATGTAACTGACTGATTCTGATTGAATCTTGTATCTGATTGATTCTAATTTCTTATCTGATTTAAATACGATCCTGAAACCACCTTCCTCTTTAAAAAGAAAGGACGTGGCCACCCTTTGTTTCGGTTGTGGTATGGTCTTGGATGCATCCTATCCTAGGGGACCGCTTTTGTCGCCAATTAGCTGAGCTGAAAAAATGATTAAGACGCTGCAGCCAGCTGCGGCACAGGCAGATGATATAAACAAGGCCAGGAGGATGCTGTGGCGGAAGGTGCGAAAGGGAGCAGCCAGAGAGCCGAAGCGCAAGAAAGTGTGGGAGCCTTAAAAAGAAAGCTCCACCGTTGCTGCTGCCGGACTTGTTGTTGTGGTTCTCGGCTTGTCGATCGGCGATCCCCCAACCGACACCGTCGGCCGCCGTCCGACGACCGGAAATGTGCAATAAAATTTGAATGTTTCTTTATTATTATCATCATCCCCATCATCATCCGCCGCAGCAGCAGCAGCAGCAGCCTAGTAGCCCAGCAGCTTGAGTCCAAGCCCCACTAGCTGCCACCGAGGTTTGCCGTTGTTAGTGTTATGCTTAGGCCTGCCACTCCCCCCACTCCCTGCCCTGCAGACCAGTGTCGCTTTTTCTGCCCATTCTTCTCCTCGGCGTCTCCTTTCTTCTTTTTTTGGCGTCGCTGCGGACCCCTCTAGTGACGCAGGCGCAGAAATAATAAATTGCAGCCTCGCAGTGACGTTGCCAAAAACAGGACAACGCCCTCCGCCTCCTCGCACGTCTTCCGCCTCTATCGCCCCTTCCTCATCCAGTCATCCTTCTTCGTGGGCTCCTTCTGCTCCACCAACGCCTGCAGAGCATCTCCATTTCCACTGCATCCGCCACCGCCATCGCCTTCGCCTCTACCACCGCCTCCATCCTTTTATCCACGCCATCCGTTCATCCATTCATTCATATGTTGCTCTTCGGACCAGGCTCTGCCTAAAATGTGAAGAAGTCGTCCGACTGGTTTTCCCCTTCGATTTTGGCCATCTACTCGGCAGAAACCGGGAACTGAGTTCTGGGGCCTGGCCTGCTCCACTGTACCTTCTCCCCGGCCGAGGTTCCTACAGTTCGTTTCCTCTCTGTCGATCTACACTGAGCCACTCGGGTCTCGGCTCCTGCCCCGGTTCTGATGGGAGGAATACTCCCGAGCCGACTGCGAACGAGTCCCACGCAGCGGCCAACGCCAGTCGGTTGGTGCTTCCCACGCCGGCGCGCACTGCCATGCGGTTTCGCTGAGTGTACGCCAGTAGACTGGGCCAGGCCCAGGCACACTCGCCAAACGAGTTTTCTTAACCAACTTTGTGATTTTGAGTTTTGATTGTGTGCTTTCTGTTGATATTGTTGTGTTTCTTTGCGCGGGTCTGTGGCCGTGTGTGTGCGCCGTTTTTTGCTGGTGACGGCGACGTCTTCTCGTGCATAATTTCTGTGCTGGCTGTGCACCTCTTGGCTGCTCCGCCCCTTTCCCGTCGGCCAGCTTCGGAGCTTTTGGAAGAAGTTCATTCAAAAAACCGAAAGACTTAGGAAACAAACTTGAGTGGGGGGGGGGGGGGCTCGGGGCTCGGGGTGGGCAAGAAGCCAGGGGCCAGGCGTGGAGACAGGCTTCCGGCGAGAGGATAAGGGGAAGGTACGTGTGTAGAGTTCGCCTCGCCTTAGTTCCATGTGATTCATTACGCCCACACGGCGACGGCGACCGCATAATCGAAACCCCAAGACGACGACACGTAAACCCAGCGAGTAGTGCTCGGTGCCAGCTTGGGATTGGACCAGAGACCGAACCCCGGCCGACCACAAAAGCCAAACCTAATTTATGGTCTTTAATTGAAATGCGATTTCAGCATTATATCATATTGTCTATTGCTGGCCGGCCGAAAAGATGGCCAAACGAGTTCTATAGATATCGCTTTCTGACGCTCCACCCCCGTCTTTTTCCCTCTTTCCAGAGATGCGCGTTACGTCCAAGGAGCTGCCAACCACCAAGTGGCGTCGAGAGCGTCGCCAGCGAGCTGCCGAGTACCAGGTCCATGATGGCAGCGGTGGCGATCGAGACCGGGAACGGGAGAGAGAGAGGGATCGCGACATGGACAGCCCCATTGACATGTCTGTGTCGTCGGGAGTCCTGAAGCTTCACCAGCAGCTGCGAGCTTCGCCTCCGCCGCCGTACCGCGAACCCTTGCCGGGCACCATGTACACGGCAAACAGCCGGCCAAGCGTCATCACCCAAGCGCCCCCCAAGCGGGAGCCCCTGGAGGCGGCTCACTCCTCCGGTAAGAGTTCAAGGAAGAATACCAATTCGTAATCGACACATTCATGCCCTCTTTCCTTGCAGACGTGGCGACATGCGATATTGACGAGCACTTCCGGCGCTCGCTGGGCGAGAACTACGCCGCGCTCTTCGCCAAGAAGTCGCCGACGCCCACGCCCACACCCACGCCGTCTCCCAGTGGCAGTTCCAAGCAGCAGGTTTCGCCCCTAGCATACGGAACCGTGACGATGGCCAGCCCAGCATCCACAGTAGTAGCTGCGGCAACTACCTCGCATCCCTTCCACCAGCTAAGCCCCACGCTGGCCAAGGCGGTTCTGCCTATGATGAACTCGCCGCCCTTGCAGCGCGCAACCACGGAGTCGCCGCAGCCGGAGCTACCGCCTCCACAAGAGGAGCCGTTACCACTTTCATTGAGCCTGAATCGCTCCCAAACACCAACGTCGCCCCCACCTTCGGCAACGGGAATCGGAGTTGTGATGGGAGTGGGACCGGGACCCGCTGGGCCAGGAACAGCAGCTGCAACTTCTTCCGGTCAGGTACTGGAAACAGTTGTGGGCTTAAAGCGTATACTGGACACGCCGCATCACACGCCACCCAGATACAGCACTCCGCCGCCGCCGGCATATGGCGCTCACAACGGGACAGGGGGATCAGTGGTGGCGCCAACTCCAATGCCTACCCCCACTCCCACTCCCACACCCACACCAACGCCGAACCAGACTGCCACCCCCAGCGTCACGCCCACAATGCCTGCGATTATTCGCGTGAAGGCTGAAACGGGACTAGCTGCAGCCGCCGCTTCCTCGGCCCAGACGCCACCTGCCTCGCCCACCTCGTCCTCGAACATCTCGATATTCACCAAGACTGAAGCCTCGGTTGACGATCATTTCGCCAAGGCGCTGGGCGACACCTGGAAGAAGCTGCAGAGCGGGCACAAAGAGTAATTGCACCGGTAGCCGGAAACGCACCCCACACTGATCCAGATCCTCATCCTGATCCTGTGCCCCATGGAGGTGCTGATCACGATTCAACTCAAGAGCTGTTCTTATTATAAATATTTCAAACTATACAATTAACGTTTAAAGATCTCATGCTGACGTGAACGGAAGTTCTTTAACTGCGAGTGTATTACAAGTTTCATATATAATGATTTTACTGATTAACGGATGATACGGATATATGATATATGGATATATGTTTATGGCAAAGTGTATACGTACAAGTGACATTTTTATATTCTTAATAATTAGTTTGTAGAGATTAATCCTTAAAAACATACCTATTAAAAATAAGGGAAAAATTTTAAGATAATGTGTTTTATTATCATTTTTAGAAGGGCAATGATTTTTTTATTCTCAAATTTATGAGCTACTAGATAGATTCTTGTGCAAAATAGGTTCAGAAGATCGGAAAACCCATTCATAAATTCCCATTGAAACGATTTTTGAAATTTCCGTTGGCGCAGACTTTGTTAACAGAGGGTTAACAGATGCCAGTGCGTCTAACAGCACACAGTGTGCATAGCCAGTGAGCACACACCTTAGGTCAGAGTTGCCATTCACGGCGAACGATAACGATTGTTGTCATTCGCACGGCACGAATCGTACAGTACATTTACATTGCAAAAAGCCTGAAACAAAGTTTTAAACCAAACTGACCTAAAACAAGCCATTGCCAGTCCAAGAGTTACCTTAAAACAAGCATTGCTATCCTGCATGTGGACTGTGTGAACTTGTGGAGTTTCTATTTCTAACAACGCCAGAACCAGAAATAGTCAACGGCAGAGGGGCAGGGGAAAATGTCACTCAGAGCAGCGGAGGCAGTGTAAAAAGAGTGAGGAACACACTTTCGTCGGGCGCTCCGAAGACGCAACCACAGCCACAGCCAGGGCCACAAGCGCCGCCACCGATCCTGCTGGGAGGTGCTCTCCTGGAATGGAGCACGGTCAGGTGAGTGTTGACGGGTCGCGGACGGGTGCGGACAGCGAGCAAAAGTAAGAGACGACTGTGGTTCTGCATCTGCAGTTGTAATTCACAGGGCAGACACCTGCGAGCGCAATGCAAACCAAGCCGATCCTAGTAGGGCCTGCGAACAAACTCAGTCTTCGGCGCTGGCTTGGATGTCGTCGGTAATTGGGTGCACCTCATTCGGGACCCCCCTCGCATTTCTTTGCCACAATGCAAAGCCTGGACTCCTCATGCCAAGAAGCCGATGTAAGACCAATTTTTCCCCTGCACATCCTATTTACCTTTTGTAATGAATGCCCTTTGTTACCTTGTAGTTTATTATAAATGACACGCTCAAAAAGCTAAAGGGTTCCAGCAGCGCAGACCATGCCTCGGGACTAGCGCATGCTGTGGTTCACACTCACGGCGTGAGTGTCCACCAACCGTCATTCGTCCAGTACCAGGCGACGTCCTCCCCCTCCAGTCACCAGCTGCAGGCGCAGCAGACGCAGTCCTACCACCAGATCCACTCGACGCTTCAGCACCAGCAGCAGCAGCAGTCGTCCCCGGTTACGGTCAGCTTTCCGACAAGCAGCAAGTCATACCTGGAGAGTAGTCTACTGCAGGCTATACCCCAGATACCCGCCCAGCCACCCATCTGCATCTTCGATGACGAAGAATCCCCCACCGAGGGGCCAGGAGGCTCACTCAGCGGCTCGCTGGCCATACTCACGGAACCCACGTCAGCCACGCCCACTGGCCTTCCGACCGCAATCGCCCCGTCGCCCTCCTCGTGCTCGTCAACCACTACGACGCTGTCGAATTTCAACTCGATCACGTCGCCTTCCCCGGTGGTGCCCGACCTACTTCTATCGACTCCACCGGGCGTAAATTCTAGCCTCAGCAGTGGCGCGGTTGTTATAGCGCCGTCGGCGGCTTCAGCGTCCACTAAGAAATCGGAGAAGCGGCCTTCGTCGTCTAATTCGAGCTCCAGTGGAGTGAGTCATCACTTACACCACCATCATCACCACCAGTCCCAGAACCATCATGTTCTGGCCTCGCCAACTTCGTCGCCCAACAAGCGCCAGAAGTCGAGTAGCAGCAGCAAGGACAGCTCTTCTAGTCGCAGCTCAGCTTTGCCCTCCTCCGCCTCAGCAAGTCTGGCCACCTCGTCGACGCAATCAGCACGAGCAGGCACCGCCACCTCAAACAGCAATATTCATTCATCGGCGAAGACCTCGGGCTCTTCGGGCAACTCCAAGTTCTTTAATTTGCACGAGAAGATTCGGGACCTGTACCTACAGCTTTTGAGCAATGACCTAAACAACTTCGCCGAGACAGGGGTAAGCTGTGACCGAATCCAGTCATTTTTGCATGTCATAATGTGTTTCCATTTTAAAATAGCTGAAGCAGCGCACACGATCGTTCACCCTGGAGCGGCTAGTCGAACGGGAGAAGCTCAATACGATCGTGGTGAATCTTTACCCCGGCAACAAAGGATACTCACTTGCAATGCACTACGACGAGCACTTGGTGCTGAACCCTGTTACGAACGAATGGACTGCCACTCCAAGGGACGAATCCTTTTTCGAAGGCCCCGGATCCGGGGCAATCGGATCAGCTGGGGGCCATCGAAGTCGCGCTAAGCTGGCGGCCGTCGACGAGAGTCTTTCTAAGGCGGAACCCGCGCAAGCAAAGCATGAGTTTGGCCTTGTGGAAGTCCTCCGATGGCCCTACGAAAACGATCTGCTCCTGCAGTGTATCGATCGCGAGATGCTGCCGGAGTTTTTGATGGATCTTCTGTGTGCAGAGACTGTCAGTCTGTCGGACGGAAGTGAAGGGACGCGGGTGTACGCAAAACCGAATGTTTTCTACGCAGGCTGCGTAATTGTTCAGATTCGCGACTTCCGCCAGACATTTGCCACCTCTACAAATATCTGTGATATGAAGCACATCCTGCTGAGGCCCACGAATGCCACCCTCTTCGCGGAAGTGCAGCAAATGGGCAGCCAGCTACAGGCGGATGAAAAGCTGGCTTTAGAGAGCCAGCTGGTGTTGGCCACGGCTGAGCCGCTATGCCTAGAGCCGGATCCCAGTATTGGGAGGCAGGCTATTAACGCTCAGCATCAGAGACAGCTGTTCAACTCGCATGAGCTGCGGCGCCGAATGAAGAAGTTCACCCAGACTGCTATTAACCGGAAACGCAAGCTGGATCAGTTCACGCACCACCATGGCTTGGAGCTGTGCGACTACTTGGCGCGTCTGCGACAAAGACCGCGGACAGGTAGTAGCAGCGGCGGGGGCAACGTCACCCCGGCAACGGCACCCACCAACAATCCGCTGGTGGGGGCTATGCTCTCCTCGTTCACCTCCAAGGTTCCCCGCCGACCCCATGAAGTTATTCGGCCCATACTTCCGCCCAGTTTGGAGTATCCTGCGAACTTGAAGGTTCCAGAGCACGTGATCAGCGTGGAGAAATACGCCAAGACCTTCGAGCCCCTGAATGAGTTCAGCGAAGGCACCAAGGATAGCTGCCAGCCCAGCAGTCGGCACAACTTCCAACCGCAGCTGGTCGAGGAGTACGTTTTGGAGACAGAACGCGAGGCCAGCGAAGGTCGGCGGGCGCTCTACCACATAAAACTGTCTATATTCCAGCGTCCGTCCGATGCAGAGTACCTCGGCGAGCTTTACGTGGACCGGGACTTCAAAGAGGGAGAGCGAAACGGCGAATCATGTCGCTTTGCGCTGGGCACTCGGGTGCATGCCAATCGGTACATTCAACAGTTCCGCGAGATCTTCACGGAGGAGGGGCGCAAGGCTGTTAAGATCACGCATTTAATACCCGGACATGTGCCAATCGTTACCCACACGGGGCTGACAAGTGAGCAGCGACTTCTTCTGCAGCAACAGCAGCAGCAACAACAGCAGCAGCAGCAACAACAACAGCAGCAGCAACAACAGCAGCCGCAACCTCTGCAGCAACAACAACAGCCCCAAGCCCAGCCGCAGCTGTCCGCTACAGTGCATCACGTAGCCATGCCTCGTCAACAAACCACGCAAAAGACTCTGAACTTGGCGGAAGGCAATGTTATTGGCGGTTCGCAGAACTTTCGGCCACAACAGCAGCTCCATGCAAACACCATGTTGCCACCACAGTCGCCTGCTCCCCAAGACAACATTGCAATCAGGTTAGCCATGTTCGTAGAGGTTTAACTTCCCTCCCGAACCAAAATCAAATAATACTTCAATTGCAAATCAAACAAAACATCAATGCCGCTTTCATCCAATACCCTTCAAATCCCATCCTAAACGAGAGACATAATTCCATTAGCGAGACATTATTCCATTAAGTCGCCTTGATTGCAGTACTATAAGCCAATCGTTTTCCCAATTTCACATCCTTTTAACGTTGTTTTTATTTAAAATATTAATGAAATAATATTAACTTTCAGAAAACAAGCTCAGCTCCAAGCGCCAAATTATACGGTGGAGGCCCCGCAGCAACCAACAACGCATATAGTGCAACAGCAGCAACCGCAGCAGCACATACAACTGCAACAACTGGCAACGGGAGAGCCGGTGACCCTGAGCAATGGTTCCTTGGTTCTGGTACAGCAGCAACAGACCCAGCAACAATCGCAGCAGTTGGCCCAAGCACTACAGAACTCTGGAATAACCATTCAACCCGCCACTATACAGCAGCAGCAGCAGCCGAAGGGCACTTCGTTGATGGGGTCCAATTCCGCATTGCGTGCCCAACTCAACTCCAATGTGCCAATCCTGGTAAGGCTGATATCTCCAGAGTGCAAGTCATATGTTATGGTTGTGCGTCTTTTCCCGTAGCAATCGCAGCTCAAAGTTCAACAGCAGCAGCTTATTCAGAAGCAACACCAGCATCAGCAACAACAGACAACTGCCACTAACAACAATAACAACACCCTGAACAACCACACGGCCATACACCCGAATCCTGCCATCAACGCCATAGTGAACAGCATTATGAACTCGGCCAACCAGTACCAGCAACAACAGCAGCAGCAACAGCAGCAGCAGCAGCAAGATCACTGTAAGTATCATGCGCACTTTCGAAGCTGGAAATGGCTTGCCAATTAAACCGAATTCTTCCCCAGCTGGCAATATGGTGAACAGCAACGCAGTGGCAGCCGCTGGTGGTGGGAGCAACAACAACGGAAGCTCCAACACTACGACACTGAAGAACTCGAACAACGCCTCCATTTTGAACTTGCTGAACAGCGCACCTGCTGCCATGACGAGTACCCCTGTTGCCAGTGGAACATTTACCACATCCACGGGCCAGCAACAACCGCAGACGTTGACTTTGGTGCAACATCAGCAGCAGACTACGCCCGCGACCGCCGACGCTGCCACAGCCACATATCTACAAACCACCCGTGGCACCCCCACGCTGGTTAGTGCTCAACGGAAGCAACAGTCCAGCGAGGTGCTGCAGAACCTGCTGAATGCTAACCGCAAGATTGTCGGGGGAGCCGGTACCACGACGACTTTTCGGACAAACTCCTCTGGGAATCTAATCGCCGTCAACCTCAACCAGGCACCTCAAACGCACCACCAGTCTTCAACAGACGGAAGCCAAACTGTTCGAGTGTCCATGTCGGCGCTGGCTTCGCAGCTAGCTTCACCTCCAGCCGTGATGACCAATCCCACTACCAGCTACACAGTGATCTCTTCCGGAAACAGCGCAGCGGCGGCTGCAGCCTGGATCCAAAGTCCCACGGGGCCGGTGCAGCAGCGTATCTTGAGCTCACTAAGGCGGGATAGCACAACGGCGCCACCCAACGCCATTGTGGTGGGTATGGCAGCACCCTCGCCGGGCAGCGACTCGAACGCTTCGAACGCCAGCGGTTTTGCGGTACCCAATAATCTGGCATCCACTTCTAGTGGTGCGGGTGGGGCGCTGTCCGCTTTACTTACCAACGCAGCCACACCTTCGCCCTCCGGATCGGATCACTCCCAATCGTCGCAGTCGCACCAGAACCAAGCGCTGCTGGAGCGGTTAAGTAACGTAACCTCTAACGTATCCGCAGTAGCCATGCCACACATGTCGCCGCAGCAGCCGCAGGCCCAGCAACAGTTCATCACTAAGACGATTGTTCACTCCCCCGCCACCTCCTCCATACACTCGCCAATGTCTAGTCCGCATCCACAGCCGTCTGCCTCGCCTCAGCAGCATCAGCAACAGCAGCCACAGACCACCGCCACCCTAAACCTGCAAGGCATCAACCTCTCGCAGCTGCAGGGCGCCATTACCAACTTCGCTGGCCTACAAAATGTCCAAGTGCAGATCCCCGGTTTCAACCAACCCATTTCGCTGCAATTTTCCGGAAACAGTATTCAGCAACAGACTGCTGGCAACGCGGCATCTGGAGCGGGTTCAGTACAGGGGCAGCAGCGAAGTGTTCTGGTCTCGGTGCCAGTTTCCAGCCAGCAGCAACAACTGCCACACACGATAACGCTGCAAACGCAGTCGGGAACTCATCAGCAGCAGCACCCACATCAGCACCAGCAGGCGCAGCAGCAACACGCGCCAGCGACGGGCACCATCGTAAGCTTGCCCTCGGCTGTGGCGGGCACCCAGACGGTGGTAATAACAAATAATGCCGCCGGAGGAGCAGTCCCAGGCGGCGGCGCCACCGGAGGCAACGCAAGCAGCGGTGCTAGTGGAGGAGGAGCCGGAACAGCCATGCTGACCCTACCCATTGGTAAGTACCTCTCGAATGAACTACTTCCCAGGCAGTGGCATCGGTGGGGAGGGGCGACCCTGCGAAACCGCCCCAGCCAAAGATATATACCAAGTATTTGATTCTGACTGTGGACGCGGCTACCCGTTGCAATTTATTACACTTGTTAATATTATTTATACGTAACTCTTTTCCTTTGATTGAACATGCTTAATTTTGTTCTCTTCTGTTTCTGTTTCGTTTCTCGTTTACAACAAAACATACAACACAAACCCTTTAACAACTCGTTTCGATCCCTCATGCAACTAAACCAACCGTTTATGTGTCTTTGTGATCTAATCCATATGCCACCAGTTTGAGATTTGAGAGTCCATTAGCTATAACCACAACCATGTTACTCGTACATATATCGTTCAAGTTGGCGGCTTCCCTGACCTCCGACATGTTTCATTGCAACCTAAAACAATCCAAAATCTCCCCGCACACCCACGTTCTGCTCTCTTTCTGCTTGCAGCTCAAATTGTCGGTGCCGGTGTACAGAAACTAAATCCCCAAACAATACGTGCCTCAAGTGTTGGTGGTGGTGTAGGTGTGGGCCAGCAGGCGTTGCAGCAGCAGCAGTCAGTCCAGGTCCAGGCTCAGGCTGGTGGCGGCAGCACCGCGGCCATCCAGTTGGTCGGCACCATCCAGCCCCGTTCCCGCAACGTCCAGGTGGTAGGTGCCAAGCAATTGGCCACCAGTAGGCAACTCATCACTGCGCAGCGACAAATTGGAGGTTCCACGTTAAAAATAGCCACGACTCCTGTGAACGGTAAGCTGATCCGCCTTCTTGCTTTACTTGTATATTAACATAATCCCCATTCCTTTTTTTTAGCCGCCAATGTAGTCACCAGCAGTTCCACTGCGCCTATCGTGATGTCTACTCAAAAGCTTCAACTAAAGACGGTGAAGGCTCCTGTGCAGCAGCAGCAGTTGCAGCAACAACACCGAATACTCAACCAGCAGAGTACCTCCACGGTTTCGTCCCAGACACTGCCGAGTACGAGTTCCAGCGCGGTTCAGGTGCAGGTGCCGCAGCAGCCACAGCTGCAGCATATTCAGATCGCAGGACGGGCCACCACCACCTCGGGGACCATTAGCCAGCGGGCTCTGACGGCTTTGGCGGCGGCCAAGCAGCAGCAGCAGGCTGCGGTCAATCGGAGGCGCTCAACCACTGACATGACGAAGTAAAGACGACAAAGGATACAAACAATACATATTGTGAGGACGTACAGACGAAGCTCAATCGAAAAGGAAGGCTTCTCGTTGTGGTTTTGCTGATATTATAGTTTATGGCTACTTCCTAACTGTCATACTGTCGTAAATAGTATATACCCGTATACCTAAATTGTTTTGATGTGTACTTGTAAGTGTAATGGCACGGGCAACGAAGCTAGGGCCTGGAGTCGGCCTAGCTGCAAACCTGCCGACTGCGCTCTAGACAGAAACGAACTAGGTGTAGACTCTTAAAAATATTTATTTAGTTGTATATACACACAAAATATATATAAAATTATATATATCATAGCCATTCAAACTACATAAAATATACCTAACAACTTGGCTCCCAACTCCGATTCGTTAAACCCTAAGACTAGTTCGATAAGTGTGCTAATTTTAAGCTGTACTGAAGGAGAGTCACAGAAAACAAAAACAAGCAATAAGATGATGGAAAACAAATTATGTTTAATTAATTCGGAGTACGATTACGTTTAGAAAATTTGAACCGTTATAAGGGTTAATTTTAGAAATTAAAATTATGCATATTGTACTATTTATATTATTATTGCTAAATATTTAATCGATTGCCTAGCCTAAGTTCACAAACGAAAGCAACATTTTAGTTTTTAATGTACAATCGTAGCCTCAACCAATTTAGTACTTCCAATTGCAAAAACATTAAACGAAAAGCAAAAGAAAGAATACAAAAGTCAGCATCTATTTAATCAATTTATTTGTAATAGCGCAATGTACAATAAAGTAGAGTCAAGAGCAGTCGAAGTTGCGGAGGCGCGGAGAGTTGACAGGAAGGGTTGAATAATGTGTACAAAATAACGCTTTGACTAAACGATTTGTTTTTATACTACGCCAGTTTTTTTAATGAAATTATTTAAGAAACGAGTTTTATTATGTTACATCTTGCTGTAACTGTTTAGCATGGATTTGTTCTTCGTAAAACAAAAATAAAAGAAACGCAAAGTAACCTCACCACTACCCGTATCCCTACCGTTCACCGCAGATTCAAGCATAATTTACTCAATGTTAAAATTAAATAATTGTGATTTAAGAAGAATAAACGAATAGAGAACATGGTACTACAGCGGAGTGAATGAATGAATGAAAGCTTCAAGAAGCTGCTATAGTTGTGGCATTACCTTACTCAAGCAAGGAGCTGCCAATCGGGGTACGAAGTTACATACATATATGCAAGTCTGAGATGTATGTATTGACCGATAAAAGGGTTATTGAAGCATAGTTCGAAACTTTATTAAGGTAGTGCGGAGCAATCTAAGCAGCAGACTAAGCCATTTATATCTGTAAACACAAAACAAACTATTAATATATATGTGTAATTTCAATTCAATAATTGCTTATCAAAATACCTGACTGTAGAAACTTTCATTAAACTGATTACGAAGTGAACTCTTGAAATATTAAAGAAAATTAAGGAAAAATAAATATACCATTTAAGCGCCGACAAAGTCACAGCAAAAGCTCCGTTAATCAATAAAGTGTGAAAAGAATAAGATCAAATAGTTTTGTCATTGAAAAATACACCGGGGGGAAATTTTAAACAAATTTTGGGAACTCGCATGCGTTTTCGCCTCATGGTAAATCAGTCCTAGTCCCCAGCACTGCCGACGCGGCAATATAAATCATCCAAGGACATCATTCCTCCGTGTTACAGTTCGAGTAGTTACTCGATCAGTTTCCATTCATCAGGGCCACCAATACATAACATGTAAAATATGGTTTTATAGTTCATTTAGTACAGTATTATCACACAAGACGTATTATTATTATTATTATTATTATTCCCACAGTTTACAAAACTAAACTAACTTAGTGGGTATAGCACTGGCAACGAGGCCCTTGGCCGTATTAAAATTTTGTTTACTCCACAATTATTAAAAATTGTAAAAATTGTAGGGATAACCTAACCTCTTGTCTTCCTTGAACCAAAGACCAGAGCATACGTAGGTTTTATCAACTTCGTTTTCCACGGTGCCTTAAGAGAAGAAATCTATGCCATTTTACCATGAGGGCCGTGTAATTCAGTGTACCAGAAAAAAATAATTGATTAAAGTAATAAAATTAGATATAAAGCTCTTATTTAATTGAACGAAATCGCTTAACTAACTATAATAAATTCCCAATTCATATAGAATTTTTCCCATCCATTTAGGGGTTATATACCTTTTTTATTTTCTAAAAATCAAAAATTTTTTTATTGCTTTATCTTAAAGAATAACTCCTTGAGTACATTTTCCCAAAAAAAAGTTACAGCGCTCCTAACCGCGCGCCTCGTCGCGGCCCGAATTGAACTTTAAACTTTAAACGCGAATATCTCGAAATGGTGTTTCTTGAAAAATGACTTTGCGGTGATATGGATTGGCTGCAAACTGTTCTTAATGAAATTTTTCTGTGCTTGAACGATCGACTTTTCACGCACAAACTTTTTTTTTGCCGAAATGAATTTTTAAGTGAAATTTCTAGAGACCAAAAAGTTAATTTTTAGCATAAAACGTTCCCGTATGCATAAAAAAAAAATCTTTTAAACGATCGTTCAAGCACAAGGAATTACACTAAACTAATGAAATTTTTTTACTTTTATGGTTTCAGTTGACCTGGTCGACCTGGGGAAGTATCACCGCAAGGCTCTACAAAAAAAAGGCCTCTAAGGGACACTGGTGCCGGTTTAAGATTCACCAAACATTATCCATTGAGAAAAGTATTTCAAATTTGTAGAGAGACAAGAAAGGAAAGCTAATTTTGGGCGGAGATGAAGTTCATATACCCTTGTTCAATACCCAACCCATATAGTTGGACGAAATTTACTAAAATTAAAAGCTTCTATCTTCAAAAATACCAAAGTTTGTATTTTTACCAAATACCATTTCCGATCGTTCAGTTATATGTCGGCTATAAGATATAGTCGGCCGATCGTTATGAAATTTGGTAGCTCAACTGATCAAAAAATTTAATCTGTACGAAGTTCCAACTTTCTATCTTCAAAAAAACGTTGGGTTATTTCCGATCGTTCAGTTATATGGCAGCTATAGGATATAGTCGGCCCATCTCCGAACTCTGAACTCTCTAATTCTAAAAACATTAAAGTAGTAGCATTTTCGATCAATCACTTATATGGCAGCTACAGGATATAGTTGGCCGATCACGGCCGTTCCGACTTATATACTTATATACTAAAGGAATGAAGGGTGTGTGCAAAGTTTCAAGACGATAGCTTCAAAACTGAGAGACTAGTTCGCGTAGAAACGGACAGACAGACGGACATGCTCATATCAACTTAGGGAGTCCTGATCATGAATATATCGAGCTCTCGATAACGTAAGCGCCGTTTTTCGCGAAAAATTTTGTTATGCATATGCACATAAACGATAACCCATTTGCTCATTAAATACCAAACACTACTTGCAGATATTTTCTACGAGTACCGGGTATAAATATGAAACAGATTTGTGCCGTGAAAGCTTATTTTTAAGTGGATAATTTTCTATAATTTTGTATATTGGATTGCTTTCATCTCCAAAATTAATATCAGAAATTTCGGATTTTAATATTGAGAAATTGTGATTTCAGAAACTCCCCGAAATTAACAAATTAGAGCTTTAATAAGTTTCAATAGTATAATAACTATAACTGAGGTACTTCAAAAAAAAATAATTCAAAAATTTATGAAGGTGATTCGGAACATAAAAACACATGTTGTTTGTTTAATTTATCTAGTTAGTAACAGCTCAAATAAGAGTTATCATTGCTTATTCAGTAGTAGATTGGGATAGAAGCGAAGACCCTCAACAGATTCGTCCCGACACAATTTCCCAAGGCGTTCGGCTACCAAAAGGCGCTCCTTTGCCAGCAAAAGAGAAATGCCAAGCAGCTTGGCTAATTCCTCTACGGCCATAGATTCAGCTGTTTCAACTTTTTCTAGTGTGTCGAGAGCGACCACGTCATCGTCGTGGGATTCCAGCTGAAGGACTCGTGCACCACTGGGAAAGCTTCGAAGGCGAATGGGTCCACTGAGAAGCTCGCATGCGTGTAAAAGGTCCTCAGGCGAAAGCAGTTCCAGTCCTCTAGCTCGATTTACGCGGCAGTAGACATCTGCCAAGGACATCATTCCTCCGTGTTCCTAAAAAAAAGGCTTCAAATAAGCCCGCTCACAAGGTTACATGGAATTTCATCCTACATACCTCAATGGGATCCAGTAGCATTTCGCAAATCTGTTGCCCCAAACTGTTAAAATATGCAGTGTTGCTTGTAAAGTTATCTCTCGTTACAGGACCATCAATTCCCAAGCTCATTAAATAGGATTTGAACCGAACCGTCTCATCATCCGATATTTCTCCCTTCTGCTCTCGTATTTTGCTGCTGATGGTTTTAGACAATCCTACCATATCCTTGGCCATGGCCATCAGCACACTAAGATCTTGGAAGGCCAATGCAATGTTTTCATCCGTTTCTTTGGCCTTTGCCTCTAAATTCCGCTCGATGCCTCCGATTCCTGTTCGCTTTTGAATGCGAGCCAGCCTATCGTTACTTGAGCTGGAGCCCAAACTATTGGAAGCAGGTTTGTTTATTATGGTGTCGCTAACCAGGGCTATCTCCCAAACGCGGGCATTGAGCGTCTCCTTGAGGGCACTGTGGAATTCTATGCTCAAGCCGTTTTTTCCGGATAGCTTTATGTGCGTGGCTCGGCTGTAGTCAAGTGGACCAGGTCCCTTGTCTGGCGCCGGAGGACGAAGGTGCATAATAATGCGAGTCTTGCGGCCAAAAAAGTTTGAGGCAGTGGTCTCCTCGCTTAAGGATATCACATAGCTGAGTGGCAAGCAAAGAGCTACGGCGGCTCTGGCTATTTCTCCTGGACGGCCCCAAAAAAGTCTGTGCGTTGTGAGGACGACCTCCCCCTCCTCGAACTCCGTCTGAAAGATGGTCTCATCAGAATGCGACTGGATTGGGTTAACAAATCAACGTACCTTTTGGTCACCATCGTATATTTTCACCTTGTTGTCGCGGCTAACAAAGGCCTCGTCAGAATTTAGGCGTGCCTCCACATAGGCAAACCGATTCATCTCCCCTATTAATTTCGGTTATTAATGAGTTTTGTTTTGGTAAAATTTAGTAGAGATGAGCAAATTTATACCGATATTTCTAATGTTTGCTCAGACCAAAGTTCTGCCTTTTCTCCACGGATGGCGCTGCTTCGAACTTTTCTTGGGCTAATCGGCGTTTCTATCGAATTTTCCCCACCTCTAACCTATTGTTTCGGATTTAACAATTTTTTTTCGGAATTAATTTAAATTTTAAAACAACGAGAAATACGATCAAAATGACGTGCCTTTGCTAATCAGCTCACCTAGCGATGTACTGTAGCTTTTCACCTTTGACCCAGCACTAGCGAAGCCTACCGATTCTCATGGCTGCAACGACGGAGGGCAGCAAAATGCTCGAGGCAGCTTTGCAGCGGATGGATGGTCTCATTTCGAGCACAGCAACCCAGGCGGGGCCAGATACGGGGGCGGGAGCCTCGCTGACGCTGAACGAGCGCAACCTTATTTCGGCCACCAATGTCTTGTCCACGGCCAAGACTTTGGCGCTGGCCCTGCAACAGGTGAGTCACAAAAGGAGATAAGGCGGGTCTCACATGATTGTTTCTTGTGCTCAGGTGGGTCTAGCAGCCCCGGCCCCTGATCCTGTCACTGCGGCGATTATAAGCGACTGGCTGGAGACACATATACCACGGCAGGACTCCGATGAGCGGATGCGGCGATTGCAACGGGACAAGGAGGGGCTGGCGTTGCAGTACCAAATGCTGGCGGAGCGTGTCTCTGAGCAAGCTGATAGGATCATTGAACTGGAGGGCCTGATCACGGAGAAGACTCAGCAGCTATGCAGTAAGGAGGAGCAGTTGCAACGTCAAATGATTTCGCGCTCTGCTCTGGAGACGCAAAAGCTGGAACTAATGAGTGCCTTGAGTGAGTTGAAGCTGCATCGCACCGCACTGGAACAGGCCAGTGATGCCGGCGGCGGAACCGGTGGCGGCGTTTCGTATGGGAGCTTAAGCAACATTAATCAGAAAGCTTTCGTGGGATCCCCAAAGACGCCGCCCTCGATGCTTCGTCATCAGATCAAACCGCAGTTTCATAGCTTGCCACGGTCCCACGGCAAGTTGGCGAATAATAATAACAACAACCGTGCCTTGGACGTCAATGCGAACAGCAGCGGTAAACAAAGGAACGTGGTGTTTGCTTCGAACGAACAAATTTTGATAGAAGATAATGTTCCTCAAGTGGACGATGCCATGACATCCAGTTTCCTTTCGCAGTTCACGCCGTCACCAAAGCTCCGGGAGCGGTCTGCTCGCGGTTTGCGCAGTATTCTTGGCAAGTTGCGGCGGAGCAACAGCAGCAACTGTGAGCTCACTGCTTTGGAGCAAGCTGAACCCGAGTTCCGCCGGGGAGGATCAAGAGCCACAGCTGGCGGGCGCATCGAGTGGAGTGCCCAGACACCATTGTTCGGGGAAAACGAAAAACATTGGACCACCTGGGGGGTTCAGGAGGTGTGTAACTGGCTTGTTCATATGGGATTGGGCTGCTATGAGGACAATTATCGGTAAGTTTGGATTTATTAAGCAGTATTTGTTCTAATTCTGGCATATTTGTTTGCAGAAAATGGATAAAGTCGAACCCTTCTGAATCGATTTTTACCGCGTCACCCGTTGACATTGAACGGGAGCTAAATCTTAAACTGGCGCTTCATCGTAAAAAGATTACTTTGGCCATCGACGATATTACTGGAAAGGAATTCGACGAGCTGACTCTAAAGGCGGCAAAATTGGATGTCTCCTGGGTGCTGCGCTGGCTAGACGATATTGGTCTTCCCCAGTATAAGGACTACTTTATGCAAGCCAAGGTCGACGGGCGGATGTTGCATCGTCTGACGTTGGAGGATCTGGCCCAGTTGCACGTCAGCTCCTGCCTACACATAGCCTCATTACGAGCCGGTATCCTGTGTATGCGCCGTATGTCCTGGAACCCCGAAGGACTTATTAGGCGCTCTATTAAAGTAAGCAGTGAAGACGAGGACTCCGGCAGCCCACAGAAGGACAGAGTGGATTTGTGGACGGCTCATCGCATTATGGGTTGGCTGCAAACCATTGACTTGTCGGAATACACGCCAAATCTACGTGGTGCCGGAGTTCACGGTGCACTGATGCTTTACGAGCCACGCTTCAATGCTGAGTTGTTAGCAGACCTACTTTCAATACCACCGAGCAAATCGTTGCTGCGCCGCCATTTGGCCATGCACTTTAAGGAACTTGTTGGTCGCCCCGTGATCTTTAGCAAGCGTGATGCTGAATCTGCACCCGGCTACCAGCCATTGAGCATCACTGCCAAGCTTAAGCCAGTAAAGCGCACACAGTTCTCGTTAAAGCGACGCAAAAGCTCGAAAAGTCCGAGCGACGTAGACTGGACCGAGTATGTGTGCCCCATGAACGCCAAAGTGCCGGAGCCTTCTGAGTGTGAGCCGAATAAGGACAACGATATTTCAGTGAGCATACAGTCGCAATAATTTGCAAAATGAAGCTGAACTTCTATTTATTTTATAAACAGAGCAGCGACCATGGATCCCCATACAAATGCACTGCCTATTGAGACACCAAATCTAAGAAACCAGGCGACAATATTAGGAAGGCTAAACTTGTTCAGCGTCGGAATGGACAGCACCATTTAAAAATCTTTAATTCTTCTGTTACTAACATTAAGCTAATCTGGATCAAAAAGAGGATGGCATCGGAATTAGGATAACATTGATAACGATAAGTATTCGCCGTGGCATTGAAGCGACCCTAAGTGCGAGACTAATTTCATAGACTTAGAAAAATTACATATTACCCCTTTTGGAGTTTATTTTTTGTACTAACACGTGTATTGACCGATTCTTTGTATAAAATATAAAAAAGTATGTTTTTAAATAGGAAAAATGTTTCTGTCTCATTTTTAAAAGTTACTTAAAGATGAGATGTTCCGGAGACTAGGGCTTGAAGGACATTTAAAAGGCGTTTTTATTAATCCACGCCTTGAAAGCAAGGCCTTGAATCAAATTTCTAAGTGAACAAATTTTTTAAAAAGGGCTCTAATTTTAATATTCTTTTATTTCGTTACCTCCTTTGGTGTGAAAAGATCCATTATCTTTCAGTTTAAGACAGCCACCCTGAATGTGTTAGATCTATTAACTTAACATATCTTTTATAAAACTAAAGTTAGCTTTTAAGGTTTTAAAAAGATTTATTTGTTAAAAATAACTTTACACTAGGCACTAGAAAAACGGATGTGCGACTAGGAAGATCTTGGATGACGTCGAGAGGCAGACCGCATGGACGGAATTAACATGGGTTGCTAAGCTTCGCAATCCGCATGGGCAACCTTTCGGTGGCGGCGCAGCAATCTTAGGTCTTAAACTAAATCTTTGGCAGTGCTTTGTGTGGCCGGGCAAGCAGAGGATAGTTATATGGTTTGGTTGGGCTGAGTCTCTAGGGTCACTGGCTTGCTCTTGACCTCCGTCCGAACTCCGCTCTGATGCTTGGCCAGATCGCTCTCGGGGATGTGGTCCTTCCAATTGCGAAATAGGTAACGCGTGAATTTTTTCAGTTGCCGAAACTTGCAATAGGTGGCTCCTTCTGCGGATTGCAGCTGCTGGGTCTGTATGAGAAACCCCTTTTCCTTAAAGGTCTTTTCCAGCTTCTCGCGCTGCTTTGTCCGCCGCGAAGACCTCCGCTTTTGCTCACTTTCACCAGACGGCTTTGGGGGAGCCACCATGCCTGGCATCGGACTTTGGGAATTAGAGCACTGCGAGGCCGGACTGTGCGGTTGCACGGTGTGCTCCAGGCCATTGCTATGGGGCAGGAGGAGGGACGACGTAGGCGACTCTGGCGGCATGTGCAGCAGCTCCAGGCTCAGATCCGTTGAGGGCGGTGGCACGTCCACGTACAGTTTATCCAGTCCCTGATGCTGGTGCTGCAGCTGTTGCTGCTGCTGCTCCCGAGAAATAAACTCGTAGCCGCGCATTGTCTTGTCCCCGGTGCCGTTGTAGTACCTGTAATTACCCTCCGCATCCACTGAGAGCATCTTCTTCTCCTGCAGCGTCGGCTTGGCACCACCGGTGAACTTGAACTTGCAGATGCTGACTTCGGTGGACGGACTCGAAGAGTTCTCTGCGGGCATGGGCGGGATGAAAATCGCTGAGCGCTTGCGCTTTCGCAACCCTAACGCTGTTGCTTCGTTGGAAAAGAAACCACTTGGTATGGGAATCTTTAGAGACAGCTGATTGTCCTTCTCGATGGTCTCCACGGGCACTGGCATTCCGCCCAGGCTGCAAGACTCGACCAGTTGCTGGTAGTAGAGTCCCACGGGTTGCAGCAACAGCTTGGCGGCCGTTAGTGGTTGCTCCTTGCTGAGAGCCAGGTCCAAGGACAATGGCCCTGATGCACTATGTGGCGTGGTCCTATGGGAACAGCTGCCGCATTCGGTGGCTTTCTCGCTATCCTCGCTTGATATGGAGTATCGCTCCTCGCTTTGATCCCGCAGGCAGAGGTTAAGCGGCTCATCCGCCGGCAAAACGGTCGGGGCAGCTGTGGGGACAATAGACCCGGCTACCGATGACGGGTGAGCACTTCTGACTGAGGTTGCCGATGGAACAATGGTTCCGTAGTTCTTGTAAATCAGGTGACAGATATCCGCTTTCTTGGGTTTCCGTCCGCGCCGTGGCTTGTAGTTGTCCAAGGTTATCTCTCCCATGTAGGGCAGATCGGTGAATTTCAGGGAGCTGCGTTTTGGTGTTGCAGCAACTTCGGGACTGGGAACTCGCAGTGGCACCTGTGGCAGTGTAGGTACCATACATTCCGTATTAGTATTAATTTTTGTTCCAATGGACGGGGACAATTTGAGTCCGGAAGGCACCGATTCCCGAGAAGCTTGCTTTTGCTTCTGCTGTTGGCAGTCCGCGCCCCGCTGAATCTCGGCGATCTTTCGGAGCCAGCTGCGTACGTTCTCGTGGCTTTGGCTAGGAGGCGGAGGCTGATTTGGTGGCGGGGGTCGGATGGAATGCCGGCCCTGGGTGGCCTCGTAGTGGGCCGCGTATTCCGCAGGCAAGGCCTGGTGGTGAAATCGCAGCTTCATGGTCCCTGCCACAGAGTTGCGTTTCCGGGAACGGGTCGGCATTTGGCTTTGTCCCGCTTTGGACGTCTTCTGAGTGGCCGGAGCGGCCTCCTCGTGGGCGGGCTGCAGTGGCTTCTTTGCCTTGCGGCTACTCATCAACAGGTTGGCCTTCAGCTGCTGCTTGGTAAGGGGACTGCAAGTGCCATTGTGCGGCTGCTCGTGGGTGACAGTTTTGCGAGCCAATAAGGTCCGGAAGGGATGGTCTTCATCGTGGGCATCCGTGGCGGCACCGTGGGAGATTAGCGGATCGTCGGAACCCTGCAGGAGCAGGCGGGTCGTGTTGAGATCCAGCCGCAAACCCGGATGCTCGGGGGTGGGCAGCCAGTCCTCTAGGTCCCGATCGTGCTCCAGCTTGATGTTGGGCAGCATCTGGTCGAGGTTGACCACGGGGGCCACCGGTGCGAACTCCCCCTTGCTGCTGCTGCTATTTAAGTCGCCGACTGTCGTTAGTTCTTGCATGCTAGTCCTGGCTGCAAAAAACGGAAAATGCAGTGACTCGTAGGCTAACACGAAAAAGTAAATATGCTTCGAAATCAGGTCGTAATAAAAAAATATAAACTATATGTATAATGTATATGCGATATGGGAGACACACGTTTTCCCTCTGCAGATGTTTATGTTGTTGTTTTGCTGGTCGTGCTCACCGGCAGACGAAGATCCGGCGGTGATCGAGGCGGAGGTGGAGGAGCCAACGCAGGCGTGCTTGCTCTCTCTGCTCGTTTGGTGTTCAGCACGGGAATTCTATTTAAATGTCTAATAGGGACTGGCAAGTGGTGCTCTCTTCGAGGCGAAAACACACACACGCACGGAAAGTCTCGCACCGAAACAGAAACGTTGTTTTTGTGCATGAAATTCGATTCCTTGGGCGAAAATCATGCCCATAAATGGCCTAAGCGGTAGCCCGGAGATGCTGCAGGCCGAACTCTGTCCCAGTGAGGTGGCCGAAATGGGGGTTGGGTTTACCTCAATGCGCAAGATTTTGTACGAAATGGGGTCCAAAAACAACTGGCTATAAGTGGTCCGGTTTAAATTCAGTCTTTGTATAGGCTGGCTGTTGTTGTCCTGGGATTATCGCGGTAGTGGTATACTCCCGATGTCAGTTCAAGCTCCCACTTTCAGTCGTTTCAGCAGCATAGCCACTGGGCGCGTGTACATCGTGTTGACATCCAAACGCAACTAGCTGCGGGAAAGCTGAGTCGAGGAAAGCATCGCTTCTGTGGAATATGCTCCTTAGATGGCCAGCGGTGGAGAGCACGCCCCACACACAATAGAGGTTTTCGCGCACGAAGAGCGACCCAGAAGAAAATCAAATGAAAATCAAATTCCTTCGTTCGGTGGCAGAGATGCGTTGTCGCTGCCGCTCGACACCGCCGTCGTTGTCTGTATTTAACGCCAAAGACGAAGCTATTTCGTGTGTGTTCATTTTTAGAAAAATCCAACTTGTTGCCGGCTATAGACTCCCTCCCGACCAAAAACACCCAATCCACCATCCGTCCGCGCACAGCCACCGAAATCGGAATACGTCAGCCAAAAAGAACAAATTTGAAATCTGTTTTGGCTGTTTTTCATTCATGAGCACTTTCGAGAGCCCAGCCCTCTCGGCGTTGCGACGCGTATTTGTGGCACCAACACGTAGGTGTGCGGCCTGTCTGTCTGCCTCGAACAGAATGGACTCTAGGGTATCTCCCGCTCAATCACAGTTCCCCACACCTATCACTCTAAGCTCGCTGTGGTGCGGCACTCTCCCGCAGATTATACGTGCATATGCAATATTTTATGCGATCGGATGCCTTTATTTATAGCAGCTTGCCACTTCGGACTAGGGCCACCAGGAATCGCTGGCGCTTCTTGCGGCGGGTTGTGTGTTTTGGATAAGAAGGAGAGGGCCCACCTCCCAAAATAGAACTCTAATCGGGGCTGTGTTCTATTTCGGCCCACGCACAGCCGAATATGGGTCACCTACGGGCTGGAGAGGCGAGAACGGTGTCACCCCGAATCACTTTCGCTGCTGTTTCGGGTTCGAAGTGCTTTTAAGAACGCCGTATTAACCTTACTAATTGGTCGAGGCTACCCGGGTCCAGCTGGATAAACGCTATTCGCCGTCGATCGGCGCTCGACTGCAAGTTCCGACTTCGCAGAACTCGACGTGCAGCGATGACGCTAGGCCTTTGCTAGCGGGTAGTGGGTGGGCGAGTTTTGCGCGACCTGCAGACTCTTTGCATTCTATGAGCAGACGGCGGTTAGACAGCGGTCAGGCGGTACGCGGTAAGCAGTGAGCTGCGAGCGGCAAGTGGCAAGCTAGAACCGGAGCTTACATCACCGGCCTGGGGTGTCCAACCTACGGCTCTGGCCGGTCTCGTAAAATTGCACATCTACTCGGCAGCAGCGGCTGTGCGACTGCTGCTGCTTTTTGCGATCAAGCTCATTGAACGGCATTCGGCAGTCGTCAGTCGGCAGCAATTCTAGCCAATACCTGCTTGTTGGAACGTACATATTTGTATTTATGGCCATAACAGCCACTTTGACGCCCACGCGTGGTTGGCTGGCTCGAAGAAAACAGCTCACCCAAACGAGATGGTCATGAATTCTGAGTGTGTTCTGGCCTTGTCGCAAGTTCACAGGTTTCCAGCGAAGCTCCTAGGCCTAGGCCCTTTTGGTTCAAGGCGTCCAAAATCCTCCATGAAGTGGTCTTCAGAGGAGGTGCTTTTCAGAACCTGATGGTCACCTGGCTTAAGCAATCGTGAAGCTGGACAACAAGAAAAATATTCGAATAAAACAATCCGAGTGTTTGATATTTTTATGGTAAAAGTTTATTATTTGCAACTTTATTTTTTAGTTTCTCCTTTGTATTTTGTTTTCATGTTTAAATGTCTATAAAGTATATATAATATATATTTCTGTTTTTGTGGGTTGTTTTTTTTTAGTTTTTAAATTTTTAATAATTTTTTTCTGCTTTCTGCTTTGTTCGCACTGTTTTGTTTAACTTGCCAGTTTCTTTGTTTATATACCTATTACACTTTTGCATAAGTTTTGTGTATAATAATTATTTATCAATAATAATATAATTGTTGTATTTATAACTTGGTTTATACTCTCCTCCGTCTCAATATTCGATTTCCGCTCGTCGCCTACCTTCTCCCCCTATATATGTATTTCTTATGCTTATGTTACGCATTAGCGACGCCCAGTTTGGCAAATGAAACAAAAATTTACAATGTCACGGGTCTTTTTTGAAACAGACCGTAAGTAATGTTGGGGATCTCTGATATTTCTGGTGCCACAGCATGGCCTCAGTGTGTCTCCTGACCTTATTGTTAGTTATTCGCCCCCTGGTTGGCTCGCCTATCTGAAGGACCTGCTACACTTCCTGGCTGTGTCAAGTGTTCCGGAAACACGGTGATCTTCAGAAACAATTTTTCAAAAAGTTCATCTGAGTGGGACTTTGTTACTATTTCTGTGGGTGTGTGTATAAGGTGGTAGCGCCTCTTGCATCGATCCTAATTTCTTTATGTAGTTCGTACTCGTCTATTATTATTCTGGGTTTAGTTATATTGTATACTGCAGTAGGTCGCATAAATAATGTTAAAATATATTTTATGGCAATAATGCATTAAGTATTAAAAGTATTTATAAGTTTGTCCATAATTAATTAATAGATTCTGATTTGATAGCATTACTTCTGTTGTGGGCTTCTAGCAGCTTACCACGAGGTGGGCAGCACGGAAAGAGCCGATTGAGAATATATTTGTAAGTTTTTCGGTGTTTACTTTCATCCTTTTGTTTTGTTTTCATGAACGAATGCACAATTTTACACTCTTCGCCATTTTGTTTTCATTATTCATAAATTGTATTCCATGTACATATATGTATAGTATATAGTATATTTATATATGTATGTATATATTTATATAAAGACTTTGTTTTGCTATTTTAAAGTTTCATTTTAATTGTTTTTCACTTCTGCTCTCGGTCCGGCTCAACTATTTTGACTATTTATGTTTCTCGACTTATTAGGCAATTTATATGTGTAAATATAAATCTTGTATTTATATATCAATAGTTTTGTGTGTCATGCTTATCTGTGTACTGGTTCATCCCTTAGATTCCCTCCATTTGCGATGGATCAAAAAAAGTGGTTTGGAGTTAGTGTTAGGGTTTAGTGTGCTAGTTCAAATCAGGGACAGGGACATAATCTGAATAGTCGGTTCCGGGTCAACGGGTTTACGGATTATTTACTTTAGTTGTGTTTGATTCTGTTTTGATTTTGAAACCATTTTACATTTAATATTTAATTTATGTGTATTTACGTGATTTTATTTCGCTTGGATTTACTTTCGATTTCAAGTTCTTGAAGTGTAACAACATGTAACCACTGTTTCCGTGGGCTTGTGTTTGCCTTTTGAAATTTCACTTTCCTTTTCTTACGTTTGTGCTACAATTATTAAGTGCAAGTTTTGCTTACTTTAAATGGTATATTCTGAATTTAAATGATTTATATTCGTGCCTATTTGTAGTTCTCGTTCGCTGCTGCTACTTTCTTATTGTTTTCTTCAAAGGTGCTCCTCAAAGTTCTCAAATAATGATCTTTCGCAATTCTTGCTAAGTTATGTACACGTTGTGGCCTATACCCTTGCAAAGGATGTTGAGCTTGTATTACCATCCTATCAGCCTGATCAACACAATTTGTATTTGAAGGTCTGAAGCTGATTTAAGAAGTTTTAAAGGAAATATCAAGATATCCATTTTATCACATTGCAGACAGACTGACCTGGACGACTATTTCTCAACAGTTTGCAAGGGCACGCCGCACTGATTCCACCCGGAGTACATATTCCCTCATTTGTTTGGTTTTGGATTGGATAGTCGAATGAAAGTACTAGTAACGCAGTGGTGGCAATTGGAAAATGCAACTCAGGAAAAAGTGAGGTGGGATGCTTCTCAAGAGCTTCTCAAGAGTCTATTTTCGAGTATTGGTGAAACGTGTGGTATGAGTGTGTTGTGTGTCATAATGCTATATACGGACGGATTTCTAAACGGAAACTATATAGAGTGTACAAAGAAGCTTTCGTCACTGCATCTGAGAAATAGTTTCTTAAACGCATCTCAAGCTGCACTCAAAAAAACGTTATGTGTAAAAGTGTCTGATGTGTCGATGCTAAAATCTATACTAGCAACTAGTTATTTGTTACCTCAATAATATGCAATAATCAAACCCTCTGGTCTTTAGGTTTTGAGGGCCTCCCTATATACAATATAAATTCGCTTTGACCATATGGTTTCTAGTTAGCCTGCTGTCAACTTTATATGTTATATCTCTGTATACCGTACCTCGATCTAACATTTGGCTAAGTTCCAAAAGATAACAGTTTTATCTACAAAAAATAACTTTGGGACCTTTTAAACGCCAATGTGTTCAACCGCACTCCTAATTTCTATATCGTGCCATCCAATGTACTTTGTATAATTGCAAAATGGCTTGGATGACTTCGGCCTTCTAGTAAATAGTAATAATTGTCATAATAATATATTATGCAGATCACTGTGCCTATACTAAGTGCATGCGTGTACATATTTAAATATATATATACTTTATATACCTACACACATGTACAAAGGTATTCGCACGAGTGGGCCTGCCTTTAAAAATGTTTACATATCATTTATTTTCGATTTTTTTTGTTAGTTTAAATGCACTTTCTGAGCTTTCTTACAAGCGCCGCCAATTATTGTTGCTGGTTTTTGCTATATGTCTATGGGTGTATATATATATATGTTTATATATATGTATATCTTATCTATATACCTGCCTCTTCGTTCGTTCCTTGTCCTTGTCCCTACTTTTCTCTTGGTTGATGATACTTAAGTGGTCTATCCCAAAGCCTACCCAAGCGGAATCTATTCGGTAAGCAAGGTTCAAAAAAGGCTCCGCAAAATATATCCTATCGAAAAGAAATTCAGGTGCAAAAGCTTGGGGAAGTAGAACCAATGATCGAGTTGCCCTAATACGCACTTGAAATTATCAAATCAGTTTGACAAACTCCATTTCCTATTAAGATTTACCTATATTTGTTACCCTGTATCCAATGTGTCATTCTTGTGTTAATATTAAAAATCAAAACGCTATATATTAAAGGCAAAATGTTTTGGGCCTAGCCAACCCCTCTACCCTCTACCACCTATCCACTACCCTTCCCCGGCTACCCGACTTAACCTACATACATATATACCCCCCATACTGCTTCTCTCCTTTGGGCCCGTGTGGCTGTGTGTGTGAGTGTGTGATGTCCTTCGTGGGTGTTATGCAGGTGTCGGTAGAAAACTAGTGTTGCAATTTCGGAAAGTCCATGGTTATGGTGGGGTTAAGTGCTTGTCTCTATAGTTATTTATCGTAGATTAGGCTTTAGTTAGTTTACTTTAAATACCTGCAGAAAAGTATATCTAAATATATTTTTGATTAGTAAGTTCTAAACTTGGACTCCAGTGTTAAAGGTTGTTCGTCATGTTCATGTGTTTGTAAGCTTCATTTACTACTTTTTCTAACTGGCTATTAACTAGTATATAAGTATACGGTAATAAATAAATACGCTAGTAGCTTTTAGTATATTATGCATACAGTGGAGACCACTCTATAAGAATGTCCCGTACCACTTTTGTATATTGAAAATGCATTATGGGTAGGACAAAATCTAGGCGCGTACCTATATACACTATACATATATATGTACCTATAGATATGTCCTTATATATACATATATATGCATATCTATGTATACGTAGTACCACTAACCATACAGCATATAGACAACCCATTTCATACAACGAAAATGGACGCAAAAATTTCTTGCGACAGGCCCCAGCAGGCCCCAGAGCGGATTTCTTACGCTCATCGTTCGTTCATCTTACGCTCATTCTCTCATTAAATTTTTTCTGTTTCTCAGTCTCTAAACGGAGCGCGATGAAGAAGGTTGGCCTGCGCTTCGGTTGATCTTTGTATGTATGCGTGTCACACATTCACATACATGGGTGTATGTGTGCGTGCGATTTCGTTTCGAAGCCAGCGCACAAAATTTTGATTTTTCTTACTTTTAAGGCTTGCTACCCTAACAAAATTCGGGTATTCGTATTTGATGAAATGACAAAAGAAATTATATTATTTTTTTTATTATTTCAGCATACGTTTTTAATTTATTTAAGAATAAGATTAAGTGTTAGTAGTAAAATGTTTTCTGTATATATATTTTTACGAATCATTAAAAATCAATATACTGAGAAAGTGTCAGAGTATATTTCGGTCGGAGTCACTTAAAGCGCCGATTGCTTTTAAGTTTTTGTTGTTCTGCAAGAGGCTTGTGCATGCCTACTCTAACGATGGAATGATTTTTAGGGGAGGGTGAAGACACGAAAACAGCTGATGGACTTGTTTACCTTTTTTGTTTACAATTTTTCAGGCACTTATTATTTTGGGTTATTGTGAGATTTAATTAAATTATTGTCGTTAATTTAATAATTTCCTTATATATTTTGGAACTTTAAAAAGTAATTTAATTCTTCACCCGTCTTCACCCTCCCTTAAAAATCATTCCATCGTTAGAGTAGGCATGCACAAGCCTCTTGCAGAACAACAAAAACTTAAAAGCAATCGGCGCTTTAAGTGACTCCGACTGAAATATACTCTGACACATTCTCAGTATATTGATTTTTAATGATTCGTAAAAATATATATACAGAAAACATTTTACTACTAACACTTAATCTAATTCCTAAATAAATTAAAAATGTATAATAAATAATAAATGTATAATAATAATAAATTTCTTTCGTCATTTCATCAAATAACGAATACCCGAATTTTGTTAGGGTAGCAAGCCTGAAAAGTAAGAAAAATCCAAATTTTGTGCGCTGGCTTCGAAACGAAATCGTACGCACACAAACACCCGTGTATGTGAATGTGTGACACGCATACATACAAAGATCAACCGAAGCGCAGGCCAACCTTCTTCATCGCGCTCCGTTTAGAGACTGAGAAACAGAAAAATTTAATGAGAGAATGAGCGTAAGATGAACGAACGATGAGCGTAAGAAATCCGCTCTGGGGCCTGCTGGGGCCTGTCGCAAGAAATTTTTGCGTCCATTTTCGTTGTATGAAATGGGTTGTCTATATGCTGTATGGTTAGTGGTAGTACGAACATGCTCGTGTATACGGCTTACAGATTAAGTTTAAGGAACGTTCATCGATAAGAGACTTCAATTTCTGTTAGTAATGTCCTATCATACATTGGTTATTCCTAGGCGCCTACCGAACGGATTTTACGGACTACAAGAACCAAACGGCCAATCAAGAGGAAATGCAGTGCCAACGGGGTGCGTCCTGGGTCCCTTCGATTTCGTAGCTCCCGCAGCCTGCGAGCTGGAGAGCTTGAGCGTCGCCGAGTAACATAGTAGTGACCTAAAAAACGCTAATTGATATGATAGGTGTGTTGTGACTGGGTTCTGGATGCCTCAAGTGACATTTTGGAGGTTGGTGATGAGTTCGTGGTGTGGGTGCGTATGATTGAGACACAGTCGAAACACAGAGTGCGAGTATGGCGGTGGCCATGTTCAAGTTAAAACGAATCGTCGGCGCCTAACTGTATTTTGGCAAAATTTGCAAAAAATGCGCCAGTACCCTCGTAAGCGATTTGGGCGAAACCTGTCCGTTTTGATAATGTGGTAGTTCAACTATGGCGTTACATCTAGGAATATTATTCTTCAAGTTTCAATTTTTACACTTTATTATCAAGGTACAATTGTTTTTGCTCTATTCAATAATGTTGAACACGAATTCCTCTTACTTTTGTTTATATGTTATTTATATTTATCTTTTCCAGTGTTTACTCTGCCATCACATATTATTTCGAATTAGAAATAAGCGACTTTATATTGTGTTTCGTTATCGATTTAATTTTGATTTCGCTTTAGTGGTTGCTAGTTATCACCGCTCTTTGAAATCATAAGCTCAAACAAAACAGCACGGAACCAAAAGGTAAAAGTTAAAAGGTAATTTGATTTTGTTCACACTTTTTGTTAAACGTTCATGTCACAGCCCTTTCATGTTTTAGTATTTTTAGTTTATCAAAAGATATTTAAGGGTGAACATTGGTAACGCTATGTAAATAAAATGGGGAGGGAAATGGCCGAATTTCTGTCCAATGTGGGGGTAGCGTCGGTCCTGGTAACTGGCTAACTGATCACATGTCCGATGCCACAGTCGTAGGAAATCATAACAAAATAAAACAAGTGGTTGCTTTGAATTTTTTCATGATGTTCTCGCTTTTATTAATTCGGCTCTCATTGGTTTGTTGAATTCATTGTGGGTTACGCATTAGAAATAATAGGCAAGGTATGATAATGGGGGTCGTGGTATCCTTCCCGTTGGTATATAATTTGCAAAATTTTGCCAAAATCAGTTTTGCTCTAAGTTTCTTAATGTTTCTTGATTCTGTTTAATAGTAGAGTGTATATAATCTAGTTTTGTATAATAGCATATAATAATTTTGTATATATTCATTTAAATTTAAATTTAAATACTTGCGTTTGTATTTTCAATACAGAATAAATCATATTCGTAATCATAATCATGGTACATAATAATAGTAAATTATTATTATCTTAATAGTTTGACTTGGATTAAATTGTATTATTCATTATCCATAAAACGTTTCTTCTTTATGAAATAATTAACTTCAATTTGACTAGATCGATTCATACAAGATCGTAAATACATATAGTGTGTTCGCGTGTATTTGCGTGAGTTTAGTTTCCAAGATAAAATTTTAGTTTAGCGTTTAATTTAAATTTCTCAAAATACTTGGGCCTGGGTGCCATAGTGATCTACTGGATAGGCGCTAAAATCAGTTTCATAATTTTGCATATATGTATATGTATTTGTATATGTATATGTGTGTTTGTATGTTTGTATGCAAGTGTCGCTATAACTACGATTTCATTCCGATCTTATCTGTGTGGGACTTTCATCCGCCGCTAAGTATTACTTTCTTTATTTACAGAAGTACTCCCGCCAGGGACTAACATTGTGTGTAAAACCAATTTCAAATGTGGGGAAAATCTTCTTGGGTTGAGTCCAAGGAGGACTCTCCATTACCCTTAACTGGGCCCGAGTCCCTTCTGAAATCTAATACTGTTTTTTTGATCGACTGTCAATACTTAAATCATAAAATAAGTCTCAACCGAAATAAACTGGACTAAATACTGGGTGTCGGTTAGATTAGAGTACCCAATCGCAGGGGTCTGCACCAAAGAAAGCATTGCACTGGTAACAAAATTTAACTTTTAATTTGATAACAATTTTCATTCACATGAAATATCTAATTCGTATGCATTTAAATAAAGGTGAATAAGTGTACTTATGTATGTGTATGATTTAATAATAATTAGATATTTATTTTTATTTTTCTCCTTAGGATGCACAGACTAGCTGCAACGTCTCATTTTCGCTATACAAAATCTAAATAATTGTTTACTGTTCTTATTCGATTTTCCTTCTACTACCCATAACTTTTAATTTTTGGCATATTTAGCTGTAGATCGACTCTCCTCTAAATTCCTTCTTTGTACAGATTTCGCTGCTAAATAGTTAGATATTCGACTTAACACGCGGAGCTATAGTGGTTTGATTTATAGAGATATATTTTTACACAATTTTTGAAAGTGTCCTCTATACGAACTTAAATGATGGGTGAGTGGCAATGATTTTAAGGAATTTAACATTGGTTTAATTTGCAAATAAACGGCCATCTAAAGATGTATATATATCGTGTATATATAGGTTTTTTGCATGTATATATACATTCATAGCAAAAGTTTCAGGGGCCAGTTTGCTTGGTTTCTATGCTTCTTATTAGTATCTGCTATTTTGATGTACCTTTTGGGCTTATTCGACTTGCTCTTGTAATATAACTATACATATACATGTTTGTATATATATAATTGAATATATATCCATGTATATATGAAAGTACCTGTAATTGTTTTGTTGCAAGCAGCTAAGTTTAAGTGTAAAGTTGTTCTTTAATTTTATTCAAAAATTGTTATTCTATAACGTTTTGCGAACTTGCTGATACAATTTTAAACCACTTAAAGTAACGAACGTAGGTGTAATTCAAACAAGTAAAGGACGTGTCTCCAACAGTGAGTGTAGGCCAATAGAAATGATCGCTGTCAATTACACGTGTGAGTCCTTTCTAGGTTTAATTTTGTGTAGCTGGCGCCACTTTGATTTTCTTCAATAGCTCTAACCAATCCGCTATGGGCTTCCTAAATTATTCGGATTATCTCCATTATATTCTGTTATAAAAATGATATTTTCCCGTGGTCGCGTAAGACTGAACCCAGTGCAGCAAATATACATATCTATTCGCTTCTCCGCCCTTAATAAACGTAGCCTTCAAAGCGTTGCGTATAATAAAAGGCCTCTCAGCCCATATAGTTCTAACTTTTATGTCCGATTTGTTTTGTTTACTTAAAATTAATTAAATTCGAATTTTTGTGTTAATTTTGTATTCGCACATTTATATATATATACATATATACGTATGAGTGTATATACTCTCTTTATGTATCTATGAATCTGTTCAAATTTTCTTAAGACTACTTGCTAAAAATTTCAGACATACCCTGCCTCTTTCTCAACTAACTTATTTTTATTTTTATCTATTTTAGGCCTTTCCCTCAACTGCTGACCGTTAGTTCCTTGGCTTACTACGAACCCCATGGGGTCCATCATCCGATTAACAAGTTCAGTTTTAATAGTTATCCCTTAGCAGCTTTGTTGGTTTCTAATCCCATCACCTCATATCATTACTCATATAAAATGGTATCTGAACTTATCATCCTTAATTGTTTTTTTTAGTTTTTATTTTTCATTTTTTTCTATTTTATTCATTTGAAAACCCAGATAATTTTGGTCTCTAGCCAGTCAGTTTTTGTCTCAAGTTTGTGTCTCTGTGGGTGTGGGTGTGTTAAGGTGTGCAATGTTGTTAACAAAACTATCAATATCAATTTTCTCCTTGCTTCTATAAATATATATGAATATATTTATGTATCTATGTATATTTATTTTTTAATTAAATGGATATTTTGGCAAAAAGTCGTTTCCCTTTCTTCTCAGCTTTACAATTTTGTTTGTTGTTTGTCGTCTCATTTTTTGTGGATTTTATCTAATTTTTTGTATTTGTTCCTGTTCTGAATTCAATTAAGTGTATAATTGGATAAATATATATAAATATATATAATTAAATATCTATATATATATTTACTTGAGGGCACATATAAATATATATGCAGATATTCATAGTAGAATATATGTTCTGCCACTTTGTATATATATATAAATCTATTCAATTTTCAGCTCTAATGTGTTTTCTTTATTCATTTACATATCGCTCCTTGTTGTTTTGTTTCGTTTTGTTTTATTTTTGTTTTTGTTTGGTTTCCATTTGCACTCAATGTGCCTAATTCCCTTAATACGCTTCGCTCCGGATGTCTGAAGGCCATCTGAAAGGGAGAAAGGACATTATAGTGGCTGAACCTCCCGACATCGCCGCCTTGAAGGTCGGGCTCTAGAGCCCGAGAGTTTCTCACCCCTTCAGTAGTTGCTCCTTAATATTTATGTGTCCTGTGGCGGCCCTAGGTCTTGCGTTTCTGCTGCTGCCACATGAACAGTTTCTCGACTAGCTCCACTTTGGAGCAGTTGGTGTTGTTGGGTGGATCATTGGCTTGCGATTCTGGATCGCTCAGGTTGTTGCGGTTGTTCTGGTTATTCTGGTTGTTTATGTTGTTCATGTTGCTCATGTTGTGGTGGTTGTCGCCACAGCCCTCGATGTTGTGATTGCTGATGTTGTTGTTGCCGTTGCCTGTGCTGCTAGTGTTGGAGTTACTGCTGTAGCGGTAGCAGTAGGTGCCATTGCGCCAGCTGGCGAATGTGTAGGGAATCGCATGGTTCGTAGTGCTGTTGGTGGTTATCGGTGGCATGAAGCCGCTCTGGTTGTTGAAGTGCGGCACTGCTGGTGTTGCAGGCATGGATCGAGATTCGTGGGCTGCGGGCGCCGTAGTTGAAGTTTCGGAGGCGGCTGATATTGAAGTTGCAACGGAAAAGGTCGGAGGATGTGGCAAAGCTGTTGATTCTGAGTAGCCGGCTGCTGATGTTGTTGCCCCAGTTTGATGTTGTAGTTGTTGTGAATTGCGTTTGAGGAACTCCGATTGTTAATAGGGTCGGCTGGCATCCTTTGGCCGCTTCAATTGAACTTTCAGTCTTTTCATGCCAATCTGGAAGCCATTCATGGCCTGAATGGCCGCTTGAGCGCTGGCGGGATTATCAAATGAAACAAAACCTGAAACAAAATGGGGATTTTAGTCAGACGATCAAATAGGTGGCAGGTGACATGTGGCAAGTACCGAAACATTTGCTCTGGTTTGTAGCACGATCAATGAAGACCTTGGAGCTGATCACATTGCCAAAAGGCAGGAACATTTGCATTAACTCGGCGTCGCCAAACTCTTGGGGCAAATGGTAGATGAAGAGGTTGCAGCCCTCGGGTCCGGATATCGAACATCCTGGGAACATCAGAAAATCTTAAGGAAGACATTCCAAGAAAAGAAAAAAGTAGAGAACAAATTAAATTTAAGGATGAGGGAAATCATAATTTTAAACTTTATGAGTTATGTCTGCATTTTGTTCTTGTATTGTTTTCGCTTACTCTCAGTCAGAGTTGATTTTTAATTGCTTTGATAAAAGTGATCGATTTTTTCTCTGTGATCTGTAATCGGTAATCTGTGAGCTGTGTTCTGTGGCTGATATATTGTTTCTGGACGAATCAACCAAAACAAAGGCGCAACATAAAGGAAACCAAACTATAACCAAACGCAGAATATGTATATATTCTAATATTTTTAAATCCTGTAAAATGTTATTCTCTGAATGCGGGCATTACTTTGGCCTAGGTGTCCCTAAGAAGGCCCCGATTTCCAAGTGATTTATTTATATGTGTGTCTAGTGTAAGGAAAACTTAGTTGTGCATGTGGTTCTCGACTAGGGCTACGACTAACAGACTTATCATGCAAGATAAGTTCTAGGGGATACATAGAGATACACAGACTACATTGAAAAGACATCGAAACAGAACTAAAGGTACGTTATATTCAGGTTATATTACAGTTAGCATAAACATAGTATACACACACAACACAAACGTAACAGCACACACTCCCATATGCAGCATCCTCCCAGACTGTTTTTTGTATGTTGGGTGGACAGTGGGGGCCCGTGCTGCAGAATTCGGGATGAGAACGGGCAGGACCAACCGAAAAGTAACATAAAATTTTATGAGCAAATGTCTTCGAAATACGCCGACGGTCTTTATATGATTTTAAGCAGTTTATATGTAATTTTTACGATCACATAAAACGCCGTTGAATGCAGCCATTAAAAACGATTTACGCTTTCCGCGCCAACCCTATGCAAAAGGGTTGTTGGCCGAAAACCCCATTCTTTTGGGCCGATTGAGGGCTTTGCACGCGAATAAAATGTTGAACAAATAAAAATAGGACAAGGAATCGCAGAATGCCAAGTAATTAATTTTTATGAGCCTTTGTTTTAAATTAAATTCCTCGCCACGCCGAACGGCATTCATTACTGCCCGATCGGCCGATCTCTTTCTTTATCAGTAATTTCATAATTTGTGTAATAGCACCCGTAAAAAAGCATAATGTCTATTCTTAGCATTAGGATTGTGTGATTTATTTCATTTTATTTAATTTATTTACAAAGAGTTCAACGAAACGAAACAAAGGCGAACAGTGTCTTGTGAAAATCGGACCAATATCTTACAGTCTGTGAGTGGGGAGGTTTGCGAGGTCGCATGAGAGTGTGTTGGAAACGAGAGTACAGGAAGTGATTACCAAATAATAAAGAAAAGCTTACCTTCACGCTGAGTGGGTGCAACCGCCGCTAGGGGAGGTGGTAAAGCTTGTGGAAACTGTCCATAGACGGCGGGAAAGGCTGCATTATATATAAATAATTTTTGTTTTTGGTTTTTACACAGAATCCGAAACATTTATAAAGACAACACAACAGTAAGTATCTGCCCACATGAGTACAAATACGTGGCCCTCGCACGTATGTGTATGCATATGCGGCGGTTTATTAGAGTACATGGTATGTAGTTATCACAGTTTAGTAATGAACACACAATTATACAAAGTCTAGAACAAACAGAATATTAATTCCAGCCAGTAGATGGGGCTGGATGCGGTATTAGAACGACGGGTTGATTAGTGGCTCGTATTCAAAAAGTAACTGCTCCGCAAATTGCAGGATAATTTTAAAATTTCAGAGCTTTTCAGGCCACAATTATTATAGACTGTGCTACTGTGGTAACCCTCTTCTGGAAACCTAGTTTGGAATATGGACCTTATTCTGGAAAAATCCCAAAACGTATTCTTCGAAACTACTTGGCCAACAATTTTCCAAATAGGTCTTCCAAAAGACGGTGCAAAAATGTTTATTTCTGATCTACTGCTCTTTAAATTTGAACTTCAAATTAAAAAGTTTGTAATGAAATTAAAAGCCATCGAATAAGAGGCAGCACATATTGTACGAGGAAGTATCACTCGCATCCTTTTTACAATATCCGCTGCCTCCTTGGGAGAAGGAACGAAATGCGTTTTCATTGAGATTCAAGAAATATAACACTTTACCAACAATAAATATTTATGGCATGACACAACAATTATTATAAATCGATAAAAACAATTATGAATGACTGGGTTGGTTCTGTTGTGGGCGTTCTCTGGAGAAACTCAGATGCTATTATTTAAATTTTAAAATAATGGAGCTCGAGGCAGGTCGAGGGGCTAATTATATGAGGAAGAGTCTCAAATGATGTTGTAACATGACTATGTGAAGGGTGACTCAACGATGCTTCGAACTCAAAAAAAAATTGAAACTGAATCTGTCTGGCGTTTCTGCTCTGGCTTGACACCTTCGGCGCTTAGCATATCAGTATTTCTAAGGACGGGTCTCGACCTTAACCTCATCCAGCTAGTCCAAACTTACCAACTCCTGGAAACGGTGGCAGGCCAGGGAAGGCGTGTTGCAGGGCAGCAGCATCGCCATTTGGTAAACCTTGTGGCGGTATAGTCAGATGGAGTGGGTCTAAAAGGTAGAAAATTCAGTTACCAAAAGAAGTTAAAAATCTGATTAACATCGGAATAAAGGTCTACTTCAAGCAGAACCGATGTGTAGAGTCTTAACCTTCTTCTGTTCTCAGAAAATATTTATCTTTAAGGTCTTTAGTTTTTAGTCTTTTAGTATTATCTTTAAGTCTACTATAAAGGCCGAATCTTATATTTATAAAAACTACTGTCAGTTTAATAACATGGCGATGAGGCTTATAGTCATTCAATTTGGCATCTCTACGGACTTAGTTACTTCGGACCAGACAGTCGGACATGACTGCGTGTAGGGTTGGCGATATCTCCTTCACTAGAGGTTCCCCTCCCTTATTAATATTAGTATTAATATTCCAATTTGGAAAATCATCAACACTCACGTCCTGGGAATGCCGTTTGTGGAATGCCGTTCGTGAAAACGCCGTCCGCCGCGGCGGCTGCAGCTGCAGCGGCGGCAGCGCCACCGGGCTGCCCGTTGGGCGTGTTGGCGCCCATGTTGAAGTTGGGCATGGTGGGCGAGGGGAGGGATGGTGGCTGCCCGGTGCCGTTGAGGCCATGAGGTATTTGCGTTGCCAACGCCGCCATGGGGTTCATGTAGGCGGCTGCCGAGCCGGGCGCTGTGGCAGCGGCGGCCATCAGAGCGGCCTGTTGCTGTTGCTGCAAGGGAGGGGGGTTAGTGATGATGCAGTCTTAAGGAGCATGGGGGAGTGGTGGACTTACCTGAGCGTAGGCCCCGTACGGACTGAACTGATTAAAGACGAACGGATTCAGCAGGTTCATGTGACCGGCCATTTGCTGCATGCGCCTTATTTGTCGCTCCTTTTCCGTGTCGGCGTATTTGACGACCAGGCTGGAGGATGCTCCCTGGAACGGAAAGAAACGGAAACGTAAGAAGGGCTCAGGCATTGCATATTGACGGCTTTTCCGCTTTACCCTACCCCGTGCGACAGGAAATCTTATTACAGGGCATTACTTTGTGATGAAAGGCCCGGGTGCCTGGCGCCATGGGGAAGGGCTCCCTGTGCACCTGCCGGTAAGCAGGCAGGCCGGAGTCCTTTGTTCGACGAATGCTTATTATTATCTTATTCTAATTGTGTACCTGTGCAAAAATATAGGAAAATAATTGGCATGCGAGGACTTAAATTTGCATTTCTATTCAAAGCGGCTTATAGGATCCCCCTTTCCTCGGTGCCCTGCTTCCTTCTGTTCCCTTGCCCATGCCGCGCTCCCTGGTATCTTTTTTCATCTGTCATTGATTTCGAAATAAATACTTTTGACAAGGTCCCGTAACTTGGCCAGGCCACTTCCATTTTCTTTGCTTTTGATGTCAATTAATTAGCATAATAATGGCAGGCCTCACATTTCGCACTCCCGCCGCCGAGGAGGTATCATGTTACGTATGACAACGCGAATTCAATAGGCACTTCCATCCATTATTTGGAAACATTTTGTTTTCTTATTAATTAGGATTGCGTTTGTAATGGAAAACCTTTTGCCTGCCGCCCTGTTCGAGACGATGATGATGACGGATGGGCTGGGATTGGGGTTGATTGGCGAAAAGAGGGAAGCTCCTCGCTTCCGTGGAGCTTTATTATTTTGCAAATCATTAATCAAAGTAACAATGATATTGTGTTGCATAATTCCAGGCACTCCTCGCCTTCTTTCCGCCATATTTGCGAATACGTATTGGGTGTAAGCCCCTAATGAGACTGCAACCTAGCAGGTGCTTCATAATTTTAATTAATGAAATACGAAACTCGGCTTGTGCAAGCGGCCACAATAAGAGGGTTTCTGCCGGAAAATTATGTATTTCTATATCTTGACATAGAACACTACAGACACTGCAAGTTTTGTAACGAGCTACATTAGAGGGCTTCTGGTCCAATTCTTTAGGGTTACGATACAAGTATCCACTCCCTCCAGAAAGCCATTGAGAGTTGCCCAATTTTAACGATAAACTTCCATTATCCACAACTAATCTGCGGTCGCAATTGTCCCGTCCTTGCCCCTGCAACTGTGCAACAGGCAACCAGGCCTGCAAAGCTCATAAATTAATTCATTAACGTCAATTTAATTGTCTAATAATCCCCGGCTCATGTCAGGCCGATGCTCATGGCCTCTGATGTCCGACGCCTGCTTTGTGCTGCTTTCTGGCTGATGGCCAAAAGTTTGACTGAAAAAATATCCTGATATTTGTGTGGCTCGCCAGGGGAATTATGCTGCCAGGCAAATGCCGAGAGTTCAGCTCCATCTGGCAGTCATTCAGTCAATTTGAACGTTTATTATGTGCTCTGTGTGTGCAGTTGTTTGGTCTGTTCACTTCCGCTTCCGCTTGAAGGAGACGACGACGACAACGACTGCGCCGACGACACGAAATTCCCATTCAAGTGAATTGCTGCCGCCAAATGAAATGAAAAATTCAGGACGGCACACAGTCGCAAACACATCCTTCGGCTCGAAGCCGCCTCAGACCCAAAACCAGCAGATCCAGCAGAGGAAGGACCAAGGACCGAGTTGGCAGCACGCCGAGCCAAGAGGAATGAATCGTCATGGTGCGCTCTGTGCCTCTGTACTTCTGTGGCCGATGCAACAGGCGGAAGGCAGGCTGCCGTTTTCGGCTGCCAACTAACAAGCTAACTAACCGGAGAGGCTCTGGCCTGGTCCTTAGTCCTTGGTGCTTGGTGCTTGCGCTTGGTTCTGGACGCGTGCCAGGCGGCACTTTTGGCAGCAATCGCATGTTGCATGCCACTTTTCAGGGCGGCGTAAACGTGACGCCATTAGACGGGCCTCGTCCTTTTTACGGAGCTCTTTCTCTCTCTCCTGCCTTCGCAGTCCCGGCAAAATATTTTTTATTGTTTTTTAATGCCAAGTTCTATCACTCTCTTCGATTTCGCAGCCCCAGTTTTTGTTGGCAGCGTTTCAGACCACTTGCGGAAAATTACAATTGAAGGGCTCACAGTGCATTTAAAAAGTAATTTGTCTGCCGCCCCAAAAGCCGCACACGTACCCGTATTTATATAGATATATATATTCCAATGCAAATACGAGCACAGTCAAGACTCTCCCAGGACGAACCTATCCAAATCGGGGCTCGGAGGAACCGGTCGCGGGTAGGGGGTCAGGGGTCGTGCCGCGGTAATCACAGCTACCCGTGTTCACTAATGGTTCTACAAGCCACAAGGGCAGCCAGTAAGCCCGGGGTCTCGGACAGGGGCGACGAAATGCAGCCAGGACTCGCACACTCCGAACACCCTGGCATTATAAACTCGCACCGGGAAGTATGCAACGTTTTCCGATCCGAATGGGTGGAGGAGAGTGCGCTACGTGTCTGGGGACATGTTAACATGGCAGTCGTGCCAAAAATTATTATTCCCGCCTCGCCACGTTCGCTTTGGCACTGCCTTTAGCCTTTAGCCCGGGCTTTGCATCCGTGTGGCTGCTGACGCCGCTTTTTGCCTGCTTGTTGCATGCTTTTAGGCACGAGGCACGCCGACAGGGGGACGAGGGGACGAGGGTGAGTGTCGATTTGCCAACGCCTAAAAGGACAACAAATTCCTTCTCGGCAACATAAAAAATGGCCAGCAAATGGCCGGCAAATGGTTTTAACAAATGAATTATTGTACATATATTTTTATGCAAAACTGATTTGCATTTTATAGTTTCAGTTTCTGTGCGAGGTCGCATTTTTTATGCCCAACCGCCGCCAGCCCCTCTCGGTGGTCGTTTTGGCCACAGCTTGTTTTAATTGCTAAATGAATTGGCCCGACCTGGTCAGCATTTGTTTAATGGTGAGCAATTTTTATCTATCAATTAAAGCAGTGGCGGCTAATGGCTTCGAACGCGCATAAATCTTGGCCTAATGGTAAGGCACATACATTTTATTATAGCCGCGTAGTCCTCCTTGGAATGCCGCCCCTGGATTTCAAATCGTAGTAAAAAGGCAGTTGCAAGCCCCTTGATAGTTTATTCTCTTGATCAGAGCCTAAGGCAAGCTGGGAGTTAACTATCCCTTACTCTGATTGTAATACTTCCCGCACACCTCTTCCGAAATTATAGCCTTTTTAATAAAACAAGATTGCTTTTTAGGAGATTTAATTTTTGCATTTCAAATTAAACATATCATAGAATATAGAAGGACACTAAAGACAACCGTAAAAACTAAAGCCCATGCATGCAAGCTAATTCAATGAACCGGCCACCGTGCGTATAAGTAATATGTATTTTTTTACGTATTTTACTGGCAAACTGTACATGGGATTAAATGAAATGGAAATAAATGGATATCTTTTGGCGAATATTTAAGGATGTTAAGAGTAAAAAAATTACATTGAAAGGTCCTTGTTAGACTATTCTCTCAATCAGAGCCCAAGACAATCGCCTAGTTTCCCCTACACTTGCACCACCTTTTTATGTAAAATAAGATTAGTTTAGGGATGTTAAATCCATACTGCTCATACGCCCTATATCCTCAATTATTTTTCAAAAAAACATGCACTTTACATTTTATATATTAAGGTGTTAAATAATGAAGTCTACTAAAACTAATTGAAAATAATGGCAACGGTGCGTATGAGTGATATTTTATAGGTATACCCCTTGCACTGATAGTTAAATTGGATTTAATAAAATACAATCAAACGATTATCTTTTAGCGCATAGTAAAGGATAAAAAATTTAACATTAGGCTCCTTTCTTTTGTGTTTTGAAGTTTTTTTATTGTAACTATCGGCCAACTTGTCGAGAGATTTAGTAACAACGACACCCGGCACACACCGCCGAGGGACCACCATGAAAACGCCTAATGACGTTTACACGGCCAACATAATTACAGTAATAATGCGCGGAGACTGGCACCTAACCGCCGGCCAGGTTGTCGGCAGAGGGGCGGAGCCGCCACGATGATGATGACATTAGCGAGGTGTCAGGCGACCATTTAACGAGCGACAACGTTGCATACACGTATGCGCAGAATGGCATGCCATCTCGCGGGGAGTGGGTCCGCCTTTGTGTGGTACATGCAACACCAGCACCGGTGGCAGCAACAAGGCCCAGTCGTCACGAAACGGAGAAGCGGCAACGGCAACGGCATCAGCACAGCTCCTCCTCGTGCGTGCGTCGGTAACAATTTGTATGCTTTTAAATTAGCCCAAGTGTGAAAGTGTCATGTTTCCAAATATGAAATTACCAGGGGCGGGAGCTGGCACTGGCGGTGAATGGAGGGCCTCTGCAACTCTTGCAATAATAAGGTGTGAATTATTCGGCCAAGCAATTAAGGTATGCCTTCCTGGCGGCTCCCGGAGAATGTGGGGCAGACAGAGCCCTTCAATGCAGCAACTCGCAAGCGCATTGGCAGTGCGAATTCGTCACTCACTCCCCGTGCCAATGACAGTTGCCAGTGAGTTTTTCAATTAATTTCCATTTAAAGGGGAACCTTGGCGAAACCCAGTAGAGGCGACGGAGAAGCAGTAGAACTAGCAGCAAAACTAATTACAAATTCGTTTTCAGATTTCAATTCCTCTGTCAGCAGCAGACTGGAGCTGAATGGAGTCATGTCAAAACGGTGGCTCAAAGGCTTCCCAATCCCCAGCTCCACAGACCACCCGCTCCGCCTGGAAGCCACAAGCCGAGTAAGTAATCTTTTCCGGCAAATAAATCACACCATTGCCAGAGGAGTCGCCACGACTGCTGCACTCGAAATTAGTATAAATGCCACTAAGCTACCTAAAAGTATGCTCAGCATTAACGGAGCCCGCAAAAAAATTCCGAAATTTACGTAGTACTGTGCGAAAAGTTACTTTGTCCCACCCAAACCAGACCGAAAAGTTGCGACGCGCTGTTAACCACAGCCCTGCCCTCGATGGGCG